AATTTTATTAACGGGAAATTCTCTGGTTTTATTATTGGTCAACATCAACTTACAAAATTCTAACAAAAAACTCAAGCCATAAAAATAAATGATATTTGTGAATTCTATTACATTTTAACGGAAGTTTTGATTTAAATGGTTTGTGACTTAGTTGGGTAAAACTGGACATTAAGCATTTCAAGGTCATTTCAGAGTTGATCAACTTCAGCAGAATAGTAACACTTTTCCAAGCCAAAACAACTTTGTATTACCAGTTATTACAGCTGAAGGAACATATCAATACAAATAGTTAGGAAAGTGCATCCCAAGGACATTTTCTATTTGGAAAATAAAATTTCTACTGAAATACTATTTTTAGTAACTTTGAAATCATGAATCAATCAACGGTAGGCCACCATTAGAAACCTGGAAGCACTGGACGACTTTTTCGTCCTGGTGTGGGACTCATCAGTAGTGCGCACTCATGGCTGCTGCTCGCGGGAATCGAACTCAAGACCTTCGGTTTTGCAGGCGAACGCTCAACCTCCAGAACACTTAGCCAGCGCATCCGACGGCGTTAATGTCTAAATTCCACAAATCCACGGTCTTGTGCAAAGTCATCCATTTTTAGTAACCCAATTATTATATTTTATTATACTCCCTGAGTAACTTAATCATCTTAACTGATGGTCAAATATTTGTGACAAACAATCGTTTATTTTTAATAACGAGTAGATTAAAAATACAGTAGTTTATAGTAAGAATAAGTCTCAATCAATTTTTATTCAGAATTAGTTACTAATTAATTAGTTATTAATTATTTATGAAAAATGAATACCCATGGGCAAATATATACATATATATATATATATATATATATATATATATATATATATATATCAGTTCGAAGTTGAGACACTTTTGTTTGATAAAGCGAAATGGTTAGAGTCGTAATACTAATAACAATATCGGTGAGTACAATGTACAGCATAAAATTATTTTTAAGAATTAACAAGAAGAAAGGAATGAATACATTTAGCCACTATCATCATCTAATCATCAATCATATGTTAACTGAAGCATATTAAACTACTAGTCAAACACAATTCAATCAAAATAGTCATTGACTTTACGTTCTGATACTAAATGTTGTTTTAAAACTAATCAAATTCATATTTTATCAAACTTAATCTGTATATACACTAATGAAAATGTCTAACAACAACAACTTCTGCAACTTAATTCGAAGCTAATTGGTCTAGTATACCATTACAAATTTATATACAAAGGTCCTGACTATTGTATACTTTGATCAGGTACAAAATTTAGGACATACTGATCAGTCCATATTTTTTTAATTAATCAACTCTAGTGGACAAATCAAAATGCTAGTAGTAGTAGTATGCGAATTCTATATAATAAACGCTACTATTTTTACTACTTTTTCTGGTTGTTCCAGTTTACTACTAGTATATAATATTTTCCACCTTTAATTCATATTGTTATTTAAAAACAGTTTCGTGATCAATGAATCCGAGTCAATCGAATAAAAAAACGTACATTATGTAAAATAATCCATTTCATAATCTCATTTTAAAAGTGAATTACTTTAATCAATAAAATCAAAGTCTAGATATGAAAACAAATTTCAAAACAAGTCAAAAATATAATCTGTCACCACAAAGTGAATTTACATTACTACTTACTACCAATGATTATGTCCACCATTTATTATTTGTTCTGTAATTCATTATTTAACAAAACTAACACAAACACAATGTAACTAATACAAACATTTAGAATTGTAAACATGAAACATTCCGGTTGATTTTAGCCTATTTAACTAACATACAGAAAGGTTCCAATCATACTATACAAAATCTTTACAACATTAGTGAATTGATTTAAGTCCCTACAGAAAAAAAACCAGAACACTATGAAGCAAATCAGTAGAGATGATGAAAATTTGAAGAAAACACATATAATAAGTGTTAAGTGTAGTTGTATTATTAACTAAACTGGAGAGAGAGAGAAAAAAACCAAAAACTCAAGATTACAATCTTTAATATGATAAAATTTAAATCTGAACAAACTATAACAGTTTGTGTAACTACTTAACGATACTTATTATTACCTGACTGTTTAAACAAAATAAAAGTGAAATGAACTTCAAACATGTGATTTATTGGTTGAATGTTGGATAGTTGGATACACTAAGCTATATTTAGCATTAAACTAATATAATGAACAGGTGAGAAAATGCCGCACACAAATACAAAACAAACATATAATAACTTGAAATTTAATGACTTAAATCCTGTTCTCACAATGCGATTTCCTGATTTTACTTATAAAGCATTTTTGTCAATGGTTAAAGTTTAATTCATTAATATATATATATATATATATATATATATATATCAGGAAGCCGCATTTCTGAGAATACGTTATGAATATTATTTTTGAGTTAAACTATTTTTATTCATACATTGATGTAGTTAAATTTGCAAAGTTCTATTTTGCATCAACAGTTTAATTAGCCTGATGCTTAAGGCAAGTACATTTACATTTGCAGACTTAGTTAATCAGCAATGAATACTTTAAGGAATCGCATAAAAATATACCTTGAACCAAACTATTGTAGGAGTCAGTTGGTAAACCCTAAACGAACTCGGAAATCAACAAGTAAAAAATGTCGATGAATATAAGGAGTAAATAAATTTACATTCTTATTCCAGAAAGTTATGATATCTTAAAAGATCAAATTAGCTTTTTTCAAAACTTAAAATTCATGACCATTGGTTTATCTGGTTGTCAACTAGCATCATTGAAGATACAATCATCAATGAGAAAAATGATTATTACACATGATAGTTTCTAAGTGGTAACTACATAAAACCACACTCAAATTGATTATATTGTTTTCTAACATTATGCGACTTAATGCTACTTAATCGGAAGTATTTATTTGCCAGCCAAAGTTCTACCAGTTATTTTTGTGACAATACAGTAATAAGAAAATAGCCAATTATCTAGAAGATTCATATCCAAATATAAAGTGAAATATTCCAAGATACTCTCGTACAAAAAAGGATATATATGAAACAACACAACAGAGTTCGGAAATTCTCTTCGTTTTTCTAGATTGCTAATTAGTGTGTAAAATTGTAACATTATAAAGAATTTTTGAATGACAATTGTTAATCACGAAAATACTGTCAATAATACTTAGAGAATAGGTATATTCTGCCTAGGGTAGATGAAAAGATTCTACAGTTTATTACTTTTTCAAATATCTTTTCACAACAGCTGGAAAAACTCCTCTTAGAACAACTCTGCGGTCACTGCCGGTTCTAAACATAGATAAAGGAGAAGGATTGGGCATGAAGTCAACGACCGCATCCCGTAGGAAATCAACTCACTAGAAAATTACTGGTCAAAATATAATCTACATCATTTAAACTCTGACTCGAGAATGTATGGTCTTCGTTTCAAAGAGTTACCGTGCCTCATGATGGAAACCGAATTTCTTCGAAAGTCAGGAAGACAATGCCTCTTCTCACAACCACAGTAACAATCAGTATAGATATATGAAATGTTCGTACATTGCGAAACACACTGAGGAGTCACCCAAGTTGCTACAGAAATGAAAAGATACAACCTGATGGTACTTGGAATCAGTGAATCACATTGAACACAGGTTGGACAACTAAGATTAAGTTCATGGGATATGCAGTTATACTCCTGCAATGAAGAAGAAAATACCTCACAAACTCAACAATTTGCACTGATGCTTTCCAAACAAGCACAAAACCACCACTAGGATGGGAGTTTCAAGGACACAGGATCATCAGTTCATCCTTCAAAACAAAGAAAGAGGAAATTACAGTGAATGTCATCCAGTGGTTTACACTCATAAATGAGGACAATGAAGACCATGGATCATAGTTTTATGAGATCCTCCAGTCAATTGTACAGAAATGTCCAACAAAGGACGCGACCTGGACGCCAAGGTTGGGAAGGACAACCAAATATGAAGTTACCTTCGGAAGACACGAACAGAGAGGAAGGAACGAGGAAAATGAAACGTTCGCAAATCTATATGTTTTCAACAAAATCGTTATGATTGACACCATATTCCCACACAAAACCACACACAAACCTATACGAGTTTCACCGGATCAAACTACACAGAATCAACTAAATCCCATCTGCATCAAGGAAGAGTTCAGAAGGACTCTGAAAGACATAAGAACAATAAGAGTAGCTGACACAGATACAAATCATCACTTGGTAATGACCAAGATGAAACTAGAACTCAAGGAGCACTGGATAACTGGACTAACAGCATCACAAAAGTTAATTACGGCCTTTCTTCGGTATACTGACAATCTCAACGACTTCACGATAGTCCTCAGCGATAAGTTCCAAGCCTTTCACGGGCAACTCAATGGAGAGGAAACTACTATGCAGAACAACTGGAAAGAGATCAAAGAAGCAATAACTTCAACATGTCATGAGATTCTTGGCCACAACAAGCACCACCACAAGGAATGGTGAATGGGCATACACTGAACAGGACACAAGAGGGGAAAAACAGGAATACAGCAGAGAAAGCCAAGACAGTTCTAATACACAGAAGCAAACAAGCAAATGAAGAGAAGCATTAAATTTGATAAACGGATTTCTGGACCAAGAAGTAGGATACGGAGAAAGAATCCATCGAGTTGTGAACCAATAAGGATTTAGAGCTGAATCATGATTTCTGGTACTAAAACGTAAATCTGATTGGCGCTTTGTATTTGTCACATGGTATTGGTGAATGGTTAGGCTAAGCAAATACCACAGCCTTATATAAAGCGCACTGGTTCTAAAACAACTCAGCGATAAAGTGACACATCGTACTAATCTGTGCTGACTAGAACTAAACTGAGGTCAAATAGGTTATATTGGTAACTATCTCCAACTAACCTACATCCTTATAATATTCATTAGAATTTAATTGTCAATAAAATACTTACCGCTATAAAAGCAGGATCCATATCATTTTTCACCATGTACACTTGCAATTCATCTGTTGTGATAGTTTCTGAAAATTATGTGAATAATTCAACTGATTAATTAACTAATTAATAATTAAAATTTATAATTAAACATAGATTCAACATTTTAAACACATAAACTAATTTTGGTCAATCAATATCTGACTGTTATTGATAGGGTGAGTGTAATCGATTTAAATAGACAACTTATTCATAGTGCAAGTCATTTATAAATTTATTTAGCATAGGTAAACAATGGTTTGGCACATAAACGTTTATATATGCAGGACAAGATTTTGAAATGATTGACCTTATTATGTGGTTAGTTTGTTTTATGAACACCAGTTTGTAGTTTATAGTTTAGTTTATTGTTGCATATTGATAAACAAAATACAACTTCACCGTTCAATAGTTTAGATGAATGTAAGATAACTATACACTGCCGCGTTTTGTCAATAGTGGATTCATCCTGTTTGGCTGCAAATAGAGCTCAAAAGTATACAATTATTCAAAGCATCAGTGACATAAGAAGATCTTAGATCATAAACGATGTAAATAAGTTGGAGAACGAGGAATGAAGCAGATAATAGGTAAGAGAATATTTATAGTCGTTGAAAAATGTTAACTGGAAGTACTGATCATTAGTTAAACATTAACAACCCTAAGTTAAACTTCAAGGGTCTAGAGGACAAGCGCTCGCCCTTGAGACCGAAAGACTTGAGTTCGATTCCTGGATGCAATGTCGTGGCATGGGGATTGCCGAAGAGTAGCATTATAGGCGAAAAGCTTGTTTAGCTCTTCAAAGCTCTTTATTCTGGTGTAGATAAGATCATTTTATGACTTAAACTTTCAAAAAATCAAATAAGATATGAACTTTTGAAACTTTCAGATATATTAAAATTCAGTTCAGTTATATGCTTTTAGTTTAATACTATCAACTGCTGAACCCAGTACAATGATATATTGAATAACTTAAGGAGCCAGTCAGAAACTAAGACTTTTAAGTCAAAATTAACCAATATTTAAAATCAAACAGAGTGTATGGGACTATCATCAACGTTATCAATAAGACTAGTTGCTCAACACCTTACATATTAAAATAACATCTTAGTATATTTGGACTCAGATATTCTCTATTCTTTTTTCACTCTAGCTGATGTTATGTACATTTTTATTTAGTGTACATTTAGATACTCATGCTTAATAGTGAAAATGTATGTTTGTTTATCAATCGATTAACGAATAACTTTTCACAATCCATCAAATAAGAGTAATATGTTTACCCTTATACATTTCCTTACAAACTTATTTCAACTGTAACAACTGTCGTTAGGAAATGAATACTAGGTAGGGATGGCAACTCAGTTAAAGAAGTATTGAAACTTCATCAGTTGAGGTGGCTAGGATATACGTTACGAATGCCTACTCACCAACCGCCTCTACGAACTTTGTTTTGTGGTGTGGGAATAGATTGGAAGAAAACTAGGAGCATCCAAACCAAAACATGGCAGAAATCCATGCAGTCTCTAACAAGTGGACTGAGCCATGTTAGTAGATGTAGGTTACCTAGTTGGAGTCCGCAAGAAGAAAGTAACCGTCGGTTAGAGACCTTGAATGACACGGCTCTAAGTCGTTGGAAATGACGCAGGTGCATCCACTCTTTGTGTTCTCGCAAATCCTAACCTTCCTCATTACCTCTATCTTTCTCTCTAAAGTCATCTCCCTGAACTATACCTCATGAATAATATCTTTGAACCCTAATGTTCTCCATTACCAGTATTATCTCAACTATCTTTACCACTATAGGATTTAAATTGACAGTTGCGTCACTGTGCTAATGCGGCATGGCAACCTGAACTGACTCAGGCACGTACGAAGTTCTATGTTGTAACTGACTGACTGACTGACAATTATAACAACAGATGACAAATAAATAAATCAGTTGTGCTAGCATCTTTAAGTATTCTTATGATTGATGTCATACTACATGAATATCAATTATAATTCGTTAGTTTACAATTATGGTCACTTAGAATTATTTGTTATAGTTTCAGATTGTCATAGAGATAAGCTCAAAATAAATGTATTTCTATTGATATTGGTTAAGTCGAGAGTTCCATCTTCACCTAAAATCTATATTTATCACTAAAATTATTCAGTTACTCAAAGGTTGGTTGTTTTAAAATCAAAATGTAGTGTTTTATTAAAACAGTAATTGCATTACTACTGTTCACTAAGGTGAAGACAGGCTAAGATATTGAGAATTATTAATAATTCCAACAACCCATTTTCTTAATTAACTAATGATAAACAGTAATTGTTTAATCAATCAATTAGTCATAGACTATTCGTCATAGACATATTTCGTATTACACGTTCGTAGAAAATCATTTCAGAGGTTTTATTGGAATAATTACCTATATATATAAAGGAAATTCAGGAGACCGGATTCGAACGAATAACCTCAGGACTCCTGATAAAAGAATTTGTCAATAAATATGTAGTGACCTAATGTTAGCTGGATTTTGAGTTCATTTTATTTCTTATAAACTATTTTTCTAACTATATACTAAACAAAACACTTTTAAAGATTTCTAATACCGCCTTATAAGTAAGAATATATTCCTATCTTAGCCAAGGAAAAATGACAAAGTGAGCTATCAAAATCCACTAGAACACCAAACATCTGTTGATAACTATAAAAATTCTAACCTGAGTGATCTTGATCTATGGCGAAAAAAGCTTCTACAAAGGCATCCATATTTATCATACGCTTTACAATACACTAATCCACACTGTGCAGTCGGAACCTGGAGGAGAAAACAATCTGGTTTTTATTTTCTCTAGACACGAGTTATTGCAACAGTAACAGAAGCGTGGTTTTGTCTCCGCCTACGTTTTGAAGGTCACTTGAGAAGGACATTGTCCGAGAGCCAATAAGAAACAGCCAAAAATTTTATTCATCTGTTTTTGTGGCCTGGATGAATTTCTTTGGCTGTCAATTACTAGATATCAGATTGTCCAATCACTGTCGAATTGTAAACTTACAAAAAAATCACCTACGCAATCTACTGTGACTGGGATTGGTTAAACATTCGCTTTTTTGGCAAAATGGCTTATCGAACTATAGCCTGTAGTTCAGTGTACACATGCTTTTTCAAATAATAGATCGTGATAAAAATTTTGGGTGTTTGAAATTCTGGCCTGCAAACATTTATTTCAACAGTGACACAAATCTTCTCATTCTCGAGTAGTTAGACATAGGCTCGCAAAATGTAAAACCCTAACCTCAAATTAGGTTCAGAAATCAGTACTCCTAATTTCAAATTTTCGTTATGCCCATTTTCTAATCACTATTCATGATGAATTATAGGCGTTTCATGGTTGGATGTTTTCTCAAACTTTGCAAATGATAACTGGGGTTGGCTAACAAAGACAAACATAGTTTTGGGGCTCCATAATTCCAAACTTATGGTACATCTATACTTTTGTTCAGTAAACATGAGAAGACGCATATAGAAGATAAATTCTGAAATGAAGTTAGCTTACTTTACTGTGTTAGAGCTCTTACTTGTCTAAATGCCATGAATTTTAGTAGTATGGACATATTCAAGTAATACACCAAACCTATATTATTTATATAGGTACAAACCAAAAACACACCCGAAACCATTCCAGTAACCGAATATTAGATCTTGAGATGCACTTCTAGTGAATTATACTCAGACAACTCTGTGGAAAATCAATGGTTCACAATTTTAAAGTAGGTTATTTCATTTTACTTCACGCTGTTGAGAGAATCAAGCTAAAACGGAGCGGGTACTTGGAGTTGTCTAGTTTTCGATAATTTTTTAGGTACGATCTGTACCTGAGTTGAACCTCACAAATTCTACAAACCTCCCATTTTAAGAAGCCGATAAATTATATTATATCATGACAGTAATGTCAGAGTATGAACATGGGATTAATCACTGATTCGAAGGGTATGTATTAACTCAAGCTATCATTAAAATCTCAATCTATTGATGATAGTTGTTGAAACAATGTAGTCATACGTTTGCGACTACTTAAGCCAGTTACCCTGATTGAGGTGTAAGCCGTTGACTAGGGATATTTGTCAAAATCTGTGCTCTCCCTTATAGTTGTTATGAACAGCTATTGATACTGTAGATATTTGCTTTTTATTACTGATGTCATGTACTTCTCAATCTGTCTGTGTTTCTGCTTCATTAAACGGATCCTAACTCTGGGTGACTGAGTGAGTGCCGAAATTCTTCAGTACCAGATAGTCACCTGTCAACTCTAACACAAAGAATAATCACCACTTAAAAAAATACCATTTTCATCAAGTATTTTATCATCACTTTCAGTTAATCTGCGTTTACTCATATGCTTTTCTTCAGTACCTCATTTACTCACAAATCTAACCCTCCATTGGGTACATGTACCACGCGATCACACCAACACATAGAAAACAGTCAGAACAGGGTATTTTTATTAAAAAGGAACTAGCTTTATGGTTGTAGTGCCTCCACATATATTCGAGTTCGCTTACATTTAATTTCGTTAAGCCCTTTCGATTAATCTATTCAGCCAAGCCATTTGTAAAACAATAAGTTATATGTCCCATTGGCTTTTATTATTGTGTGGTTTGTATGAGCTGGTATTGTGGTCGAGCTACTTATAAGTAGTATATGACGTAAGTGACAACGTAATGTCTGGCAGCAGAAGATGGGGGAAGATCAAGAAAGGAAGAGTTAGAAGAACACAATGGAATTTGTATGAAACGCATGAATAGTGACAATGGATTGGTGTTTGGCAACAGGAACAGTCCAGTTCGATATGATGGACTGATATTTTGCAAGTTAACGATTTACGATATGGTTTTCCGATTTTACTGAGTAACTCTGTAATTTTCGTTAAATACAATTCGGTTGCCCCACCTGTGTTCTCGTTCACTACAGTATGACTTAGCGTTGCTTAACGCCTACGCTCATATGCATCCTAGTATAAACCATCCAATGTTCAGTGACCTGTCGTCTAACGTAGAAGCGATTCAGTTGAGTGGTATTTCAAAGACTCTACAGACAATATAGCGCAAATTTTTTAAATTAAACATAAAATAGTCCACATTATTTGAAATAAACTACTTATAAACATGAGTAGTATGAAAGCTAAATAATAAAAATAGAGCTTTTTTATGTAAATATGTGTATGGCGATTATTGGGTAAAATTTAGAGTGAAGTTCGAACTGATAGCAAAGTAACCATCAGCTTGGTTTCTCTTCAGTCAATTTATTATATTTTGACAGAACAGTGAGAAGACGTAGCTGATCTGAAAATGTGATGTATTTGCGCTGTACATCTATCGAAAAGCACATTAATGAGACAGGGAGTAAGACTGACATCAAGACAGAATTCAAAACATTGTATAGAAATGTTGAAGGACGAATTCGGAGGTTTATAGAAGCCTTGGCTATTCGTAAATTAAAACCCCCCCTTATGGGTACAGAAACAATTTGTTATAACCTTGAATTTATCCTGGTAATTTTTAAGCCTAGCGTAATGTGACAATTTCCTAACCTTTCTTATTCTTTTCATATTACGTTAATTTTCTCTCTCCTTTATTTACAGTTATCACCTCATGTCTATTTGAACTTTTATTTTATTGACCTTTTCTTAATCTTCAAATAAAATGCCTTGACAAGTATAAGTGTTTTAAAGATTCCCATTGTGAAAATTAGAACAACACATATAAGCGAACAATATTGTTTTCGATTAGATCGTCATCAGGCTTTACTCTAATATACATGAATATTTATATGAAAATGTTAAACCAATCAAGGCAATTTGAGTGATAATCACAATGAAATGAAAAAGGCAAAAGTACAAGTGGATAGTAGGAAGATAGGTGAACCGATAGTAGTAGGAAAATTTATAAAATATGATAACTAAAGTAGGTCAAGGGTGGATGAATAGAATTCAAATAATCATCAAAAACATCAAAAACATTACGGAATAAGCAGATGTGTAAAAATAATAAAAATAATAAAATTAAATTAAAATAAATAAAATATATATATAATGTCAATCGTTAGTTACGTCATATCCGGCCACGGAAGAGATAGGGGTGTCACGAATTTCTTCTGAACACATAAATTAGGGTTGAATGTACGTATTCCTATGGCTTCTGCAATGTGTAGGAGACGGGATCGAACTCCGTTGGGAAATGATGGAGGTATAATATAGATCACCCGAAAAGATCTAGATTTATCTACAATGTGACCACTATCTACCAGGTGTGCTAAGATAGAACTGCGTATTGTTTTTGACTGACCCTTCGTAAACCATGCTGGGAGATGTTCACTCATTCGTTGGTTAAGTTGCCTGGTAGATAGTGGTCACATTGTAGATAAATCTAGATCTTTTCGGGTGATCTATCGTATACCTCCATCATTTCCCAACGGAGTTCGATCCCGTCTCCTACACATTGCAGAAGCCATAGGAATACGTACATTCAACCCTAATTTATGTGTTCAGAAGAAATTCGTGACACCCCTATCTCTTCCGTGGCCGGATATGACGTAACTAACGATTGACATTATATATATATTTTATTTATTTTAATTTAATTTTATTATTTTTATTATTTTTACACATCTGCTTATTCCGTAATGTTTTTGATGTTTTTGATGATTATTTGAATTCTATTCATCCACCCTTGACCTACTTTAGTTATCATATTTTATAAATTTTCCTACTACTATCGGTTCACCTATCTTCCTACTATCCACTTGTACTTTTGCCTTTTTCATTTCATTGTGATTATCACTCAAATTGCCTTGATTGGTTTAACATTTTCATATAAATATTCATGTATATTAGAGTAAAGCCTGATGACGATCTAATCGAAAACAATATTGTTCGCTTATATGTGTTGTTCTAAGTATAAGTGTGACCAGATTGTTCGAAGGGTATAGCGCAAATATATCACATTTTTCCTGGTCAACTATGTCTTATCATTGTTCCGTCAAAACCTCCAATTAGACAAGTGGACACATTTCAACTTTATCGATAATATTTGATCAGGACAAAACAAGCATAAATATTGCTAACCACTGAGTGATCAACGAATGCAAGTATTACTACTAGTCAAGAAATAAATTAAATATTTACTTTATTAACCTTTATTTATACACAATCTATAAATAGTATTCAATATTGGTAACATTCAGCATTCAGCGTCATGCAATTCAAATGAGATTTATTAAAATGTATGAGTGCTGTTAATTAAACTTAATAATCTTCCTTGGATTAACTTAGTTATTTCATGAATATGAAGGACTCTAGTTAGAATACCGACATTTACTTTGTTATTATTTTACCTTTTCTCGGTAAAACCGTATGAATATAGTTCAAAAAAATATATTATATGTAATCTGTAACGGATAGTAAGCAGTTAATAATTTTATATTTGACTGTGTCCAGAAGTGTATGTCGAAGACAGTTGATTGTGACTGGATACTTTGACTAACAGTTGAAAGAGGTACCGTTCAGTCGTAACTGCAATGTAAATGACTCTGGGGTGTTTCTATTTGTTTATCTGCAAAAAAGGACAGTATCTAAAGGCGTACCATCTTCAATCAGTTTTTTGCTATATGGGGTTTTCATTGAGATTGCTGAATTTTAAAACCTGTATCAAGAACTGATGTTGGTTAAACAACCACTGAAAACCAGGAAATTTCGGATGTCATAGAAGGCACATAACTGTAGATTCCTGATGATGTCGTGTTATTTTTAATTTTCAGAGGTTATTCAAACACGATCAGTCTGTAATGTATACTATAAAATATATTTCCTTACTTTTATAAGTCACTGGATGGAAGGCCGGAACAATCAAAGATAGCATGCACATGTGCACATACCAGCCCAGAGTCAAATAATCAGTGGAAAATATTGACTGATTCAAGCTACTGGTTCATTTATCAGAGGGGCCCCCATTTTGTGTATATGAATGAGTTTGCCCACGTTTTTGGCTAAGTTTAGCTAACCAAACACATCTTATTTTCTCGCTCACGTTCCAGGTTAAGCTCACATATAGTATGCATACATATCGGTATCTAAATTGGACAACTGCCTATTAAAACATACAATTCAAGAATAAAAAAGAAGGAGAAAACTAAGATTACACAGCTTAATTTCAAACATTGTTAAGTTAAAAAATGATATTATTTTTAAAGGTTCTTGCAAGGTGGCTAGACAAGTTTTGAAGATTTAAAAAGTTATTCAATCTTAAATGAATGACATACTTCATTCGTGTCATTCTTATCAAATAATAATAATTATTCCCTAATGAATGCATGTCTGCAAGATTTTGTTTGTTATGGTTATAATTAAATTTTCTTTACCTATTCACAAATATTTATCTATACTTCATTACCTAGTTTCTTTTTTACTTCATCTATCACTGATTTCAATCAACTGTCATTAACATTGTGAATGTGAGTGTATCTTGTGCAACTTTTATAATTTTTCTAATTAATAACTTATGTAATGAAGTATGAAAGATTTTTCATGCATTTACATCCCTTCATAATTTTGAAAAGTAGAATGTAGAAACAACAAGATTTCTTTGAAATCTTCCCATCCATTAAATGTCAATTTACGGTTGTTAATGATTTGAACTAAAAGTTTGACGAATGCTTTCCTGTAGTCAATGAAGTTGATGTATAGTGGTGAGTCCCATTCAGTTGCTTGTTTGATAATGATCTGTCCATGAGATTTCCCTCCTAGAAGTTATTTTTGTGCTTGTTTGGAAACCATCAGTGCAATTCATTGAGTGTGTGAGGTATTTTCTTCTTCATTTCAGGAGTATAACTGCACATCGCATCAATTAAGTCTACTTTGACCAACCTGTGTCCAATGTGTTTCGTTGATTCTAAGTACCATCAGATTGTATCTTTTCATTTCTGTAGCAACTTAGATGACTCTTCAGAGTTTTTCACAATGTACCTACATTCCATATATTTATACTGATTGTTCCTGTGGTTGTGAGAAGAGGCATTGTCTTCCTGACTTCCGAAGAAATTCTGCTTTCATCACGAGGCATCATAAGTCTTTGAAACGAAGACCATCTAACTCCCAAGTCAGAGTTTAAGTGATGTAGATTGTTGTTTGACCAATAGATTTTTAGCGAGTTGATTTTGTATGGGATGCGATCGCTGACTTCATGCCCGATCCTCCTCTTTTGTTCAGGTTTAGAAGGACTCTAGTTGCAGTTTTCCCACTTTGTAGTCTGTTAAAATATGACTTATACTAAGTATACTGAACTTATTTCTGTTATGTGTAGGGAAGACTGAAGTAAATAGTATCTTAAGAACTAAGTTTATGAATTATTGGTATATATACTTTAATTGTATACCTACTAAGTAACCAGATTATTACCTATCTGTATTCCTTGTATCCTGAGCTCTTGAATAATGTATTGACCATAGTTTTATAATTAATTATTCTTAATCTGTTAGTGATTTATTATTCAAAGTCTCCCCTACTCATAGCCACTTTTGGTTCACTCATATATAGTTGTTGATTTATATTTAATGGTGCGATATGGTTTGTTTTTGTACGTAAATAGAAGATTGTTTGAAATATAATACAAAATCTTGGATTGTTGTTCATTGATCTTTGATCGTCTGCTTCAATTTGGACAAGCTAGTAGTGGTTTGTCCTTTAAGCACTAAATAACAAATCTGTCGTCCTTGCTACGTATTGGTTAATCAAAGGTCATCTGCATATTGATTCGTGTACAGGACACAGTAATTTCTTTGTCATTTTTTTAGTGAGTTTGAGCAACATTCTATGTTCTCCCATTATATTATATATGTGTTTTCACTCAACAATTATTTACATCTGTATTTTCAAGTTTTATCCATGGAGCACCTATTGACAATATATTAATATTGGGGCACAGTTTTGGAGGTTTGCGTTTTTACACATTTGAAATCATTAATCAATCAGGCGTTCGCCTACAATGCCAAAGGTCCCGGGTTCAAATCCTGCGAGGAGCAGGAGTCGTGGATGCGCACTGCTGAGGAGTCCCATACTAGGACGAAACGGTGCTTCCAGGTTTCTAATGGTGGTCTAACAATGATGATTGATTAATGATTTCAAATATATTAATAGTTTTCTCATTAAGCTATTGATTTTTGCACAAATATTACATTTCATTAGATAAATAATTTATAAGTACTAAATCTGTTGTGATTACTTTCAAATGTAAAACTAAGGTTATTTACGATAGAATGGTTATTAGTTCAGCAGTATTAATAATACGTTTCCGATTGATCTACTTAAATTTTCGCAGATTTTGCCTACTCTAACACTAGCCACCTCATTGGTTCGATGATCTATATATAAAGAAACAATTAAACCGGCAAACAAATAAGCAGATATCAAAAGAGCACATTAGTTTAGCCGTCTTAAGCAGTGTGAACTTCAAGATGGCATCATCACTTGGAAACCTAAACTCTCTGTGTTCGATCGCTTTTATACGGGGCAGTATGTGTACACATTTGAGAAGATTCAAACACTTAGTACAATAATGAAGAAAGCTTTTTGAATTCCAATATCACGTTAAGATAAGTTCAATGTGTAATGGGAAGGAACTTCATTTTAAACATCTTTCAAAAAGCTCTCATCCTAGATTATTGGAAGTCATCATGTTGAACTTTAGTAATAATATTTAAATGAGATATATTAGTTATAAACACGAGTATGTGTTTTTAACTAGTTAAAATATAAGTTTAATCCTTATGTATTTACTTACTGGTTATCATGAAATGAAAGAATTCGACAAAATTATATATCAAGCTGAGTTGAAATTCACATGTAAAATATTAGCAAACAAAAAGAGAAATCTTCCTTTTTCTATGGTTTTTTACTGTAGAATTTTTAGAGAAATGTTTTTACGGATCAGGTATATTAGAAATATTTTATTTTCTTTTTATATATCCGGAATCCTGTATATCAGAAATATACGGTCATCTTTAATGAAACAGAAATTATAGCTAGTTTCATGACAATAACGCGACCAGTATCGACCATAGATGATGATTATATTCCATAACTTTCCAAAAGTTTTATCCAATTCGTTTTTTAGGAATTCAGTCAATTTCTAAACCAAAATACAAAAATGAACGAATTAGATTAAGTAACTGTCTCATATTTGTAATGCTACACTCTTTGTGGTATAAAATTTAATTAAATAGTTTTCATCATCATTCTAGACATGAGCACCACCGAAATGAATGGTTTAAGATTAATTCTATCCAATACACCAACAGTCAAGCAAATCCTTCAAGCTACAGAACCCAAAGTTTCAGTCCATTCCCATCACTCAGGGCTAGTAGAAACTCACTAATCCGGTATGACCATGTGGATGAATGACATGATTTCAAGAAGTAAAAATAAACTTGGAGAGTAATAGATGAATAAAAATAATGCGTCTTGCTTCTGCAAATATATTATCAACACAAGAATATTATTTGCTTCAAAAAACACACATTTTAACCATGATCAATTAGGTTTCAAAGCTTTTTGAAGCTTTGTACAATTCATCGATTAAGTATGCGTTTAGATTTACTGACTGTTGACAATCAGAGTATCGTACATCATGAGTTCTTACTTGAAGAATAGTGTATCCTGTCTTTTGAGTAAATGTACTCAAACTTTTTAAAGATCCTCTGAGGTGTGTCCTTTACTGATGAATGATTGATGTGTCAATAAATTTAGAGGTGACATCCGTAAGTTTTTGACTTATAATTCGATTACTACGAACGATTACTTTTCGTGCTAACCAGGATGTTCCCTCTTAATTTCTAAGATCTCAAGTTACCATTTATGAAACAATGATGTACTTATGTAGACTGATGTCTGAGGACTTTCAAAGATGTTACATACAATATAAACAAAGAGTAAACATGTTTTTAAAAACTACTTGACTGAATATTTTATATTTGTTTGATAAACTGTGATATGCGGTGTTTGAATACAGTACGGTACTATCAACTGAAGGTGTGAAATATTGTTAGAAATTCTTGTCTAATTTACACCAGATTTTTATCTTACTAGTAATCATCCAAAAAAAACCCATACTAAATACCTTTTTTACCTGCCATTCATATTCAACCACTACTTTTTTTCCCGCGAATGCTCAAGATACAACTTTTTTGAATTACGCAATAAATGTATATACTAACTAAGGAATTGTCAAGTTTTTCTAGTTTAATGTAAGTACGTCAATCTAAATTGAATTTTATATTTCTTATTCCGCTGCACACTAACAGAAGGAACAAAATGTTGCAACAATTGTAGTGTTACCGCTTTAATTTGTATTATTTAGTAGGTAGATAGTTTGTAAGATTTTTTATTTGAAGTTTATCATTGAATAATACAATCAAAAGACCCAAGTTATTGATTCAAACCAGTATGGAATTAGAAAAATATTATGATACTTGGACGATTTAAAAATAGATAGTCGGAATAATTGAACAAGTCATTGAAAAATAATGGATGTTTTCTGCATAAGACAGACCACTAGTATAGAATCCAAAATTAGAGCAAAAAAGATCGTTTTCCCTGGTTTTTAAATTGATATGTTGAAAGTGTGAATTATCATGTATTTGAAAAATATTTCATAAAAACAACACAAAGAACATTTGGAAAAAATAAGATAAAATTGTGAAAATAACATGCCTTACCATATCATCATGATAAATTAATATTCCTTCATCAATCAATCCACATATGGTCAATTTCATTTTTGTAGCCATATCCGATTGAATAACGCGTACATCCTGCATTTCATCTCCTTTAATTGCAGTTTGAATAGTTCTAACAGTAAAAAAAATATTGTCTCAATTTAATAAAATCAACTTACATAACTTCTTCTTGTAAACCTAATACTTCACAGAATTTTTTCAATGTTATACGACCAGTGGATTCAGGATCGAATAGACTTTTCCAACGCTATAAATGAGAGACAATTCAAGAATTGAAATCACAACTGACAAGTATATTGATATTTGAAGAAAATAATAAGATCTCAAAGCTACGATGAAATTACAAGATAAAATTAATTTTTGAGCTAAACAATTGTATGAAAACTGTTGGAAAATTGAATCTTGTCAACAAGTGAAACTTTGTAACAAGTTGATTTACGTAAATAGATATAGATTTAAATAAAATATCAGAGATTTTATGCTTTGTATTTAATTTTCCGATTCGAATACTTTACTATTGGTTGTTAAAATAACTGATGATCTTACGAAGTTTACCGTTGTGATATTTAGCGATTGACTATAATCGGTAAAAAATATCCTTCTGAACCAAGATTGCTAGCTTGTTAACACATTTCAGTAAGGCATATTCTGGATATTGAGTGGACTGATGTTCTCTGGTGAGTTATAAATCACACATCTGGTTTCGCAGTTTGAGAAAACTTACACGTAGCTCTTTAGGCGGTAACCACTGGATACCAGTTCATTAGTCTAAAGCTTGAGAGATCATCTCGAGAGCTTAGGCTTCTAGGTTTGGTCATCGTTAGAGTCGTAGACGATTACTGCTGAAGAGTCTTACACTAGAACTAAACAGCTATTTAGTGTTTATTGGTTTAAGATTATTTCGTTGTGGAAACTATTAACTGTACTACACCTGGTTCAGAAATATATGACTTACTTCATACATTGTTTCTTCCACATCATTCTCGTCCATATACTTTCGTAACTCTGGCATCGTAATCCAGCCTGAAAGAAATTATTAAATCCACTATATATAAATCGGATTTGTCTTAAAATGCTTGGTTGTAAAGATAAACATCCTCCTATCAATACTTCTTGAGAAATAAAATACGAAAAGTTACAGCCAAACCTAATGAATCCTCTATCTAATGACGCTTATGTTACACAGATTGATTACTACTCGGTAACTGACGTTCTTTCCACCTAGCATCAACTACTGGTCAAATTCTGCTGATCAGATAAGAATTTGTCCAACCTATGTCTGAAGATGCAAAAACAGGATTAATAAGATAGATACGCATAGATTAGTGACCAAGTTGAAATCTGGTCGATAGAATTTGATCTGGATTAAGGCTTATTATTCGGTAATGAGTCCTACAGTTGATATTAGTTGAGTCCCTAGTAATTCCGTGATAGCATCTTTGGTTGTAATATTGAGTGATTTGTACTTGATTCTTTTAGTGAAAACCACTTCTCATATGATTGCAACCAAGTTGAGCAGATACTGTACCACTATTTTATCTGTATTACATGTGCTCAATTAGGAAAAGTCCCATATTTTATTTAAAAAACATTTATTTACTCAATAAATCGATTTATAGTAGACTGGATGAATATTATATTCAAATCATAAAATCTTTGCGCAAACAGAATCATAAACAAAACGATTTATCTTGTCGTAAGTCAAACTCATCAAATTATATATACTAACTAATAGAAAAGTAAAAACAATAATTAACTAAAAAAATAGTTTCTTTTAATTGAATATCAATATATATCTAAAAACTACACACATTATTCCTACATGTTTATGTCAGATGACATGATTACGCTAAAGTGATGTGAACTTTGAAAAATAAAAATAGTAAGAAAGATTATTTCTCAGCGAGTAGTTTCACACTACGGCTTCACATGAACAATGTATCTTTTCAATAATAATTATTATTATTTCTAATGGTGGTCTAACAATGATTGATTGATGATTTCAAATGTGTAATAATAATTATACCGATTGAAAAAATCAATACCATTCAAGTGATGGATAGTACAATAAGTTGCAGTATTACAAATTTGTGAGTAAATATGAGTTTAAAGCTCGTAAAATGCAAAGCACCAAGGGAATTAATTTGTTTCAGGACCAAGACGCTCATCACTACTAGCTTTGTATAAATACTTTACGATTTTTAAATACACTATTGTATTGGTATGGTTTTGATCAACTTATTTACAGCTGTAACTTTACCGGATCATACATTAACACTTTTTACGACGTCCCTGATACCTGAAGCTCATTTTTTTGGGAGTTTTTGCACGGAGGTTTTGCTTAAAATAATAATGTGTTACGTGATTAATTATGAAGATTATTGAAAACAGCCATTTTTGTGTTGAAAGATTATCGGCTACTGAATAAAATTAAGTAATATACTTATAAAATACAAGCTAAAAGAAAAAATCGATGCTGAAAAATATTCCCGTCTTCTAATGTAGACATCATCAAACATTTTTCTTGTGAATATATATATATATGTACCTCGTCTGATTAGAGAGAAATATTTTTTTGCTGATAAATTTATTCAGACATGTAAACAAATGGTTAGTTTTCAAACACTGGTACAAAATTTACATGAAGTCATAATTATCTACTTGGAGGTTTAATGTCATCGAATCCGTATCGTTCTTTTGGGACAATTAAGAAAATCTCCTAGAAAGATTTACGGATATTTGCTTACTATAATTTCTTACAAGTACAACAAATTATGCGATGATAGTGTGTTGATGTAACAAGAAGATTTCCTTACCGTAAATTCTTAACATATAATTCTTTTGCTACTTTGTAACCCACAAAATGAAGAGAAGTTTATTAAGTAAGGATGACGTGTTATGATTAATCATTCGGCTGATTCAACATTTTATAGAAGTATCCAGTAATGAGATTGTTTAATGAGCTTTACTGTATTAGGACAATACGATTTTCAGAATAAAATAAAATCATCATTTAATTTGATTGGTTCGTATGAAATATAAATATTCTGACGTTTGAACGCTTAATACAATCAGTAACAAACATTGGCTTACTATAACTCATAAAAGTCAAAAGTTTTTTTTTTTATCAACCTACTATTCTTTAAATAGTTTAGCTGTCTGCATATGATGAAACCTCTTAAAAATCAGATAAATTTATTCTAGCCGGAGTATTTGGCTATATTTTAATTGAGAAAAATATTTAGTTTTGGCAGACAAGCTAATAAAATACGGTTTATAGTTGATGATCATAATTAAGCATTCCATTTATTAATATAATGACTTTTTAAAAAGGTTAATAATCAGTCTGATAAATAAACATCTTAATTAACATCTCTAGAATAGAATGTATACAATTATTGTTTAGAGGTATAGTTCATTTTTGGAAGCATCACTAGTAATTTTCTCCTTAACGTTTACAGTGATTCACTTTATGGATCCTGGTCACATCGAACAAATTTAGGTAGCGACGAAACTGTTTTTTTTCCTAGATGTAAAAACATTAGTAAACAATAAGTGACAGTGAGAAGATACAGTGATAACTTAGCAAGCAATTCTACCGACTGACGGATACTTAAATAAATTTATTATCAAAAACAGATTATAGTTAGGATTTTTACTATCATTACTACTGAAATTTAGAACTGGAAAACAATTGTGATGTTAAACAACTGATTACTTTTGAATAGTGAACTACTGTGGTTTGTACTATGCAAATAATAAAATAAAAGTCATTCAGATGAAGATTTTAATACACCTTATTGACTGCAATCGCAACAGCAGGTAAATGATACCTACAACTGGAAATTGTGAATTGTACAAAATAAATAAGACAACAGATGAAGATTTATTGAAAACACTCGAAATGGATTGAAACTACATGTAAAATAGATTGACTTTTGTATTTTGTCAGTAATGAAAAATAGCCAGATTTGTATCATCTGAATTCAGTAGTTTTGGATATTAATTCATCAAAGAATCTCTTTTTAAACATAAATTCACAATAAAATCATCTGTAACCAACGAAAATGTCTGATATAATTATCATTTCTTATAATAATCAGAAAAATTAACATAGCTTTTGTCGGTGAATGATAATGCTATCAATTAAATCCTAACCTTACTATATCAGCTAGCAATGAGACTGAGGGTGTGCATTCAACTCTTTTTAAAATGTACCCACATATCACAGTCTTGATAACTAAACTGAAACTGAAACTTACCACCTTTCGCTAAAAATGCGTTACCAGTATTGAGCTTGCTTTAAACTAGACATTACAAAAAATAGGTTTTTACTTAATTTAATATTGTTTCCATACTTTTTAAACATCAAATGTTACTTAAACTCACCTTTTTTTCTTTTATCAATCATGAAATAGATTTCAGTAAATCCATCCATTTTGTGAATAGTCTGCATTTTGTTGACAATCAGTTGTTTGTTAAAATTTCAACCGAAAAATATCTTTCTGAAAAAAGAAAACAATGAAATTTATTTGTTGAAATATGCAATTTGGAATTCTGAAGGATTTGTTTAGTCACATAAGTTTATTTAGCGCATCTATATTGTTATGATACGTTCGGCTTTTATGCGTAAATATGCAAAAAATAGCCAGTAAGATTGATTTTAGCTAACTACTTCACGTGTGTACTCACAAATCAAAATATTGAATCAATGAAAAAAGAAACGTTGTTATTTAAATTAGCCATTTGTAAGTGTGAGCAATAAAGTACACTTAGGTACACATTGATAATAGTTATTCGATTTTTAAAATAAACAGTAAAAGAAAGTTAAAATGTTTATGCCTTCACTAATTAGTTCTAAAGTAACAACCAGTGCTATAATTTTCTGGTACATTTTATTTGCTGGACTCGATCAATCATGTTTCAATTCAACAACTAATCTAAGTGCTTTCTAATTATAAAGTTAAGTACCATTCAGTCGAGTTCTATAAAACCATTCATAAATCCACACATACCAAGCTAAAAACTATCGTCTGGCTTAAAACGATTACTTCTCACTACCCTTGGTGTTTATAAACTCACTACATTGAACAAAAGAGGTGCATATTTGTCTGTTACTCTGTCTAACCAAAACAAACTAGTGTGAATAAACTGAGTTTTACATAGTAACTCACTTGGAATTAAAAATACACAGTTTAGATTTTCATCTGACAAAGATATCTATTACACTGACAATTAGGACAATGATGTTAACTCTTATTTTGATGTTTATTGATTGAGTAAATTATCTTAATTTGCAGCACTATTCACATTGAAGTCATTGACTGGTCGGTATTTGTTTGGAAAGAAAATGTTCAGTAACTTATCATAATACTCTTGAAATATTGGTACTCTGTAAGAAGTAGTTCTTTATTGTATAATACAACATATCATCATGTATTTTATGCCACGATCAGAAATCTTGCTTATTATAACACAGAACTTCTGAAAGCAAGTTACAGCCTCATAAACGTTTTAAGAGATGTTAGTTAATCTGTGAATATTCTTCCTTTTTAAGATTAGTCATTTTCATATATATTCATGTCACCTACTAGCCAATATTTTGACTGTGTGAACAAATTATCCAGACTGAATTTGTTGACTGAACGGTAGTAAGAGATTTATTTTTTATTATTATATAAATTAACCCTCTATTTTTAAGGGCAGTTTTACGTTGGTTTTCAGGAGAACTAAAAAGACTGCATTTCGACATGAAGAGCTCGGCTCAATCCCATGGTACAACCACACACGTACCTGATACCTTGAGGGACCATTCAAACCAATAAAATACATAAGTACATATATAGCGATTATTTCCAATCCATGACCGCGTCAACCAATATGCACTGCATGAACAGGCCATTTCAACCGATCCCGCATACACGACTGTCAAACTCATTATTATTAGCAATGGTGATATGCAATACAACACCCCAATGACAATCGCCCTCAGAAATGTTTCAAAACAACCACTAGTATCAGTGAAATCGGTCGCCCTGCTAACCAATATTGTATATGGACTGTTAGCGATGCTTGCCAAAGCAATTCCAAGCCATCAACAATGTTCACAGTGAACCTCTGATCTCATAGGAAACCTTCATTTCTATATAGCAGCATAGCATACGGTGTACACATATATGGCGTAGGATGGCAGAAGATACAGCCAAGCTTGATGCGAACAGGCCCAAACACTCCTAATACCCTTCGTCTCATGTTCGGTAATAATTTTTTCACAATTCTGAAATTTTCATTTTTCGACTATATGAGACCTGAGTTAGGGGTAGTATCCCTGTAGTAAGAGATAGTATTCAATATTGCAGTTTCATACTGATAGATAAATGCTTTCCTATTTACTTTAAGTTCAGTAGAACCATAAGAATATCAAAAGATAAATTTTCGTCTGACAAATAGTCAATGAGCGAAAATTCAACCCTTTGTATACATTTTGAAGCATCTGAAATTTATAGTGGGAAAAATATTGATAGGTTGACACTGACTAGCTGAATAGCAGGACTTTTTATCACTATTAGTCAAAATCCGAAATGAAAGAACTTCTAATTCTTGGATAATCAACATAAAATGTTAATACCTGAATGAGTCACTTTCTAATAGGAACCTCTATCACTGAATATAATGACAAGTTTTTATATTTTTTTAACAGACCAACTCATACTCTAATTACTGTTCACTGAGTAAGCCTCAGCAAGTTCCTGATACTAGCGACTTAAAGTAATTTGAATATTTTTGTATTCAAGAACTGTTACTTACTGAGTAGTAATCGGGAATTCGCTCACATATATAACATTGTAAATTTCTAGTCTATAAGAATTTCATTAAAATTCACTCAACATTGCAAGTTGCATAACATTTAAATTGACAAACAGTTTACCTGTAAACATGACTAACATCGTAGTAACTGTGACTGTGTGAGAATAGTTGTTCACACAAATAAGATATGTTAAAATTAAATAAGACAATTGTAACAACATTTTTCACTTTGGTTAATGAATTTTAAATTGAAAAGTATTAATACTTTTAATATTATTGTTGTTATTTTAGTTGTGAATGAATAACTGACAATTTTTAGCTGTCACAGACAAAACGAAATTACATGAATATTTTTAAAATCTAGGATATGTTTGGCAAGAACTGAAATCAATAAAAGAGAGATGATAGTAATAATAATTTTAATTATGTTATTATTGTAAACCATGTGAAATACATCACAACAATGCTTAATATAAATGAAATAGTTTAACAGCCACTCAGATAATGACTGTAAAGTTGGAAATTTGAATTAGCTTTTATTAATAGGTTTTACCGCATTACAGAAGAATCATTGAAGAATGTCATAAATTAAATTGACCACTGACTCAATTAACACTAATAATTCAGCACATCAATGTTAAGATTATTTTATGTTGTTTGACTGTATTTGATACTAAATAGAAATAAATTTATTGATGCATAATTGTTTTATATTCATTGGTCACATGTATCTACAACTCTATTCAAAACGATCTATTTCCAAAGGCTTGGATACAGTTTCAAGTGTTTGGAATGCCAGAATAGTTATAATTAGACTTTAGGATCACAGCTGTTTTGCATTGTTCATCAAGCCACGGTCGTTTTTTTTGTTGTTATTAAAGCCTATGGTTTAGTGTTTATGCGTTTTCAAAACCTACCACTATAGTTTTAGCACTTCTGCTAAATGATTCTTGAAGATAATTAAAGTCACATCTTGGATGTCATTGCTAAACTGCCAAGGATAGCGAGTTCTTAACAGTCATCGTTCTTATCAATCACTAAAAAATATATATGAAGTGAATAAATGTTTTAGAATGCGAATTATATTGAATAATGGTGTTATGATTGGTCACTAGATATGCTTGAAAATATTGCTTGTTCACCTTAGTCGATAAACGATAGTGGAACAGCAAGTGTGATCAATCCGCTTATAGCGACTAGTCAGTCTGGTTCGTCAAATGGATCTTCTAGTGTTTTGACGTCTTGGAATCCTGTCGTAAATATGGATGTGATGGAAGATGCACAAGGTTGTGTAACTGCACCTGTTTCTTCTCATATTGAAAGTTACTTTGGTGATGTTTATAAGAAGGTGTCTGTTGATATCTGCCAGTCCATAGGATACTACTGATGTTCATTCGACTTGTGTCTCTGAGAAGGAACGACAAGTGGATTTACCGGTGTCGAATTATGATACAAATACTGTTCTTTTATTAAGCGGGATGTGTTGTACAACAATTGAAGCGTCTCAGCCTACTGTTGCTAGTACTAGCAGAAACAAGATGACTTGTTCAATAGATATGAATCATGATGACGATTATAGTAATCATGGCAATTATAATGTCAGTAATGAAGCAAATGATTTGTCGATGATGATGAAAGCTGAAAAAACCTCCTCTGTATTAGGAGATGAAAAAGTGGATTGAGTTCTTACTTCATGACATTCAGAGTCATGAGGATGCCGGGAAATGTCAAAACTGAAGATTCCATCCTTGCGTAACAATTATGCTTCAAGGAGTTCTGTTGACTCTTTTTGTTCTACACTTTGGTGGTCTGTTAAATGCCATTTCAGGATGCCAATATTTGTATTTTGAAATAGTTCCTAATTTTTATACCTTTTTGAGTTTCTTTGTTTCTTCCTGAACTGTATTATGTTATTTAAGTTGATACTTAATAATGGCGACAGCCAGATCGAATTTCGATCTTCTGGCGGTTGATAAGCTCATCTGGAATGAAAGGGTACAATATGGATCAGAATCAGAGCATTCTTCCAGAATAGGAAACATTTTGTGTTAATATAACAGAAATAACAGCTGTAATATTGTTTAGGTAATGATGTGTACTTACATTTGTATAATAATGGAACCGTTACTTACCCAGATCAGTTGCTTTCTTTTGGATTTAACTGGGCAAGGCAAGTATCAAAACTTGCTGAACAGTTATTCCAAAATCCAAACCTCTGTTCGAATCTTAAATGCGGAGCCCGTACGACTACCACCCAGCTTCAAACGGTTAAGTTGAACGGTTTCATCGCCAACTTGGAAACGCTCTCCCGCCATACGAAAACAACAACTGGTATGATGTAGGATTTATTTTGTCGTACAAATGCACTCTTATAACTTTTGGCGAGGTCATAGTCTATGAGAAAGCTGTAATCAGAACAAGACCAATATGGCCTTAAACTTATCTAAACACATAATAATTAGGTTAGTACAGTGATTAGGGAAATTACAGTTATCAAGTAATACGAGCAAACATACCGACCGGTATAACGTGTCCTATGGCAACGAGTAAAATTATGAGTCATATCAATGTAATAAGATAATAATGTCCTTCAATTTGTAGGTCATTTGAAACGAAGGTATTTTACTAACACATCAAACCAGATCGCGTGATGAACGCTTATACCACGATTTGATTGGTTAGTAATGGCATGACTACAATTAGTTATGGAAATAACTAACAGCGAAACCTTGCAACTCGCCCTCTTAGGTATCCGAAAGAGCTTGAAGGCAGATATTAAATGTTCCGCCGCTGAATTTGGATGTTGCTTCTGCCTGGGGAATTTTCCACACCACGGAGCAGTAATGACTTAAATAAATCAGACTACGTTCAGCGATTGTCAGAATACATGTGAACACTACCTCCGGTGTCAATGGGAATACAGCATCGACAGGTCGCTCTCCGTCGAGAGTTATCTGTCTGTTCACATGTTTTCATGCGAATAGAATCGGTATGCGAACCTTTGCAACAGCCTTCTGAAGGACTTTTCACGTGATTTCTCGTCGTAAAATAACCTCATGGTTGATAGAAATGGTCGCGTAGAGATGGTCACCATTGATGGTCTCAAGGAAGCACACATCTACAGCAGTGCCTTACCCGGTATTTTGAGACCCAATGCTAGACCCATCGAACCTACTGACTGGATCCCTACGTCTAGTTCAGGCCACACACAAGATATATCAGAGACTTCATTATCATGTCCATATCAGAAGACCACGTCGGATGAGGTTGCGGACTCACGAGGTACGTACGAGACTAATGTCCCACGTTCCGGTTGCCGAGTACGCCTACTTGTACGCTTTAGCGACTAATATCTCAATCAACAACGAATACAACATAGGACCTTATACTCATACTACATGCATGCTACACCTTTTTGTTTTTCTTTGATTATTTTATCTTGAGCTCACTTCTACTACCATCGCCCCATTTGAACCGTTGCCTTCAGTCAATCATACCGAACGCTGGCCTGATCATCCACGCTCTTATCAATGCACTCAGTCGATGATCTGGTTCCGAATATGTCTGGCATTTGTATGGTCGTTTCTGTTTCCTTCGTTCAATCAGCTTCCGTCCTATGTTTGCAGCGTTTTCTGGTCCAGACCGCTGCGAATGCAATCTTCAGATTCTAGAAAGAAGCCACGCTGGTGTGCCACGCAAACTCGAACAGCAAGATGAGTCTGATATCGAAAAACAAACTATTGTTATTATTGTTGTTCAAGGATGAAAATGGTATGTAGTGCAAAGTTCATGAATGTACTTCCAGTTTCTTAAATTATAGTAAATACGATGACGACTACTGACAAAAGAAATGAACCAGTTTCCAAAACTTTACAAATCGCTTGGAGACAACATGATAATAGTATATAAATGTATAACTGATGTTGACTTTTGCATTTGGAAGTTAATGATCTGTTGAAGTCACCAATAGTAGGAGAAGTACATAACTTTAAAGTAAGTGTTAGCTTAGTAGAGGACTGGAGGATTAAAGGCAGACATGGCAGTAAATGCAGAGATACTTCACTTTCTGTACAGCAGGATTTAGTAAGAACAACAAGTACCTACAGACTGGAAGGATGGAATCTTCATCAAGGTACCAAAAACATTAGATTTCAGCAAGTTTGATGACTACAGAATCATAATGCACATCTCTCGTCCAGGAAAAACTTCAACATAGTGTTATTAACGAGAACGAAGTACTCCGTAAACGCTCAACTTCGAGATCGAAAGGCTGGATTCCATTCGGATTGGTCATATTCTGACCAAATCGTGACAAAATGGGTCATTGTGGAACAACCAACTGACTGGGATTCACTACTTTACATCAGCTTCATTGGCTATGAGAAAGCATCAGACAGTGTGGACAAGATGATACTATGGAAGCTTCTTCGACACGATGTTGTGACTGGGAAGATAGTCAACGTCATACGGGAGTCTTATGATGGACGAAACTGCGAAATTGTGCGTCGAGGACAACTAATAGAGTCGTTTCAAGTGGAGACCGTTGTCCTACAAAAATGATTACACTCACCACTTCCTCATGGCAGCTGACCGAGTTATGAAGACACCAACGTCTGGGGAGAAGGGCGAAATACAATGAGAAGCTAGAATGTGGTTGGACAGTCCGTACTTCGCAGATAAACTAACTCTTCTCTAGCTCACGCAACAAAAGAAGAAAAAGATGATGACCAGTGTAGCAACAGCTTCTGTCGCAATAAGTTTCAACCTACACAAGGAAAAAAGAAGATTCTCCGAGGCAACACAACGTGAAACAACCAAATCCTACGTGACGAATATACTTCGAAGCATGTAAAACCTTTACATATCTGGGAAGTGTCATCGGTATGATGGTATGAAGGCGCATACTGTCAAAGCAGTGGCGGAATTTCTTCATTTCAAGAGCGTCTGGAACCCAAAAATTTATCAACCATCACAGGCGTAAGCAATTAAGTTAGTTGTTGTTGGATTGTTCGGCTGGAACCCAGTAACATTTCACTTGATCTACTTTGCGTGTGAGGGATATATGTGTAGGAATATTGAAATGTGACTCTACTTTTAGACATATTGTGACAGCACTTTTAATCCACTTCCTATGTCACGTAGATAAAGATATCGATTATTTACAGGAATCACAGTTGATTTAATGGTGGTTGACAGACCTATCAAATTAGTTTTATTAGTTGCATGTAGTAGTAATAATATTAATCGTAGAGTGATTTTTATAGGCCAAAGTATTTTATCTCGAACTCATTCCTAATTGTTATCCAAGTAAAATTTTCCGTGACCAATGAATAAAGTGCTTAAGAGACAATATTGGTTAGACTAAAATTCATGTGACTATATGCAGTTATTTTTAATCCCTAATGCAGTTGATTGTGACTAGAATAAAAAAATAGACCTACTTCTTTCTGCTTCTGAAATCTTTCTGATATGCTGAATACAATGTTTATTTAGCTGTTTTAGGATTATCACTATACTACTACATACTTAGGTGGTTAAATATTATTATGAAAAATAATTTCATGCCTAAAATAGAAGTGGGACTAAAATAATCAAAAATAAAGGAATTCTGAGCAAACTTATATTGATCTCTGGATACTTGGGTCAGTTTTGTTTTAGTGAGCTAAAGGTATATTAACCATTTGTACTCTGACCATAAGTAGTTGTGTACGTGATTGAAGTTCGTAAGCCGTTCATTTCTTTATAGTAAGTATTTTGAATAGCCAAATAAGAAGATTTAGGTAATACTTACTGTGTTAAAATGTCGCGATTTCAACCCTATCTAACTGAAGCTCAAGAGAATGATCTGCGCCAAATCGCTCAAGCTATTTGTGCTCCTGGTAAAGGAATTCTAGCTGCTGACGAAAGTACAGGTATGTCCAGTTCACTTTTTATTTATTTTGGTTTATAAAGCCACAATGGGAAAAAGGCTTCAACAAATTGGTGTCGAAAATAACGAAGAAAATCGTCGTCTGTATCGGCAATTACTTTTTAGTGCTGACCACAAATTGGCTCAAAACATCTCAGGAGTTATACTATTTGAAGAGACACTACATCAGAAGTCAGATGACGGAAGAACTCTCCCAAGCTTACTGGCGGAAAGAAATATCATACCAGGAATAAAAGTTGATAAAGGTGTTGTTCCTCTTGCGGGTACCGATAATGAGACGACAACTCAGGGCCTTGATGATCTGGCCTCACGTTGTGCTGAATATAGAAAACTTGGATGCCGCTTTGCAAAATGGCGTTGTGTTTTGAGAATCTCTTCACATACACCCTCTCGTCTAGCAATGATTGAAAATGCCAACGTACTTGCACGCTATGCTACTATCTGTCAGCAAGTTAGTTTACTGTACAGTCAAAGCACTCATTAAAGTTCTTTTGTTGTTGTTCCGATAAAAATAGTATACTTATAATATTGCTATATATATATATAGCTATATATATTATATATATATATATATATATATATATATATATTGCTATATATATATTGTCAGGAATCAGGATTCTCGACATTAGGCAACTTTCTAAAATGTAATAAGACACCGGAAATAACGTCAACCTGTATTCCTAGTATCTCTAATATCTAATATTTTTTCACGAGCTTCTATAAACCAATCAGTTTATTTTTACTCGATTCTTGTTCTCTTAGTACGATAGTAGGTGTGGTTTTCGACCGTTTTAACCAATTTTAGTATTTATATTACCTTGCTGTATAACATACCATTAGCCTGAACTCTAAACTACATATTAGGTCCTATATTGTGTGCGTTTTTTCCTTTCGGAAACTTCTTATAAGCCTTGCGTGCAGACTGAAAGACTTAGCTGTTACTTAGCAGTCTTACGTGGTTTTCAAGCTCACGATTTAAATGACTCAAATTTTAATAGATGGTAACTCCGGAGAAGGCAATATATTCTTTCACTCCCGTTTGTCTTCATGATCCATCGATCTGGCATTACGTTCTCCAATGATTTCCTCCTCGAGAAGTTTATGTTGGCTTATAATTCATCATTTATCATCGTTTGAATTACCTGAAATTATCTATCAATGGTGGCGGAAGCCATATCATTGGCATAATATATAAGTAAACATTAAATGGAACTGTATATTCAGATATATGTAGTCCATTTTAGTATGATATATTGCGTTTAAATTTACCGATTTCAAAGCTTTAGTAATGAAACTTGTATCCTGTTCTTTAGTTCTGTGACTAGTTACAATATTTTATGTTATTGTTCAGAAATCTGAGTATAAGATTCAACTAAAACAAAATAAATCATAGTGACTTTAACGTCTTCTAACTTTACCATCATTGACTAAAGGTAGTGGGCTTTACATTTTCTATTTATTGAAAACTCCAACCAAATTTTATCCCGTACAAGTTGTGTTGATACTGAATTACACTTCGACAGTCTAAGTCAGTACTGAGGTGATCCGCAGAACATTTTGATTTGTTCACAACTGAAGTGAATCGTTTATTCTAGGCATAGATTTAGTTTTATCGCGGGTAAAAATTTCATATGCTCTTTATATTATAATACCAACAAACAAACTTTTTTGTACGTTATCATACTGTGAAAAGCACCTTATTTCGGTGTTTTATTGATTAATATGCAAGACGTGGCATGAGGTAAAACTACTGTTATCGGTGAAAAATCTTAAAAACCGTGAAAGTTGTTGATAAATGCTTGAAAAATATCTCGATGGACCCAATATTTGCCAATCGTTATAGCAAGTAAAGTAATATTCAGTATTCATTACCCATGCACGTTTATTGCAGATGTGAGATAAATATAGTCGTAAGGTCTAAGAAAATTTACCCATGTTCAAACCATTTTTGGGGAAATTAATTCAACAGTTTTAGTGATAAAAACATTTGTAGCCCAAGTGGATGATTATGGTGGAGTTTTATCCTCTGATAGGTAGACTTCTACCCAGTGTTTGTGTTGATGATGTTGTTCAGAAGAACAATCAAAGCTCCACAAGTAAAGAATTCAGCTCAGAGAACGAGACTCTAACATAATATTTTGAATGTACGATTGTCTGCATCGCATAGATGAGATATATTTCCCAGAACATTTAGCCTGTTACTGTCAATTATAATTGCTAAAAACTACCACAACAAAATTAATTTTATTATAAATCAAGTATTTGCGAATTAGGATTCCTTTTTGTATGTTAATTTTTAAGCTTAAATTAAAGTTAACATCCTGTGCTAATTTATAATACCTACATCAGTGTTTTTGGGCCTGGATTTATTCTTTACAGTCCTGTCTGTTAAGCTCGAAAGCGGTTATTGTGATCTAGCTAAAATAAAATTTAGTAATAAAGTATGGTTTTATATTTAAAAGTCTATATCTAGCAAAAAATCTTCTGAAAGACAGTGATAATTTAAGGTTGTCTAAATGAAAAAGAAAAACATCCAGCACTGACTCATTGCAGTAGCAAAAGCATACTTCGAGAATGGTTACTGCATTCATGGTCTGGACTTTATTCATTTAACAAACTTTTCAAAAAATTCACTCACAAAAATTCATTTAAAGTCCCTCAAAATATTGCTGTATGTTTGATATATGAACTCAAACAATATAATTCTTTGAAAACATTGCACTTTTTAGAATGGTTTGGTGCCGATTGTTGAACCTGAGGTGCTTCCTGATGGTGAACATGATTTGCTAACGGCTCAAAGAGTAACAGAAGAGGTTTTGTCATTCGTGTACAAGGCTTTGGCCGACCATCATGTTTACTTAGAAGGAACGCTTTTAAAACCCAATATGGTTACTGCTGGACAGGCCTGCAAGAAAGGTTACTCGCCACATGAAAATGCTTTAGCTACCGTGAGAGCTCTTCAACGCACAGTCCCTCCAGCTGTTCCAGGTACTACTTAAACTTTTTGTTGACTAAAGTCAAATGAGCCATAATGGAATACAGTATAAATTATTCATTCTTAATTGTTGGATTTTAGGTATCACATTTCTGTCTGGAGGTCAATCAGAAGAGGATGCTACTAAAAATCTGAATGAAATTAACAAGATTCCAGGACCAAAGCCATGGGCGCTTACTTTCAGTTTTGGTCGTGCTCTACAAGCCTCAGTTTTAGCCACATGGAAAGGAAAGAAAGAGAATGTTCACGCCGCTCAGGAAGAACTATTAAAACTGGCGAAAGTAAATATATTGGTTTACTGTAACTACTGTCTATTTTGTTTCTTTTTCTATCACTTAGTTTCATTCAGCACTTAAATATGTTTAGCTTTCTTAATAGTTAGAAAAACACTCAAGTCATATAAGTGTCGACACTTAACAGTGTTTGTTAGGGGCTCATTATGAGTTTTCATGTGTATTTTTGATTCGCTGGCCAAATGAATTAAGCTACGTCAACTGCTAATGTTTTTGTTGATGTCCATAATATGCTTTCATGACCATCAAAAAAGATACCGGAAATGCTACACTACAGAATGGTAATACTTGATATGATTTTCAATGTCTTCTGTATTTGGTATTATGATTTTTGAAGATTAGTAAATCGTTTGTTTTCAACTCATTCTCTTTCGCATAAAATTTGTCTACTCAACCACGTTTTATAAAATATTGTTCACAAGGCTTATCACCTATTTTTAAGTGTTCCCAACACAATTCTTCAATATGATTGCCTGTATTGGATATATGAACCGATTTTATACTTTTTTATAACTTTTAGGCCAATGGTGACGCTGCTGTGGGCAAATACGCAGGAAACATGGGAACCGCTCTGGGAGACAAATCATTGTTTGTTGCTAATCATGCTTATTAAATCTTTATGCCATCCATATATCATCTGTTTTCATGTCATCAATATTTAGCACAACTAGTCGACATCCTAAGTAACGTTTTTCATGTGATTTAACATTAAACCAGTCGTCAGATCAATTCTCCTATATTTTTATTTTTGTTCTTAAATTCTGACATGTTAAATTTCTTGATCATAACTTTATTTACTATTGCACTTTATAGTGTTAGTTATTTTATCAAGTCATAATAACCAAATAAACTTTCATTCTCCTCGCAAATGACTTTATTCATTTACCAACAAGCAATGGGATTTGCTTAGATATAAGCGAACCGATTTAAACTGTTCGAAACGAATCTTGGATCTTATAGACTATGCATTATCAAATGCGGGTTTTGTTTTAATTGAGATTGGCCAGCTGAATTTGTTTGCATTGTAACTTCCAATCAGATTGCAAACTTGTTATCTGCTGAACTGCCAAGATCAGATAGCCACTAACTTGGATTAAAAACCTTTACCAAGTAAAGGTTATTTGGACTTAGTAGCTCGGTGAGTGATTCTCAATCATTTGAAGCTTAAGATGCCTGCTTTGATTTCCATTGTAATAATCTACCTAAGGATCTAGCTGGCGAGTCCAAACTTGGAATGATAAGCACACCTTAGATTCCAATCCCAACAACAGACTAAATATACCTAAGTTTATCAAAGTTACCTTGATTGGTTGTGTTCAGCATTAATGTTTTTCTCAGTTTGTCTAGATGGTGTCACTCGTTTAAAATGTGAATAACATTCAATGTTTTGTGCATTTATCGATAAAATATCTGAAAAATAGTTGTTCAAGCTAGCAAGTGAAGTGATACAATTAAAGTATTGATGCATTTGGTGAATAAAATGATAGTTATTCCGTTTAGTATTGCACGCTCATAATGCAGTTGAATTTCGTAAATTTGCATTCCACTGATTTCGAGGTTTCATATGCTGAATTTAATCATTGATGAAAACCGTCAAATGGTCGGTAAACCCTGGGCAATGCACAACATCGCACATATGTACGTCGACTTAGGTTGCCACGCATCAGCATAGTGGGAGCAGGAGTAATCTCAGTGTTAGTTGAAAAGATTGATCATTGACAATATAATCCGAGCAGAATTGTTAGTTCTATAGGATCCAAAATAAAAGATAATTTTAAAACTTAATATTTAGGCGGAGACGGAGTTATTGCATCTTAACAACTAAGATCGATTCACAACCAAGTCAGCGGATGTCCACAACCATTGGTTATTGTAATCTCATGAACCAAAGCCTAAGTCTTTACTTAATAACATGACTTACTCTATTAGTCAGTGAATTCATGGACCGATATTTGATCTGAGAGATCCCAGCTTTCCTCTAACACCTAAGGTAAACTTCCTGAAAGCACTTAAACATGAGGAAGTTTCAGCGCTTGGTGTAGAAGAGTTATCCCGTACAGAAGTAATGTAAGCGAAGATGTTCTAAGCATTCTTTTCCAACTTGTACTAAAATTTATTCAGTTGAGAGGCTAAGTGTTTGTGCAAAACAACATGATGATTTGTTCTTTATTGAATTATAGAGCAAGTTAATACACATTTTTCAATTATCCAGTTAGTTAACCAACTTAAGCTTCACGATAAAGACCATACTAATGATATATTGACAAAAAAATAACAAATGGGACTAAGGTTGTCTGCAAAGTCTTCAACCTTTAATAAATGAACTATATTCGGCTTTATTTTCGTTTGTTTTATTAGTGTGTGCCGCAGAATTAAATGTCATTTTCATTAGGCCTTTCGTTTTAATACCTAACTTCCTCAGTATTGGTGCTTCCCGTCAACTATCTTAAGCTGAGTAGTAGTGGTATTCATAGAAGATATTTATAGATGGCGGAGATCAAGTGTCAAATCAAAGCTACACTTAAATCAGAGCCAATGAATCATTAAGTAAACGGAAACGGTTGAATCTAATACACTTATTAAATGCTTAGAACTTTGCAGATAATGTCAGCCAAAACTGTCAATCGATATACTCTAGAAGGTACAATTTTCATTAAATTAAATTAAGCAAAAGAACACGTTTCGAATACTGCGGCAGGTATCGCAATCAAATAACTAGGAACGTTCAAAAGATCCTGTTTCTTAATCTGTATAGGTAAGTATGTATATATTAAACAGTTAAAAAAGATATAAATTAAAAATTTCATATTTATACATTAGTTCAGCGCAGGCTGATTTCTATTTGAGAGATTTATTTACAGTAAAAGGGCTCCGAATAATTATTCCATTATAATTCAGAAATAAAAAACAGTTCTTCATTACCACTAAAGATTCTTCACTTATACCACAAACAAGGTACTGGTGGCTCACTGAATCGAGATCTAGTATATTGAATTTCGAAATCTAATCAATTTACTATGTAATACTGGTTTTGCGAGCGAACTGAGATTGAAAAGAAAAAGATTTCAGTCGATAGTTAGGGGTTTAGACGTATGTATTACTATTGACATAAGGTATAAAAGTTATTAGTTCGATTTCATAACAAGTTGTTGTGTGCCGCTATTTAGTACAAATATTTCTGTTTTGCGAAATTGGCTAAGTGATTTTCTCCAGCGCTTTGCCATTCCGATCATGAATAGTGTAAACAAACAAATCGATCAATACCCAATACATTCTTATTGTAACTGTGAAATAGTTCATCCCAGTTATGTTAGTTTAGAAAAAATATCTCTATCCATCACAATAAATGAAAAGATGGACAGAGTATTGGTTTTGATTCGGTTAAAAATATATCTTACCAAAAATAAAAACACTTTTACACAAGTACAATATGTCCAAATTTATTTCTTAAAACGTTTTCTTCATCCATTCGGTAACTGAATCAACTGTTTATTTTAACCAGTGACGATTGTCTGTATATCATTCACATAGAATAATAAAAAAAAATATTTCGTTGAGAAAAACAATGTTAACCTTACTGACTATTTACTGAAAAACGTAATCACACAAATGCTGACGTAGTAATCACAATTGTTTAAATGAACATTGCTAGCTAAAAGTATTCGATCCAATATCGTGACCACATCAAAACACTAATATCATATGATCAGAGAGTTCTGTACGATGAAATGGTCTGATTAAAACTTTCTAGTCCTTCTATGTTTATCTTCGTTTAAATATGCTGATCTAGTACAACTATTAACATCTAATCGATTTCGTTAGTCGTTGAGGTGAGTTAATCGTTAATAACTAATATTGCCAGATTGTTTATTGTTCAAAGTATCTTCACTTTTCCGGGCAGAGTTTTGGAGGTTTGTGTTTTTACGCCTTTGAAATCATCAGTCAATCATTGTTAGACCACCCTCATTAGAAACCTGGAAGCACTGGACCTCCGTTTCGTCCTGGTATGGGACTTATCAAGCAGTGCACATCCACGACTCCTTCACCTCGCAGGATTTGAACCCAGGACCTTCGGTATTGTGCACGAACACCTAACCATCGGACCACTGGTCCGTCGTCCTACGGTGTTAATGTCTAACTCTGATTGATCTACGGATTTTGCGCGACCTCACCCATTTGTCTTTGGTAGTTACTACCTACACCCAACAGGGTTGAACTCCATTAGTCACGTCTTCTCAACTAGAACTGCGAGAATTTCCTCACGAAGCTAGTCACTAGTCAGCACTGTTACGATATTTTGGGGCAGAGTTTTGGAGGTTTGTGTTCTTACACATACTCGTATATATATCTGATATACTTAATCTCATTGAATCAGTATGATAATAATTAATTCAAACTGTATTCTTTCAACATGTCATCAGCTAGTGATTTCAAAAACGCATCACACTATTTCCAAAAAAATTCATAATAATTAGTATTAATGATCAATTTTTTTTCTAAGTCTTCCTATTTTAAAATTGATAAATCACGTACATAAAGTACAATTTATCTCATTCATATTACATGGACTGACTGTCTAATGTAAACATTTCCAGTTGTATTTTAGCCTGATAAGGTCACTTATAAATGTACTTCAGTTGACACAGTATTTTATAGGAAGTTGACTGAATGAACACGTTATTATTTACAAAACAATACAGTGAAATTGAAACCAAAACAAAATCCTAGAAAAATATCTACAAAAAAAACTCACATTACATTTTTTATCGTAACCTATACTGTTTTTGCTAAGCAGTGGTGCTGCCGAACAGAGTAAATTTAAGATTTGTTAGTAAAGTACAGATTCATTCATTCCACTGATAAATAACTCTGATTATTATTGTATTTTAAATGATTGTTAAATAATCATCAAAACATTGTTATACAACATTCAATGCTGAAAAAAATTTACCCATTAAAATACTAGTCAAAATAGATGAACAACAGCATTAACAGACAAGACAACAAAAACTGCCGTCACTTCTCTCAGTATTCGGTACGCGACTAACTGGTGAATCCTGACTAGTAGGAGACAAAAAAAGCAGAGCCTTCTGGATACCTGCTGAAGTCCAATTCATATTATACTAGAATCAAATAGTGAATAAATTAGTTATCAATAATTCAATAGCTTGAATTGCATTTCAATCTGTAACGGAAATATCTGAGAGTTAACTGACCTAAGTATTAAATTAGAAATATATTTGATTCCTGTAGTGTTTGTCCTATACACCTTGAGCGCTTTTCCATAATCTCTTACTCAGCTGAAATCGAGGTTGTTCACTTCCACAGTAGGTTGTTGCTGATGGTGTCTGGTCAGTGGATCCGCTTTCTAGTCATCTGCGTATATTGTGGTACCTGGCTGAATATATATATGATTGGTGTCATTCTTGCACCCAGTTGCTTTTGGACTTTCTAAAAGTGCCTTTTGCGTTAACTTATTATAAGTACTAAAGACCTGCTAACTTTACTGAAGAAGCTGCTACTTACCCAGCCTTCTCTAACACTTCTTCTTCCACTGAATTTTTATGTTTAACGGCTGCCTGATTGATTTCTACAATTCTTCCAAATCATTCAAACTTGTTCAACTCCGTTATGCCTCTGAAACTTTCATACCAGTGAATCGCAGAAGCTTCAGTAACATCTGCAAAGGCCGCAGGCAGTGTTGCTAATGCTCCTATTACCCAGTTTGCAACAACAACCACAATGTCTTGGTGTTAATCGAGATGAAGCAGAAACTATCTCCGTTCTTGTAGATTTCTTTCTCTAATATATTTTGCATCATAACATAAGGTTTTCAAGGAATACGTACACTGTTCTGCAGATATCTAAATGCGACAATCACAACGAATAGAGGCTCTTATCAATCTCATTTAATGCAGCTGCTCAACTGTGATATCCTCCTGAAACTCCGCTTTCAACTGATCGTATGCATTGGATACTTAAGTTAATGCTGTGACTTCAAAATCGCTTACTCAACTCTAATTGACTGGTCCATAAATTACAGTCTCACCGGAAACTACTGCAAGAGTGATAAAATGTTTGTTGCAATCAACTCCATTTTATTGGAAGAAATTTGGAATGTTTTACAATGAAACATCTTTAGAGAAGAAGAATTTGACATTATTCAGAATTATTAAAATGCTCTTATCATTAATAAGGCACTGTTAGTTAGGTTATTTACGGTAGATATGGTCGGATTGCTGATAAACTGAAATTTAAGTCAGTCTGTTGGACAGTCGTCAAATGTATTTCAGTTTTCACTGAGTCAGTAATTCTTGTCACTTATAAAGTCAGTCTTTAAATCTTAGAAGAAACACTTTTGCGATCATTTTACGGACATAATTTATTATTCGAACACAGTTATCAAAAGTAAAAAAAATGTAGCCTTTTAATTTGTTCTCATCGCAAGTTTCATTAGAAAGTTTATTGACAAATATGAAGAATAATAATCGAAGGTCTTTCATTTTTGAACGGAAGTGTCAATTTAATTGTCTCATGGTTGTATTCATCAATCCATTCAAAATTTGCTTTCGATGATTGTATTATTGATAGGTTTTATCATTAGTAAAGTGTGTGGTAAGATTCATCAAATGTCCCAATACCAGTAAGTTTGATCAGTTTCGCTTCTTCACCTAGAATCCCTTCAAATGTCCATGTAGTTTCACATTGAATTGATCTTCTGATTTTTGAAAAAAAATATAAAGAAATGTGTTGAGACTTTTAGTAATATTCTATGTTTAATCATGAACATTCGGCTTTTAATTCACTATACTAAGAAGTACCGATCGATATCGCGCGATCACTCCTCATCACCTGACATGCCTATATGTTGAACAGCCAAAATAATTGAACCTCACTAGTTATGATTGCTCACTAAAACTCATAGTATTACCTTTCAAAGTTAGCCACTGGTTTACGGAAATTGTGACATTTTCATAGTGCATAGGACGATTCAATTTCAAGTTGATTGTAAATGCAATGGTTAAGAAGTTGAATATTAGGTTGAACCAGCTGCTGAATGCTTTCTAGTGTTCATTCGATTTCCGACTTAGATCAATCCGTAACATGATCTATGAAAATTCAACAAACACCATAGACTATCTACACTATTATCAGTAGTTTTCATTATTTATATTTTCCAGTGTACTTTTGAATATGAACGTATTAACAAATAGTACGCGTTTATTTCGCATCACCTTGTTTCCAGCGATTTTAGACAGTGAAATTAGAAATTTCAATGACTGAAGTATCTACCTTTCAACCGACTTGCATATTTCCATTTACTTTGATTTGAGCGGCTGTTTAGCAGCACCACTGATCAGAGAAAGAGAAAATGTGACTGAAACCTGATTGCATTACAGTACATTGGTGATAACTGTTGTTCGATTTTTTGCTAAAATTGCATAATATCTTGCGTTATATTTTCAATGACTCTTTCTTCCTACTATCTATGATACTTATAACTACCACTACATTACTCTAGCATACATCCCTATAATTTTATAATTCTGTACTGAAAGTAGTGTGACAGTATTTTTACGGACAAGTGTAAATACCAAAATCTTCGTTGCATGAAACTGACTGATTGAATTTTTGTGTTTACAATTATTTTAAACGATTTATTTAAAACTTAACATATTTATTAGGTGATAAAATTATAAAATCCATACATGTTTACCTTGGTTTAAATTCTACAGTAATCAAATCAAAATAACCATCGTTATTATTAGAAAATGAATCCAAAAAGCCGGAAATTTTATTTGCATTGAATATACGGTCTTCATTATTATCGATTTTTGATTGATTGTCTAAAGGAATCATTTTGATTGAAGATAAATAATTTTATGTGAAAATAAAAGTATCAAGAATATGATTATGCAATAAATTATCAATTAGCTAAAGTATAAAAAGATATAAATTGTTATATGATCAAAATACTATCTGACAATGATTCATTTCTATACGGATTAATCAGTTTCATTGAAGCTGTACTACACAAACATATTTTAACAACGACTGATCCGAAGGGTGAATAAGTTAGTATAATTGACATTGTTCACTAAATAATTTATGAGTATTAAAGATTCCCACTGTGAAAATTAGAACGACACATATAAGCGAACAATATTGTTTTCGACTAGATCGTCATCAGGCTTTACTCTAATATACATGAATAGGCAAAAGTACAAGTTCCTACTATCAACTTGTACTTTAGCCTATTATATGTAGTGACGTAATCTTTTTCATTTCATTGTGATTATCACTCAAATTGCCTTGATTGGTTTAACATTTTCATATAAATATTTATTTATATTAGAGAGTAAAGCCTAATAACGATCTAATCTAAAACAATATCGTTCGCTTATAAGTGTTGTTCTAAATAATTTATGTCAGCAAATTACCTAACTGATTTACAAACGATCATAAAAGTCCCCGTGTCAACATTATGCCAGATTCTTTCTTTAAATCAAACAAAACTGTACAAAAAAGTTGTATATCAACCTCCTCACAATTTTATATAAAATTCAAGTTTTTAAACACTATTGACATTGACCTTGTGATTTTTTACTTGATTATTGACATTTGTACGTGTTCAATAAGTTTTTATTTTATTACAAAAATTAACAGTGTTAAACTTTGTTTTAATGATAAATACAACCAAATTAGGTTACTTCATGCGTGTTTGAATTTATTATTTTTTTCTCGTGATCCACTTTATCATTTCCTCAAGGTTGAACAGATAACAACAATAAATCAGAAATGTACAATAAAACTGACAAGAAAAGTTGATATTTCCTTTACGGCTTTATTTTTTGCCAATCTTTTTGCACTTTAAAAAAAATGATTGTACACATTTATCTATGGTGTTTTCAACAAGAGTTATATATTAATTTTTGTCCATCTAATCTTGCTTTATATTGATTGTTATTTTAAATTCGGGTTTAATTGTACTACTGAGCCATAAACAGTAAAAATTACTAAAAAATAGAATTTGATTCGGCTAAATTACGATATAATACAATGGCTATATCAAGAGCAACGTAACCAAACAAAATTAAAGTGTACTGAAATAATATATTCAAGAGAGAAAACCAAACCATGAGAAATTCTATTTATCAAACTAGATATACAAATTAACTTAGTAAAATTGAAAGTTTGAAAGGAAATGGAGAACAAGTTCATCTGAGTGAATATGATTGATTTTGAACGTTTTTAAATACTGTCGACAACTGAGGGTCAGTCATTGCACAAACTTCAAGTTAAATGCCTACAGAAACAATAAGCTACAGATCGACAGTTACTGGCTTCGTTGGATGATTGGATGTCTTAGACTGTTAGCCTGTTTTATATATATGTCTATGTATAGTGGAATGCTACATTAAGACAGCCTCGCAATACATTTCCTAGCAACATTCGTCAACGAGCATTCACACGCTCATCAATGATTTTTCCCCATTCTGTAGTAACCTACTATTACATTCAACACTAATCACTTATCACTTAATATATATATATATAGATATCGCCTTTCATAGCCAGTAAAATAACTGTTCAGTATGTCTGCCTTTTGGCGAGCAGATAAATATCTTGTTTGTTTGTTTGTTGTTATTGCATATTTATGTTAAATTAAACTTTAATAAAATCTGATAAATTTCTGCTGTATTGTGTGCATTTTTTTTAAAGTAATTGACTCATATTGTTAGTCTTTTGATTTTGGTTCACCGATTGATCTTATGATCATATAAATGTGATATCTTAAAGAGTTGTAGACAAAAAATTAGTCAATCAGTCAATCTGACAGTATTGGAAAATTTTTATAAATCTCATTATCAATTAATAAGATGAAAAGTGCTGTTTTTTAAACCGTAGTGAAATTTAGTTTTAATATCTTTTTTTTGTGACTATTTTCACATATGCACTTTATTGAGTAAAATATTGATATGTGAAATGTAACTGATTAAAAATTTGGTGTATTTTTAAGAAGCATTGATTGAATATTTTATTTTAACTGTGTTGGATAAAGGTGTTTAGACTAAATACAACAAAAATAAGCATCATTATTGATTGTTACAGATGTCTGACCTAGTTTTCATTTATTCTTCAGTTTATACAAATCCATGATGAAAATTAATCTTCACAAATTAATTAATTATCTAAAGCTTCCCATTCATTGAACTATATAATATTTGTAATAAATAGTTCAGTGCAGAAGATCAATGAATAAGAGCAACTGTAAAGAGTAGAAATATGCTGTTCAATAATATAAGGTTGTGAATAAATCGTCTATAACATTTGAAGAAGTGAGAAAACTTTAGGATTTCGATCAAGGCTACTTTCGAAGCATTGTTCGCGTACCTGGAAGCAATCAAGTGGGTATTCCTAATGATGGACTTCGGGGAATTAGGCAAATCGATGGGTAAAAATCTTAGCTTTCATTAACTGGCGTATCTAGGACAAATGTTTATCATGCCAAACGACCGCCTATCTCAATATTCAATAATGATAGTAACCTTGAAGAAAGGTAGTAAAACTGAGAAATGATGTCAATCATCTGATACGTTTGTATGTTGGAACTAACTGGTTAGGGTCAAAGAAATAACATTAATCTGTAATTGAGAACTTTAAGAGATCTGACTCAAAATTAATCAAAGTAGCCTAAACACATTCACTCATTAACTCCTTTCAGGTTCTTCTGTTCAATTTATCTTTATTCATTCTTCATGAACAGGATTATCCAATGTTTAGGCTTTTCTCACTATCTTTAATACGATGATTATCTCGACGTCCTTACCATAAATCTTATTAGTTCTAGCTGATTAAGCTAGTCCAGTAGAAAGAATTAGAATAACGCATGTTTGTGCCAAATACTACACTGATCCTAACTGTGATTTATATTCAGATGTATAGTTCTTTTGACAGAATGGCCAAGAAATACCTCCAAGAATCAAATTCTAAAATAAACAGGGAGTAAGTAACCTACAAAATAGCTTCCTCCATCTGTGTATGACAGTTTAAAACGCTTATTTATTGTTAGTGGTCTTTCATCTAAATTCAGACTGATCAATAGGAGATGACAAACATCAATAATTTGTTCTTGACAGCAATCATCAGTCGGTTATATTATAACATCGTTCATCTATTATAGACAAATATTCATTTCTCCCATTTCAGCAATCGCATACGTGTTGATCTAATCATAAAACTGTGTTCCATAACATCATTATAAACTTTCATAGTTGTACACGTAAGCACGAATTGTTGAACAACAATTTTCATTTGAAAACTTGAATCAGTAGTTATTATCACAGTCGAAGTTTTACATTTTTAAATGATGTTTGAAAGTTTTTACAAGTCAATTAAAATAATTAAATATGAGTCAAATTACTTAATGTAGGTAGTACATAATCTGATCGATCACTTTTAAACTGATATTCCACATAAATTCTATGGTTACACATGATAAACCTTCGATTTGTGCTTTCTCATTGTATATCTCGATTACATTCGTTACAATGACAGGAATTAGCTAACAATTTTCAACATGTATTTCTTTCAATATATCTAATTCTTCTATAATGAATAAAACTGTTCTTTCTGTTAGCAAATGTTCAGTTACAAACTTACGTTAGCTTAATTTTTCATGTCAAATTTCTGTAGTTAGATTTTCTAAAGAGATTATATATCTTCAAAACTGAACAATTAGAAAATTTTTTAATATTATGTAACTAACTAACTAACAGTATGTTTCATAGTCTTTTAGGCTATACACATTAAATGTAACAAAAGTTAATATATTATAAGACATTTTCAGTGTGAATATGCTAATATGAAGAGTTTTGGATTATCTGTCGTCAGCATTCAAGTTTCTACTTTAGAACTGATTAACAAAATCTAACATTTTCTTAAACATTTACCACACTTCGTATGATATATTCATTTTGATGATGTAACCAGTGTATTCATAATTATGATTTATAGCCTCTAAAAATATTATTATGAGGCTTTTAATAATCCATATCATCCAGTGATTAAAAACACAAAGTATGATTCACAGTTTTTTAATGGTCACATTACACTCTAAGTAGGGCTAAAACCTTTTTGTTCTGTTTGGATGAATGATTGAGTATCCGATGAAATAAATCCGCTTTTCAATCCCCGTATAACAAATCGAAGCGATAAACTATGACTAAGTATTTTATAGTCAGGCAAAGATATGCTAAGTAAGTGAGTAAGCATGCATACACCCATACAAATAAAAACAGCCAAGGTTAAAAGCGTATAATTGACAAGATTAAAAGACGTACGAATAACAACTGGAGACGAATGAATTAGTTAATTAATTTGTCTTAAGGCGACAAGCACTATGGGCTCGATATATTAGTACACACCAAAATATTTGTTTACCGATCTGTGGCATTCATGGTTTCATTTTTCACTAACTTGAGTTAAATTAGTGATCTTACCTCGGATTTAATAAGTAAACATTTAATTTTTACAAAAATAGGCTTATATTGACTTCTTTCATGTTACTTCAATATTTACATGGATTATTTCATGTCTATGTTCTTTAGTCACTGATAAGGAAAATTAACTTTGTCTTGATTTTTTTCCCTATCTAATGGTATCGTATTAATTCACACAATAAAATCTTATAAATGTTAACACAGTGGTCTATATTTAGAAATGAAATAATCACAATTTATGTATTTAGTGATTTATTCAATTGGTTTTCTTGAAATTCACTAAACGAGAAAGTACCCAATAGCATTGTGAAAATTCGTAAATGATCGTAACTGAGAAGAAAATGTTTGTTTAACAGAATCTGGCCTTATTTTCATATCGTTCATGCCCTCGATGCCTGATAGGATTAACCTTGAATAGCATGCCATCTTTTCATTTGTCAGTAAATAACCAATATCTAGTCAAGGACAAATATTTTCGGTAGTTGGTGGGTGGAAGAAGAGTGATCTATAAATTTTTAGACTTTTAAAAATCGAAAATTTTTTTAGATCCTGTATTGTTTAAGTCGTTTGATTAAAAAGTATAACTCACTGTTTTTTTCACCATGTTTTAATAACCAAAACGTTGGCGTTTGTGTTAAATTTTGAATTTTAATTTCCATTCTCTTTGTTTGTCCAATAAGAACTGTACCAAAGTCTAAAAGATCAACTGGGTATAACGTGAATTTTGGTCTAGTTATAGTAACTTGTGTTTCTAATTTCAAAATGTCATCTGTATTATTGACTATTGAATCGTTCGAATTCCTTTGTAAATAATCTTCATTGGAACCATTAAATTGAAATAAAATTTCATTTTTTAGAATTAGATTGGAATCATCAACCTAAAGAAAATAATTATTTATATTTCAATAAAATAGGAAAATAAATTTATGAAATAATTCAGATTGTTTCGATTCATTCAATGCAGATCTCAGAAATGCAAATCGATCATCATACGTGCTGACTTAAACAAATCATTTATCATCACCTTTAAATCTATCAACAAAATGTAAAAAATTACATTCAGAGATAATCTTCATCATGAACTTCAGTTCATATTAGGGAAATATTGAAAACTAGCTAGATAAAGGTTTTGCACAAGTTTGTGACTTCTTAACAATGCCCATCTGTGAATTCAATCATGATCATTTCCAAGACTTCACTGTTTTAGTTATGTGCTTATGTTACTTGGTAGTGACGACAGATAGGTCATGGAACCACAACAGATTAGTATTGATCCATTTCGAAGTAAAAATAAATTAATTCAGTTCTATTTAATTTATATAGATAAATATGACTAAAGTACGTGTGAACTACTACTAACGACGATCCAAAGTTTTATTGTAAACATGTTAAGAATAGCTGCTTCAGTGAAGAATACTTTAAACAATAAGAAAAACTATCTCATGTAATTGACATTTGAAATGCTAAACAAAGTTTAAATAACTTAGTACTTATATTATTGATGTTCATCATTATACTTGCAGAAAGCGAAATAGAATACTGGCAACTTGAATAATAATCTTTTTCAAATTCAAATCTGATTATTGTAAGCAATTATTTAACTAGTGTTCATCTGATTGCAAATCGGAGTATAAAAGAGTAATAAAACGTACTGATAAAGAACATAGTATTTCTAACTGGTTTTTATCCATAATTTTTGCTTGAAGGTTAGTGATTTTACCAAAATATTTAATTTAAAGTCTGTAGAATACTATTCAAACCTATGATATATTAATCGAAAGTAAAATACTCTGCACACTAAGCTACTGAATGCATTGAATAGAGTGGTATGATGTAAACTAGCGTATGATTGGAGGAAAAAACACCACTTTATGAAAAACAGATTTGACAATTTCAAAGTGTTCAGTTAAATATTCGACATATCCTACTGGTTCTAAATTGTAGTCAAATTAAAAAATGTGATAGTCAGTGAATATATATACACATTCAACCTTTATCTCACAGTTATTTAATTAAGTTATCTGTTGCAACCAGAATCAATCTTTTTCATGGACGTCAAGATAAAAGAGATTATGTTTAGGTAATGTGCTTGATAACTGACTGGGTAGTCACCCAACATGACAAGGAATAAAATAAAATGAATATGTGAACAAAAATCAGGTTATGTAAGAGATAAATACTAGAAGACATAGATGTTATGCCATTTAAAGTTCAGTCATTTTCGCCTAACATCACCCTCGACGATATCAAAGAGTTTACAAATACCTAAGGTAGCAAATATGCAACAACTGTTATACACTGCATTACTACTTCTTAACACGTCATAACATGTTAGTTAATATGCTTCACATCCAATTCTTCGTCTTCTTACGAGTTAAATTACTTTTTGGACATCATTGATTTATATGACCCATCTACAAATTAGACTAATCTGCACATTCCATTTAAAAAGTAATCTTTTGTTTACCAATCGGCAGTTTTACAAAGGATTAATCGAAACTCTCGATGAATACTATGATTTATCGATTAAGAGTGAGGCAGTCACTTGAAAATGGTCTTTATTATAAATACAGAATTTTAGGACTGTAATTGACTGGTCAAAATGCATTAGTCCATAGTCTGATTTCGTATGAGATTATCTAGAACATGTCTTAAACGATCAACCTTCAATTTTCATTTCACGGGTCCTAAACATTCACATTGGAATGTGAAATCTATTTGTCAACAATTGTAGAATGATAAAAGTCTTTCATGTACGCCCCCATTCTGGTCGGCCATAACTTATTGTAGTAGAGTAATAATTATCAAGTGATTGAATCCTGAACTTTTCATCTTTTAGTTCGCTTAGCTATTCGAAAAAACACATTTTCGTATTTAGGAATCGGAACAGTGGATATTTAACAATCCATATCAATATAAATCCAACAATTCATTATGACAAACTGGCAAGTGATCTTACGATAAAAGCCACAGTTCAATTACTCATTAAAATTTCTTTTAAATATATTTTGGCATTGATTCTGTTTAATTAAACACATTAGTGATTATTAATAAGCAAATTTAAGTTAAAATTAGACATGTCTATTAAATTGGAGTATTTTAACTATCGCAAAGTAAAGAGCAAAGGTGACGTGGAATCAATCACATTCATTTAATAAAACAACTAATGATGTAAGTATAAATGTCAACATTTTCAGACAAGACAAAATCACAAATATTATCAATATCAGCATTGTTTAGACTATAAACCTTACTTGTTATATTTTCGTAAAATGAATGTATTTCAAACTCATCGATTGAGACAAGTGAGTTAACCTAGTGATATTTATATCGATTTACAAGATTGTTTAACTTAAGTTAATGTCAGTTTATTTGAATAAATGCTTACCTACATCTAGTAACCCTTGTAGAACATAGGCTATTGATTAAATGCACCAAATATAAATTAATGCGATAACATTTTATCATACTTACATTTTAAAATCAAATAGAGATTTCGATCGATAATTAGAAAGGAAATTCACCACAAGCTATCATTTACTCAAGAAACATAAAACATAAGGGGAGCTAAACAGCTACGTTTTTGCAGTCTGAAGTCTCCGAGCATAACGAATCTAAAAAAAAATACAGAGCCGAATTTGGGGGTCTTCAGGCCACACATAGATAGAGCGGGACAATGTGAATTTTTCGACACCCTGATATGAATCTGTGGCTTGTGGATTTTAGGTCTACTTTCATAAAGAAAGATTGTTCTCTGGTTCGATCAGCCTATAAACACATGTACCTCTGATTTTCTGTCCCATGCAGATGGGTAATGGTAAATAGCATCAAACCATGACGAAACACCTATTCACTACCCTCTCTATTTTCAAAGTTGAACGGCTTATTCCACTTACTAAATAGTTTATTTTGTGAAACTTGAATAAACTTCAAAGCAACTATTCAAGAGAAAATTCCACTTTGTAGAACAATCCATATGTGCATAATATGTTAGAATTAGATTAAACTACATTAAATATCATCTTTCAATAAAAAAAACTACAAATTATTGTTTAAGTCATTCCTGACACGTATTTAGGCTGTTTTTGCATACCAGATTAATCAAGAGGTGAGTAAAAGTGAGAATAATACGGTTTATTATTTAAAGTAACACTGTAAAACAATAGAAAAGAGTGCTTCAGAAGTAATTAATAATTTTCACTCTTAAGAGGTTCTAAGGTTCAATAACACTATATAATAATTGGTCGTAGAGACTGGTTAATCAAAATAGGTTAATGATATTACTTTCTATAACCTCAAAATCTTAATGACACAAATACAGACCTATCAAGGATGTGAGTTTCGACATTATTGTAGGTAAACCCACCGTACGGCAGCTAACTGGCATGAAACACAGGTTGAATGTTTACTTATAATGAATTTCAGATTAAAAGGTATCCATCCTCATAAACTGCAGACTAAAATGTACTAAAAGCTATTAACAGATATATGTATGCTTCTAAAAATGATTCCTTAGCCGTGCAAACCACTGGTGTGGAATCGTAGATAATTTGGCTTCACATCTATAGTAGAAATATTAGTTGCAGCTGTAGTAATGTTGAGGTAATAGCAGTAGTAGAAGTAGTCATAGTGAGACAATTATTTTGTTATCACTATTTAATATCGTTTTCTTTGAAACACGAACTGTTCTTTCTGTAATTCAACTAGTTTCATACAAATTCTTTTCTAACAAAATGATTTTGTTTCTTCTTAGAAAATATAACTAGCCAATATCTGACAAACCATTTTTATGGTCATTTTTTTCCCATGCAATAAATAAATTTGCCTTGTAAATATTTAAACAATAACATCCCACATACATCAAGAACAGTTACCTGTATATTGTTTGTCAAATTAGTCGAAGTGATATTTTGAAGACATAACTTCTTTTCTAACAGATAGCCAACTGTTATCTAGGAATAAGAGGCGAAACAAGAGGATAACTGACATTACAAAAATTCATAAAAACACGAAAAGACATGAATAATGTTTTGCTAAATATTATAACTATTATTTACAGAAGTTCTAAATAAGCAGACATTGCGAGAATAGCTGCTGTGTAGTATAGTCATGAGTGATTAGACAATCAGAAAGCTAATCAAATTTACAACTGTTTAGTGTTGAGCATTAATGCTGATTGGTTTAATTCGACTGAGTGAACTAAAGACATAATTCCTATCGATAGACTTGACCAGTTTATAAATAGGTTGAATAAAGGTTTGGGGATCAAGAATATCAATTAGTCTCAAACGACGACACCAAAAGGGTCTAAAAATTTTCGACTTTGAACTAGTCTATGAGGATTTTAATCTTTAGAGGAAAACTGTTATTAATGTTAGTTATGAAGTGACATTCAATTTTACATTCGACAATGCATAATCGATTCAAAACTATAGCAGTATAAAAACACAGAATTCACAATGAATAGTGAGTGATGAAAGCCATTGTAATATACAACCACTGTTTAACTAGATTAACCATGCATAAGATAAATGTTTAAGGTGATTAGGAAAAATTTAGAAATCTTCATTTAACTATGTGATTGCAAACGATTTACTATCCTCTGTTGAATTAACGTCTCCAAAATTTGATCAAATATCCAGGCGAGTCAATACAATCTATCACAGTGAAGTATTATTGTACAATTAAGGTAGTTTCTAATTACTTGTTTACGCTGTAGATTCAAGAACAATATCCATTTTCTAATCGGAAGCTAAATGTTTAAACTATTACACTTGAAACACTCATGTGTTTAAATGTTATTATTATTCTGATTATCACATGGTTAAGGTTTTGTTGTAGCAGATATATTAGTACATTAAGATGTACTATTTCAGCACAACACTGACGTGTTTAAGTGTTAATTACTTTTTCTCCCAGGTAAAATATTTCACAACATACTGTGATTTGCGATTTTGTTTGAATTGAAGAGATAATGTTTCCGGTCTTATGTGATTTAAAATGTCACACTAACTGAAATTTCGGATATTAAAAGTGTTCTTAAAGGAGGGATCTACCCCATATTGATAAATATTTTATCAACTTAGTAGGGGTTAAGAGAAAAGAAAACTAGGTGCAGTTCTGTTCGTTGGATATGATTTGAGTGAGAATTTCATGAGTTTATCCTCTTCAGGATCAATCCTAGTACTGCCTATAGAAAATAAAGTTGTGGATGAGTTGATAACGTAGCTTGATGCCATTAGCTCTGGCTGCTTGATGATTGATGTAATTTTAGTATGGACAGAAAGAGCACTTACTCAACAATTACTATATAAACTGTAAATTAAATTTTCATCATTCTATGAAATAGTGAGTTTTGTGCAATATGGTTCTTTCTACAATATTTTATGGATTCGTTATTTGGCGTACTAACCGGTGAACATGACCTTAAAATGATAGTGTCGGATATCACCAGCAGGAACTAATGATAACTTCACTTAACAAGGGTTAGTACAACGTCCTATGTAAGATAGTGGGTGCTTGAAAAAAAAGGTTGGTGAATATTCTACGAAAACATGGTATCAGTTGGTGAAGTTACTGACTGTCGTTTTCTATCGTCTCAGTATAGTTAGTTTGAATATCATAATTTTATATTAGTCGTAACAATGTACATGTTTTGCTTTTTGTCTTTCTGTAATTATATTTGGTAGTACATCTATTTCAAGATTATTGTTATTCATTTACTTTCATGTTAAGTCAATGAAATTTATTTGAACTTACCATTTCTAATTTACCAGGATTAAGAGTTAACATGATTTGTGGTTTATAGAGTTGCTCGAATGCCTTTCTTGTCATCTGTATCATCGTTGTTAAATTGCTATCTTCACCTGTGTCCATAATGATACCATTATTTTCGTTTCCAGCATACGGTTTGTCCTTTCTAATCTGAAATCCTAGATTCTTCGTTTGATTCGCTTTCATATAAATAGTAACTGGTATATTATTTGGACATCTTAACTGAATACTGCGTAATAGGACTATACTATTTGTTAGTAAAGGGTTGATCTCATTCAGATTCGTAAGTGGAACGGCTTTTTGTATTAGAGATCGTTGACTAACGTGATCTGAACGATTGTTTCGACATAAATAATCTTGTGGTATACTTAATGTGTTTGCTTCGGATTTCTTTTGCCAAGAATCAACAAGAAATTTTCCTAGTCCCGATTTGAAGTGTAAAATCTTTGGTGGCGGAGACAGATTGGGAGATGTGCTTGCAATTTCCAAGGAATCATTATTTAAATCAATGATGATTCTGTTATAAAAATTAATATAATGTTGAGTAAAATCACAAAAATAACATGTGATAAAAGATTGAGAGGTGTTTATACACTTTTAAGAGACCAACCTTTAAATAAACAGTAGTTTGCTATTTTACTTAGGACTCGTCAATCGGATTAATCTGCATATTCTTTGAATATATTAGTTTATCTCACATATATTTGACCATAAATTCAAACAATTTTAAAAACAAATATTATTCGAATTGGGTACAAAGGAAGTATATAACTTACTACTTAGTATGTACTTATTACTCAGTACTTCCAAGCCAATATAGTGACACCTCTAGGTCGTGCAGATAATAACTCCATGCTCTTGTAAAATCACGAAGGAATCTTATATTTTCCTTCCTACTTTGTATACCCAGGGGTCACAGGTTTCTTGCCAAACGCATACCAATATGAACCACTACTAAATCGATGAACAAATATCTGTTCACTGTTGCCTGTTTTTTATTAGTGCCCCGACTGAGATCGATCTGTGATGAGTGAAAGCTGCGAGTCAAATTACTCTCCATAAAGCCTTAACTAAACTAGGAATGTCTCCGGTAATCGTGATTTTTTACAGCGAATAAACAAAACTAGTTTGCTTATACGATTGGTGTGGTTTTCCAAATAACATTACGTGTTTCACTGTTTTAGTCATTATTTTGAAGAGAAAATGTTTTTCGCCAACAATATGAACCTACATTTAAATAATGAATCTTGAATGCTTAATACCATTAAAAAACAGCTGTTTGCGAATGCCAACTAACTACTAGTTTGATATTGCATATCATGGCTAGGTTTGGTATTACTACTCTCATAACAGGAGTAAAAGCAAAAATATCAAGTACGTTTTTGCAAATCAATCAGTGTTTTAACACAAATATGTGTTCAGACAGTAAATTAGTTTTTCATTGACGTCCCATACATTACTCAGTCATATAATAGAAATCTGATAGTCAATTTTAATGGACAAAAGTTAGGTAGAATGTAGAGTATGCATATATTATTTTGATTTATTTTAAAGGTGAAATAAATACTCATCACCAGCTATTAGTTTTCACTGTACGGTGTCAGATCTAGGATCTCGGTCGGAAGTATCAGTGAGTTAAGCATTTTTCACACTATACAGCCGGGCATAACAACTGTACTAGTGGTTTGCATACATTCTTAACCGTCATCGACAGACGTCGCGCAAATTCCGTAGATCAATCAGAGTTAGACATTAACACCGTTGGATGCCGGCCCAGTGGTCCGATGGTTAGGCGTTCGCGCACAATAAAGAAGGTCCCGGGTTCGATTCCTTCGAGGTGCAGGAGTCGTGGATGCGCACTACTGATGAGTCCCATACTAGGACGAAACGGCCGTCCAGTGCTTCCGGGTTTCTAATGGTGGTTTAACAATGATTGGTTGATTTCAAATGTGTAAAAACACAAACCTCCAAAACTCTGCCCAAAAACAGACAGATTAGTTTGGAAAGAGATAAAGAGGCAAAACCAAATTTTTATTGTCAACAACTTCAAAAATTAGCCTGTATGTCTTTTATAAGATATGATTAATGTCATGAAGGAAGATTACAAAGAACTAACTGTCAAAATCACTTTTTTTTCAGGATTAGTAATTTATTTAACATTGAACTAACGACCTGACACTTGTTATATGATAAAAGAAGTTTTGATTTTAGATTATCTTGAAAAGAATTCTTTAAATTCTTAACATGAATTATTCAAATCAGAAAACTGTGTACCAAATATGCAAAAACTATCTTAGTTGATAATTGAAATGACCTTGAATAGTGGTTATTTAGTTTAGCATAGCAGAATGACGTTTAGTACACTCAACACTATCAGATTATTTTTACTTGTTGTATAGATAAAAAATGTTTATTTAAAATATAATAACCTTCTTATAGATCCAATATAAATATAGGCCATCGTTATAGACTGAAAATTTCACACTGTATTTTTGAAATCAATATGGTATTCAAAATGTTGGTGGCGCTATACATGCCTGCACTTTTAACAAGCATTGATCGTGTAGCTTTCAAATTTGTTATTATTAGCAACGACTTAGATTATCACGTCGTTGATATTTAGAACTGAAATTCGATGAGGTAATTCATATAAGATCTACATATATTAACAAAACTAAAAATATTCACTTCTGAATATCAACAACCAAATAATCCAAACCCTTGCTAATTATGACATAAACATCATAACGGTTGAACAGTTAAGCGGTTATATTAACTCGGTAGATCAGGTGATAACACGTTGGATTTTTGAAGCAAAGTATGCTGAGTCGCTGTTACATGTAGTCAATAACTCTAGTTAATGTGTACCGTGTATCCTGTATTTCATAGCTGGAAACAATCCATCTATTCTTTTATATATCGAAATCACTAACAGTATATCGTATTTATATGAATTGTTATCATATTACATATCATTTGATTAACTCGTCATCATCTTTAACGTAAACAGTATTCATAAAAAGCAAGTTAAAAGTGTATTCTATCAAAAGTGTGATCAGTGCAAATAGACCAGGATTTTTATACCTAACGCGATGGCGTTTGAAGAGTAAGGTATTGGGTTTGAATCTTGGGATGGACATTAGCTCTGAGATGAAAGTATATCCTGTTGAAGAGTCCTAAATAGCAATATGCTCATGTTCGAAATTCTATTGCTAGCCAATATACACCTTTGCTAATAATGCATGTGGAGTTTAGTCTGTTAAGGTAATCAGTTCAAACAAATCAACACCTAGTTCGATTCAAACAGTTTCTAGCTAAAAATAAAATTCAAGAAAAAAAGTTACCTTGGTTGTTCCAATTTAGCAGTTATATCAAAACGTAATTGTTCCGTGATTAGTGCATGCGTACGTGGAAAATCCAAAAAATCTTTCGAGTCAGTAGTTAAATAACCAATAACATGAGCTTTCAAATCGAAAGTTTCATAACATCTCATATCTAAGTACGCTTCTGTTGGATTCATTAAAACTGTAACTGTAGCTTCTTCGTGTGGTGGTATTATCAACTGTACAGGATACACGACGAACAGTTCACTGAAATCCTTCTTAGTTGATGAAATAATTTGAGCTGATTGTGATTCCCATAGTAATTTTCCATCATATGGTCGAAGTACTAGATTAATTAATTGTCTTCTTGTAGAATCTTCTTCGGATACTGTACATATATAGTAGAAATAGATAAATTAAAACTTAGGCCTCTGGTTAATAAATTACATATTCAACTGTTTTTACACCTACGACTCAAATTTATATGTAACAGCAGCCAGATATAAAACTCGGTAAAAAAGACTGAAGTTGTTTGATTAATTGTTGAGTACAATCGCTTTCAGGTTCATAGTTATATTTAGTTCTGAGTCAGAGAGTTTTTTAATGATCAATAATAAGAAAACGTCTGTGACTGTGAAATCACGTGACTCACAATCGAATACTCTAGAGAGTATCAGTTCCGTCAAGATCACATGCTGACGAGTTATTGACCAGGTCTGACCATCACCCCACTACTTATCACATTGCAACTTGATCGATATAATTCGACTAGTTCTAGAAAGGACTTACCACATATTTTAGTGATCACTACCCAGAGATCAATCGATTGTGAATATCAATAAGTTTCTAATCGAATTCTTGATGAAGCTGCAGTCTCTAAACTTAGTGGTTTAGTCAAGAAGATCTCATTGTCTAACCAGAGAATATTACTAGGACAAACTTTTTTATCGAAGTTAGAAGTTTACGCTGACAATGTTTATATGGAAATACGATTAAAGCTTCACTATTAAACCACTAAGATCAATAAATGCATCCTGCAAAAGAAAAATAACTTTTCTCAACTGCAAATCATGCCAACCCTCTGATAATCTACTTCGTCTGTTGTAAAATATAAGTTTGACTGGCTAATAACTATGATGCTAGAGGACTGTCATCAGTCAATTGAGTTCACGAGAAGCCAACATCTGACAATATCAAACTAGCTAACTATATCGATCAATCACATTTTGCCATATTTTAATTACTTCAGTTGTACTGAGTAACACTTATTTCACACTCACAACAAAAAGAACATATTTGAGAAAAATACATACCACATTTTATTGAAGTCCATGACTTTTGTCATGTTTTTCAAAATTAAAACATTTGCAGTACCTTCACCAATGGAAATATTACTGCTAGAGAAATAATACTCCAAAACACTAGTTGTAAAATAAATTCCTTAAATGAGTATTTTTTTTTTATCAAACTATAGAGCTGATTAGTTGAACATCTTTTTATGACAACAAATCAAGTGACTTAAAACATCTTATTCATCTTATATTGAACACGATTCTCGTTCATTCAAAATGATCATCTGCTTTAACCCAATCAGTGTATATGACTTCACTAAAAAATGATATTTATTGGAGCGATCAAATCATTAAATCATGTCAATAAAATAGAATTTGCATGAAAAGGTTGTGGAGATTGTTGAGTTACCAACTGAAATCATGAACTGATCAACGTTAGAACACCATTAGAAACCTGGGAGCACTGGACGTCCGTTTCGTCCGGGTATGAGACTCATCAGCACTGCGAATCTACGACTTTCGCGCCCGATGGGAGTCGAACCCAGGGCCTTCTGTCTTGTGAGCGACCAACTAACATTTGAACCACTGGGTCGGCATCTAGCGGTGTTAATATCCAATTTCAACTACAGACTGACAATCCAGTGCTTTCATTTTTTTAATAATGGTCTAACATTATTCGATTCATGATTTCATTGAATAGAATTGTTGTGAAGAAAGATTCAAGTTTTGTTTATTGATCAATAAACTAATATTGACTTTTTACTCCTAATAAAATAATTGATAAACCGAAAGTACTTTGTTTCACAGGCTAAAACATTGTTTACAGAGTGATTACACTAGACTGAGATTAGGAATGTTGACTCATAACAAATCACAGATATAAACAACTTACTATCATTCATTGTTTAGAAACCGTTTATAAAATAATATTAAATTTTGTTATAGAAAAAGATTGTCTACTACTTTAGTGACTCTACATGAACTGTACATCACATGGAATTAACAATTAACCCGAAAAAATTACGCAAAAACCAGCATACTGACACGTTTTTCATACACAGAAACTACCATGAATAATTTTTCGAACTTACAAATCAAAAGGCTTATGACGTAATTTATTTTGCAATGAAAGTTATAAACAATGACTATTTATCATGTTTGACGAATGAATGAAAATAACCTTACACAAATATTCATATAACAGTATTATTAAAATTTGAAAACACCATGTTCTAACATAATTTGTAACATTGTCGTTTCATTTTTAAACATAATATTCATTAGAATTTGGTTTGACAAAAGAATACTGATTATCAAGTATTACTAGAACTTCCATACATCTCAGTATAACATTTACTTATCCAGGATATGACGTAGTCAGAAAGAACTGTATATTCATTTAGTTAATAAACATTCGTAAGCGATTTCTCAGCAGTCCACATCAACAACCTCAATTCGGAAATCGGACCCATGATCTTTACCCTCATGTGAGAAAGTTAAATCTCTAGAAAACTGAGATGGGATTCATTTATGTAAAAAGCCTATGTAAAGGCTTGCTCACATGACCAAAACCCTTAGGTTTTCATTCCTCGTTCGGAGTCATGAGTCTGAACTACTCGGATAGTTTCAAACTAGGGAGAAACAGTTGTTCAGTGCTTCCAGATTTTCAATCATTTTCTAGGTTAGATCTATTCGTGATTTCAATAAAATTCAGCAACCCACAAACCCTAATACGAAAAACTGAAGATTACTAATTTTTCTGCTTAAACTTAACAGTTATTACCATTGTAGTCACTAAATAGTGAACAAAACGTCTCCTGAATAAAGGAACAGTAAAATGAAACAATCAGAGTTTTTTTGGTAACCTAATACAGTACATCTATCCATGAAGTTTACATGCGATGAGGAAACATGAAGATAGTACATGTTTTCTAGGAAATTGTACATGTAAGAAAACCAACTGCATTAGTATCAACAAAAATTTTTAACAAGAAAAGTACTTTTACAGATGAGGTATATAAAATCAGGTTAAAACATTTAATCACAAAACAGCAATCACATGCTATGATTTTATTGATTATTACTTCACATAGGACAAGCACTATGGGATAATTGTGAGCCACATTAACATTTGAATAACATTTTCAAAACCATTCCAAACTGTAAAGCAAAAATATTGACTTTCTGAAAATTTCTTTAGAGAATAATAATATAGATATTATAGAATCTCCAGTCTAGAAAACTAAAACTTATATTTTTGTTATGCTCGTCAATTTATATGCTTGAAACTATTGCGAGTTCACCTTAGTCGTTGGACGAGAGCGAAGACAAACGACCCAGTGACACGATAGGCTACTCTAATCCGAACGTCCCAAGGCCCCATTAAGAAGAGGAAGAAGTCTTGATATGGCGTAGAAAGTGTATTCTGCAAGCACCCAGAAAATCGAGGTTTTAAGGTTTATAAACACGCAAACCGACTTTATTTATACATGTTAGAAACATCTTTGGGAAAGCCACAAAACAGCGTACTAAAATAATACATCCACCAGTGACAGTCAAGGATTTTCCGTGTAGGAAATGTCATCTCAAGGTCAACTGACCAGCCCATACGCAAAAGCATGAAATCAAAAATTATGTGCTGTATTCTTACAATGGATAACCTCGTACAGCTAATTCGAAACTTATTTGTGAAACAACGTGAATGTACAAAATTTCAATTTATAATGAAACTATTAGTGGTTTAAATGATCGTCTATTTGTGAATATTACGGTGATAAGTAATACTGTTCTTATCGCTTGAAATATTTTCGAGCAGTTATAAAGTATCATGTTTTTTATTTTAAATTTTATTGTCTACATGTTGCGCTGTGATTTTTCAACTGATGTTATAATCACAAAACTAGATGATTTAATTTCTCAAACTTTTATTAAATAGTAGAAATTTTGGGAAAGATTTCTTTTTGCAAATATCCCAACAACATAAACCGATCCTCTTAATTCAGTTGGTCTAAAATAACCTAGATTTTGAATCAATATGTAGACATTGTCAATACGTGAACACTAAACACCAGGTGTGAAACATTCAGTAGTTTATATCAATGAATAAAATGTATTACGCGACCCTTCAAAAAGCGCTTATAATATCAGCACTTATTGAAATTATGAATTCATCAATATCAGAAACGTGGAAGCACTCGAAGATCGTTTCGTCCTGGTATCGGATTCATGTTAAATTGACACTGTTCACATTTTGAAAAATAATTGCTTGAAGTTGAATGACATGATACCAAGTTACTTGTCACTTTTCAAATGATGTTTACTCGGCAAAGAAAATAAGATTTGTCAAAAAATTGAAGCAATAACTTTGATATTACGAACAAAACAAATATACAATTCAATCAATTATTATCCCTTAGTCAAGTCAGTTGATCGATTCATTTCACAAATTCTGTACATACCACATTAGATTACTTAATATTTTTGACTGGCTAAACAGTACTGTCATCAAGTTATTCATATCAATTTATAAATAACTCGATAATTGCTGATCGATTATCTAAAAAATAATTTGTGTCCCTTAGAAAAATTAATGTTAGGTAAAGTTTGGTATCGACTTACACAAAAAATCATTGTTTGAGTGTGTTTAATTGATTGCAAAAAGAAACGAATATTGTTTCAACTTGAATTGCCTTTTAAGTACACTGACCAACCAACCAATGAATCATTATGCTCGCTAGTATTTATTACTCACAGAATGCTACTAATGAATTTATACTGTTGCCACTGATCTGCGTGACTCGAGGCTACACAGAATAAGCTATTGCAGGCACCTACTAACAATGAATGTGTGTAGTATTCATGGGGAGTTATGATCTCTGTGGACTTAAATCCGAGTTATTGCGGATAAAAAATATCAACATGATACAAGTTTATAAACGGGTATACAATTTTTTTATTAGTATGGTATGGAAACAGAAAAGTTTCACAATTTCTGGGCGCATTTTAACACCCTGAATAAATATGAAATATATATACAAAACCCTAACCTTATAGTGTTATGTTATACACAGGTAATGATACTGACGTATTCATTATGATTCTAGATGTAATGTTCTACTATTATCTATTTGTATTAGGATAACTTCGTAAATACTTGGATATATATATATATATATATATATATATATATATATATATATATATATTTAAATCAGAACTTCTGTGTAATACCCTAGGAAAATGAACTATTCCATAATGCTTCCTAACTATCAGAAAAGAAAGTATCGAAACCTTTTTTTCGGATTGATACATTCAATGGAATGTGCACTGTCTGGCAATAAAAAAAATACCAAGTTTCACTATTTGCGTAGGATGTGACTGTCAAATATGAAAGTGCATAGATTTTCTTATCAGTACATGTCAACGAATACATTTGTGCGTGAATTCGCAAAATGGCAAAACGTAGGTGGAAAAATAGAAATCTCAGTGATGATTATTATTAGTAGCGAAACTATATTATTACTGAAACAGTATGTTCACCAACTGAAACATTGAATTCACAAAATTGGTTGAACAGTATTTTTCTGGCTAATGTTATACGACAAAAAAAAAGATTGTCAATCTTTTTGAAAATTTTGTAGGCTTAACAATTAAAATCTATAATCTATAGTTTTAATTAACGAGTGATGATTTGTTTAGTTTTTTTTCTACTAATAAACTAGTTATTCAACTAACTAGTAGGTCAAACTAGTCGGTCACATATAAATTTTATGATGGTTAAGTTGATAAGAATTTATGGCCTAGTTAGCCTATCAAGTATCATTATCAAATGATCTAAATTTAGCCATATCATGATGCATCTAATAGGTTCTACAATTATGAATTATATTAACGAAAGTATATGTTATCAAACACTTGTCATTTACAAATGTTTCATAATTTCGACTTCACTATATTTCAAAACCTTAAAGTAATTTAGAATGAACTATGGTTAACTGGTTTTTGGAGTGGGAAACGATTATAATTGACGAAATAATAATAATAATCAAGTATCATTAACTTTCTCAGTTCACTTAAATTTCTCGTTAGTTGATGGTCGACCTAACTAAACTAATGAAGCTTACACTGTAAATAAATTGGTTGATACACTCAACAGCTTCATCCTCTATGATTAAGCTAAGCATGCTATTTACGTATCATGATAACTGGAAAGAATGGAACGTTCTAGATTTTAATTGTGTAAGTGATACACATGATTGATTTTAATGCTATCTCTTTATTGAACATTGATTTTCTTAGAACACATTGCCTTCAAAAGTATGTGACCCATCTGCTCAGTATATTACATAGCATCAAATTATTCGTTCTTGTTTAGTAAATTTCATCTATGGATTAAATGTTCATTAGAAAGTTATTGTTAAATCGTGGTACTTGTAAAAAAACATAAAAGACAATGGTATCAAAAGTGTTGATAGATCATGTGATTTCTCACACATGTGATACAAATACTCATTCAACAGAATTAATTAGTTCACTTAAATTGATCTTTCATTAATGAAAAAAACAAGCATATAAATTGATTATTTTTATGGAGTGAACACATTCGTTTTGAGTATATATGCAAGGTGTAGTCGTTATATACAAATTTGTCAATATCTTGAATATGAACTACGACTAATCAATCTTAGAATTAATATTTAATTTTTTTTCGTTTTGAATAAATCACGAGAATACATAACCTTGTTCGTAGATTAGTTTTAAATTTAAACTCTACACTAAACATGTTTTACAATTCACAGAAAAATCAATACCGATTAGGAAGTGATGAATCAGTTGAAAATATTGGAGAGACGACACAAAAGACTAGGAAAAGATGTCAAGGTCCAATGTATTTAATCAATAGACAGAAATATGACCATGATCTGATTTAAATTATAGACAGAAAATTGATATTGTGTGCAATAATTAAGCCTGCTAATCAAGCTATTCTATGTATATACGGAAAACGTGTTATACAAATAATACGGTCTTTTTTATGACAGTAAAATTAACGCAATCGGCCGCATGACATCAGCAAAACTAAAAACGAGGTAGAGAAGCATAATGTTAGCTGCTGGTTTACATCTGCATCATACTAAGATCGACGAGAAGCTCTACTTTCCCGATTATGCAGTATCTATCGTTAATGAAAGCATAAATCTAATAAACTGTACGAGTAAAAAGTTAAAGAAGGCTTTGTAATTGCTTTGTAAGTATCTAATAGAATTCCATAGAGAGATGGTGATTTAGCCGGCAACAGTCAGTCAGTCACAACGTAGAACTTCGTACGTACATACATCATTTCAGGTTGCCATATCGCATTAGCACAGAGACGGCATGGCTAATGCGGGCTTGACAGAATTAGCTGGCAACAATGTATAGCATAGCATATACTGATCACTTAGTTTGTACAAATATTTCAAACAAATGTTTTTACAAAAATTTGGCACCAAGTAAATAAAAGACACTATTTTCGAAAATGTATATTTCAAGTAATCTCACTAATTGAAACTTAAGTAATTCCAACGTTTTGTTCTGGCCTTCTTCACGATAATAATATATAACGTTTAATCAATAAATCAAATCTACACTTAAATGATTATCCAGTCATGTTCAGATGTTGGATTTAGTAAGTAGAATAACACAAGATGTAAATAGTGTAAAAACTAAACAATGTGAATTTCACATGGAATTTTCACAAATACTCATCGTTCGTTGTTATGATTAAAAAAAATAGTGAATTTATTTATGAATAATTATGGGGATTCATTATATTTAACATTTTGTACTAAATTCCTTTTTTTAAGCATCTTTGCACCAGTAAGCCAATTGTATCGTGCCTACCTGAAGATCAGACAATCCTGTTCAATCCTGAGTGGGTGGTTTTGAATATAGACAATCAATTATTACTACCTTGAAACAAATCAATAATTCTATAACTGATATAATTTCATAGTGAAATCTTTTCACCATATTTTAGAAATTATTTTTTCTTTATACCATCTAATGATTTTTTGGTTTTGTAAGAAACGTGTCGTTTAGTTGACAAACTCTAAATAATTTTATTTAAATGTTATCATACATTTAGGTCATTTAAATCGGTCATAAGCATCTATACATTTATTTGTCGTTAACTTACTTTCATTCGATGTTGAATGTTCAATAGTCAATGAAGTTTCATTATCAGTCCGATTAGATGATAAGTTTGTAAATGGTTCTGAGATGAAGCATAATAGGCTTAACAATTGATCATGATCTTCCATTTCGGAATCCAGAAACACTTGCCAATCAATTCTAATAGCTGTTGTATCAATGAATAAAACAATCAATGTTCAAATTAGACTGTTGAAGTCATTTAGAATAACTGATGCATTTCACTAAACATACAAATAATTCTAACAGTCTTGTGGTGATGACACTTCAAACGGAAAAGTTGACTTGATAGATTTTTAAGTTTTGATGTTAATTTTATTCAGAAACCATCATGGGGATTCATGTAGAAGGGTGTGTTCAAACTAAAATCATTTAAAAATCATTTAAAAACGTCTACTTTAATATTTACTGAACAAACTTAAGCTTTTTTTCTCGTGAAATGAAATCAAAGAACATCATATTTTTTTAAGAATACAGATAATCTGAACTGTTAAGTATTAAAACCAACGGAATTGGTGCTATAATCTCCTAGGTGTTGTCACGTTCAAGTTTATGATATATATTTAGGAATTTAGGAATGATAGATTTCTTGATTTTTTTTGAAAACTAGAATATATGTAAAATCGAGCGATAACCTTATTACGAGCACAAAGGTTCACATTGATCCGTGAAATGAGTTAACGTGTCAGCAGTCTGATTTTTCATGTTGCTCAGTGAAGAACAATAAATTTTATCGAGGACTCAGTGAACGCTATTACGATAAGAAAATACAGTTTCAATTAGTAAAAGATTATTACTGAATATAATCTGATGATTTTTAACTGTTAAAGATGTTGTAGTGAATCAACTAATTTGTTATTAACAATTAAAAGAACGATAACAATGGAGTCATTACGAATGCCGCGTCCAATAGTCAGTTATAAAGATAAAATATGTGTTCAGCAGTTCCGACCAATGAGCTACAATCATCCAGTGTGAAATTTTATTTGAATAAATGTAAAGAATTGACAGTGATTGATTGATTGGTTAATGTTGAATTCAAGAAAATAAGTCTTCCGAAAGAATACTCATTACGTAATAACTAATAAAACAATATTTGTTGTAACAAACAATAATGTTTGCACACATCATAAAGAGATGACAGATACTCAAACACAACAGAGTTGTTCTTCGGTTGGAATCTTTAGTTATTTTAATTAAATCTACAGTACGTTATAAAGCAAATGAAAATAGAGATGACGTCTCCGGGATGATTTGGGCAGACTCAGATTAGTTCAAAAAAAGCTATAATTTCTCTGGGGAACGATGACAATCATATTGCACCTAACAAGGCTGAAATGAAACTGTGTATTTTGATACTTTAAGTTTAAATTTACTGGCTAATAAAACAGTAGTCATAAAGTGTAGAAGGAGAACGAAATGTTCCGTTGAGGTAGGAAATTGTCCATACATACATAATGTTGCGTTTTAGAAAAAAATAGGATTTATTGTAACTTTTACAGCAGTAAACGGGTAACCCTGTAATTGCTGAGTATTTTTCTGACAATATCATTGTTTTTATAACTTTGTCAGCGAAATCATCTACAAGCATACACATACCTACCAGCTTCAGATGAATTATGCAAACGAATTTGACGCTTCACAATTGGACCATTGAACAATGAACTACCGAATCGTATAAATTGCCTGGTAGCTTTCAATGGTAAGGCAGTTTTAGGAAATAGGAAATTATTCTTCACATCACTAGTCACTATTGCTCTGTTTGATAATTCACCAAAATGACCTGCAGCTAATGAATAAATTGGACAGCCAACTACCTTGAAAGATGTGGACAATACAATAGGCGGTTGATTGGATTTAGATGTAAGATCAAATTCTGGTAATACATAAATATGAATAGTATCTTCATAGGCTCCCCATAGATTGGCTATACATATGAAACAAATCCTTAGTGAGCCATATGCCGGTAAATGCCAAGATGGAATAGTTGATGTGGTAGTGAAATACTGACTAGCGGTAATTGGTTGAAGCTCAGCTATTTGAAAATCTGTTATACAAGTGGATGATGAAATAGCTGAATGTGCAAGTACACACGCACCTTTTGAATGTTTCAATAGTAAATTACACCAATCTGAAAAGCAAAGAACAGATGAAAGATGAAGCTTAATTATAGTAAGTTCGAAATATTATCGTTCTCTGGTAGAGTTTCATCCTCTGAGCTAAGTGGTCTAAAAGTTATTTAGGTAGTCGTTGCCTCTCTAAACAAAATCATTTGGGGAAATTTCAGATAGAAACAAATTGTTTGACTTTCTTTTCATATACCTGACAGTCTGTAATTTCAATCATTATCATAAGTGGTTACTTTTCAAGTTTGTTCTTATATTGTTTACATCTAACTGATGTCTGTGCTGGTCATTCGGTCCAGAGGAACAAGAGAAGCGTCATTATTAAGCCAATCATCTTAAAGAACAAGACTCAACCAAAATATCATCCACCTGAGCTACAAATCTTCCATGTGTTTAAAAAAATACTTCAACATGGTTTTAAAAAATAGCTTATCGTTTATCTGTATTTTCTCCTGGTCCTAGGGTCTTAATTTTTGCTGTTTACTAGTTAAATCTACCTTTAAAATATGGAGGACTAGTAGTTACATATTATATATAGTTTTAGTCTTTCCTATCGCTTACCAAGCTCCAACTATCCTGGTTTCTATACTTACTCAACCTATTCTAAGTCCAAAACAGTTCCCTTAGGAGTGATCCTTAATATGTTGAAGATTAGAATATTACTATTTCACTCGATAAAATGTACCGAAATTATGGATTAATGCAACTCCATTTTGAGTCATAACTTTATTGTAAAGTGCTGTTATATGACTAAACTGATCACTTATAATTAAGTTCATAATTAGTGTGTTATTTGACCAAGGCCAAAGTAAGGCACACGTTAATAGATTGGAAAATGTTATATGTTGAAAGTGGTGTAAATTTGGCAACAATTACGGTATAAATACTTCATGATTGTGTTATTTTTATCATTTCGAAAAGTCGGAAAGATTCAAAGTAAGGTGTCAAGTTGTAAGCAAAAGAGCAGTACAATAAATCATGTGAATATAATGCATGGTAGAAGGAATTTCATCTCAACAATGGAGATAATAATACTAATAACGATGTGTGACTACAAAATGTGATGTGAGCGGTGTGATCAAAGTCATAAAGATAAAAGTAAAAAATAAAGATTTTTTTGAGTTCGGAATGATGAGTGGGTATTTCAAGGAAGAAAGAAATACAAACGGAAGTGGTAGTAGGTGGGATAAGAGATTTATCATACCACGTTTAGGTTTCTATTGATCCGTTCATGGACCAAGGTAAACACAAAGGATTAATATATTTCTTTCGAATGAATAGGTTAGGTTTTCTGGATCTTGATATAAAACAGAGAAATCATTTTGCTGGTTTTTTCATGTGATACTCAAGGCTAATATCATTAATCCTCAGGACACATATTAATTTAAATATAATATAACAGAATCTAGTTAAGGAGTTTAAATCCTCCTAACTTTTTCGTCCAAGTATTTTATCGATTGACAGAATACATATGTACATATTTTATTGGATGTGGAAAGATGTTAAAAAGAATTTCTAGCTAAATTTTAGTGTTCGTCGTATCAGCATATAGTTTTGAAGGTCAGGAATTCTTCAAATCAAATCAGTCTTAGGGAGGGTTCATGTATAAGTAAATACCACAACGTTATCACAGACAGCGGTCATTATTGCACATTAAAATCTTTCCCAGTTCCTTGATTTACACAGCCACATTAAAAAAAGGTATTTTCAAACCCATGTAACAGAAACACATGCATATCTTCGACATTAAACATGTGCTGATGCTCTCTAGAACGACAACAAAATCTTTTCAAACTGACCATCCAACTAAGAGAGTACAATGAAATACATGCTTACTTATAGTTAAACCTACCATATAGTATTCGAATTCGGGTTTTATGATCATTTTTCTCATGCAAAACTCTTTGCCTACTTAAATAATTTTCAGTAGACTGTTCTGATACTAACAACAAATATTTAACTGCACCGAGTTTAGGTTTATGGGGAAAATTCCCATAATCAGCATAACTAGCTTTTGTAGATAATTTCCCAGTATCTACGCATATTCTTGTTGGTATAGGCGTATTATTCCGAAATTCAATCCACTTTTCAACTGGTTCAAACAGACCAACATTTTGTCCAAAGTCTAGAATCAACGAAGTTTTATTTGAATTCTCCTTTGGAATGTGAACATTTTCTTGTGAACATTCTTGACGTACTGGATCTCTACAAATACATAATGAAATAAGAAAGTATTAGAAATTTGATTCTTGTGATTGCACTTGGAAATTATTAAAGTTTTATAATCATTGTTAAGTTTTTGAGAATATTATAGACAATAGGAATATTTTATTCATTTCGGAGTTGTCACAATTTAAGTTTTCAACATAATAAAAATTGAGTATGATAATTATGATGACCAAACTAGCCTCTAGAGTTCAATTTCTACTGAACACTTTAAACACGTTCGAAATTTTATCAGAAACGTTTCACAATTACCATTAGATAATATTTTATTTAAGTTAGAATATAAACATACATGTCTTTATCAATCAGAAGATAGTTTATTGATAATCCTTGAACTTTAGCTGCAATTGATAAATACAATAATTCATTTAATCCATTTACACGTAATGGGATTTGCAGATCGTCAATTGATATCTGAAATTAAAGGAATGTATAAGATAGACAAAAAGATATCAGATAATTATGCTTAAATCATAATGTTCTAAGGTAATCAATTCTAAAATTGATTACTGATCGTTTTAATTTAAACATGAGTACAGAGAGTGAGTTCAAACGGTCTTTCACTTCCATACAATACTAACTGATTTGACAGACATTCACAAGATAACACAGTTAAACGAAATGATTCTCTAAAGTTTACAGTATTTTTAAATAATTACCTGTTTGTGCGCGCATATCGAAACTTCAAATGGTTGACTTTGTCGACCTTTGATTCGATAGGTTTTCGGGTTAATATTTACTGTAACGAATTCTTTATCACATCCAATAGGCTGTTAAAAGTATTTTTAAACATGACAGGAATTATAGTAAGTGGAGCGTCAACATTCTTGTTAGAATTTTAATAAAATAAAAATGAGACAGATTAAAATTGTTAATGAGCACTACGTGGTTAAGAACTTAAATAGAAAATGAAAAGTAAACTTTAAAATTAATGCATAAAAATGGTAAGTAAATGAATTATGACTCAATCATCGCAATGAATTTTTCATTCGAATAAATAAGTAAATACTCAGCCCATAAGATGCAATTTTCAAATTTTCTTTACTTATTGTCATGTTACTCAGCGCACAGATGAACATTGTTCAATAAAATATTCCCTTCTTTTTTCTGTGCACCCACTACCCAAACAGCACAATACAGAGAGCAAATATAATGACTTCTAGTGGTACAAACAACTCAGTTTTCTAATCTTTCCATTTTTTTTTCTTTAACTATGTTCTTAGAGAAACGACTAGGACCTTGAATATTATCATTCCAGGTCTAGCAATACTTACTTTACTTTCGCCTGTTACCCCCAATGGAGCATAGGCCGCCCACCAGTTTTCTCCAACCAACTCTGTCCTGGGCTTCCCTCTCCAGTTCTGTCCAATGTTTGTTCATTCCTCTCATATCTTTCTCTATTTCTGGGCGTAGTGTGTTCCTTGGCCTTCCTCTTTTCCTTTTGCCTTGAGGGTTCCATGTGAGGGCTTGTCTAGTGACGCAGTTGGGTGCTTTTCGTAGTGTATGTCCTATCCATTTCTACCGCTTCTTCCTGATTTCCTCCTCCATTGGAATCTGACTTGTTCTCTCCCACAGTTCGTTGTTGCTGATGGTGTCTGGCCAACGAATCCGAAGTATTTTGCGTAGACAACTGTTAATAAACACTTGTATCTTCTGAATGATGGCTTTGGTAGTTCTCCATGTTTCCGCTCCATACAGTAGAACTGTCTTGACATTCGTATTGAAGATCCTGATTTTGGTTTTGTTTGAAAGCTGTTTGGAGTTCCAGATATTTTTCAACTGTAGAAATGCAGCCCTTGCTTTGCCAATCCGCGCCCTCACCTCTGCGTCCGATCCACCTTTCTCGTCGATGATGCTGCCAAGATATGTGAAGGTGTTAACGTCCTCCAAGGTATCTCCATCAAGCGTGATTCGGTTGGTGCATGTTGTGTTGCATCGGAGAATTTTGCTTTTTCCTTTATGTATGTTGAGACCTACTGCTGCAGAGGCTGCTGCTACACTGGTCGTCTTCTCTTGCATTTGTTGTTGAGTGTGGGATAGAAGAGCCAGGTCATCTGCGAACTCCAGATCGTCCAGCTGCGTCCTAACTGTCCAGTTGATACCGTGCTTCCCTCCAGATGTTGACGTCTTCATAATCCAGTCGATGACCAGGAGAAAGAGAAAGGGTGAGAGTAAGCAACCTTGCCTGACACCGGTCTTCACCTCAAAAGAGTCTGTCAGCTGACCTCCGTGTACGATTTTGCAGTTGAATCCATCATAAGAATTCCGTATGATGTTGACTATTTTCTCAGGCACACCGTAGTGTCGAAGAAGCCTCCACAGTGTTTTCCTATCCACGCTATCGAATGCTTTCTCGTAGTCGATGAAGTTGATGTAGAGTGGTGAGTTCCATTCAATTGATTGTTCCACAATGATCCGTAATGTAGCAATCTGGTCAGTACACGATCGATCCTTACGAAATCCGGCCTGTTGATCTCGAAGTTGGACGTCTACGAAGACCTTCATTCTGTTTAACAATACCCTGTTGAAGACTTTGCCTGGTATTGAAAGAAGAGTGATGCCTCTGTAGTTCTCACACTTGCTGAGATCTCCTTTCTTCGGTATTTTGATCAGGTAACCTTCTTTCCAATCTGATGGTACTTGTTCCTCATCCCAAATCTTCTTGAAGAGGATGTGAAATATTTTCGCAGTTGCTTCTACATCCGCTTTCATTGCCTCTGCTGGAATGTTGTCTGGTCCTGCTGCTTTGCCGTTCTTGATTTGTCTGATGGCCATACTGATCTCTTCTATTGTAGGTGCGCCAATATTAATTGGGAGGTCCGTGGATGCTGCTTCGATGTTGGGTGTGTTCAGTGGAGCTGGTCGATTCAATAGTTCCTTAAAGTGCTCTACCCACCTATTTCGCTGTTGTTCAGTGCTGCTGATTACTTTGCCTTCCTTGCTTTTCACTGGTCGTTCTGGTTTACGATAGTTTCCGGCCAGCTTCTTTGTAGTTTCGTACAGTTGTCTGAAGTTTCCGTCTCTTGCAGTCTTTTCCGCCGTCATTGCTAGATCTTCCACATATTTTCGTTTGTCAGCTTTGATGCTCTTCTTCACTTCCCTGTTTGCTTCTCCGCCAGTAGAACCTTAGGGGCTACTGCCGGTCCCAAGCCCGGATAAAGGAGGAGGGTTGGACATGGGGTTGGCGGCCCCATTCCGTTGAAATCTAACTTGCCAAAAAAACGCTAACCAGAAAAAAAAAAGTAATTCAAACGTCTAGCAATGTATCTCTAATAATCAGCAACTATCCATTTTACTCACAACTATCCACTAGTCTCTCTTCGTACATTTGAATCATTACAGAAAGAAATGTGTAGGTATGTAGGGCCTCCACATATATTTGATTTCGCTTACATTTAATTTGGTTCAGCCTTTCGATGAATTTATTTAACCAAGACAGTTTTACAGCAACAACTTATTTTTACCATTGGTTTTTATCATTGTCTGGTTTGCATGAGCTGGTACGACTGAACATTGCTTAAGCCTACGCGCATATTCATGCCTATCTTGCTTGTTACATGTTTGCCTTACTTTTGTCTGACATGCTTTAGCTTTGGGACTTCGCTTACCAGCCTTCCCCACTACACTTCACTTTACTCGCCGATTCGCTCGCTTGCTTGTATGCTTTCTGGTGCTCACATGACGATTTTATCTTTGACTGCTTGTAGTCTGCTGATATAATTGTGGTGTGCCGAAATAAACGTATTCAACACTTCGAGTTCACCTTCTGATTTATAAGCCGGCAGACGCTATTTAGTAACGATTGTCCGGACGAGCTAATTACGAAGCCTACGAACACGTTGAATACCAATCGTCATTTGACTAGTGATACCTTGAACACACCACAGGTGCATATAATTTCATCATCATCATCAACAGCAACGTAGAACTTTGCACATAAGTACAGCAGCTCAAGTTGCCATATAATTTCATCGTCAAATTCTGTATATTTTATACACAGATATACTTGACAGTATTGAATTAATCGGTGATTATATAAATTTTATTATGTTTCAATAGAGGAAATTGAAATAGTTCACACACAAATGTTGTTACTATTAATTTATTGTACTTACTTCAAGCCATTCTAAATCACATTCTAACATATTCAAATTCGTGAGTGTTAGTGTTTCAGTGATAGGAACATTCCAAAAACACTGACTGTAATTTATGCGAACTGGATAAAAATCAATCAATGGAGTTTGAACTTCTGCTAAAATTAAAAGTTTGCTGAACAGAAAATTATATCAATCGTTTAATAAACTTGTTTTTATAATTTTATTTCATAGAAATTTAAGTATAAATTTTTATTCATAGATATTTCTTAAAGGAAATCTATATATTATGAAGTTGGTCCAGATTTGTTATACGTTCGTATGCTATTTCAGGATATATGTCAGTAAAGTTGAACTTAATAACGGTCTTATCTGAATTCAATCTGAAATGAATTGGATTATGCCATTATCGATATTCTGACTTGACCAGTCATAGGCATCATACACAGATTGCCTCGATATAGCCGCTATGACACAAGTTTATATAGAACAGACCGAATGTGTCTAGCAGTGGAATCCAGGACGCGCGTTTTCCGTCCTAACTGGAGGCTTGTCATTTAGATGTATCTACATCTCAGATCTGATGTTCGTTCCGACACTCGGGGAATTAAATCTTATACTTGATGTACAAGTGAGTGGACATTTGGACTCAGTAGCTAAGTGGATAACGCGACGGAGTTTGATGCAAATGGTAATAGGTTCGAGTCACAGAGTGAACATTAACTCTAAAGTGTAAGCACATTCATTCAGCTTACGAGTCCCAAATGGGATGAAACATCCGTCCAGTGCTTCCAGGTTTCTTACGATGGTCTAACATTGGTCAACTCATGATTTCAACTGGTAACTCAACAATCTCCACAACCCTATAGCGTAAATAAAATTAGTATGATACATTTGGAGCAACATATGTTTGAACTGAAAAAAAAGGGTTGCTAAAACGTTCCTTTAAAATATTCTCAGGTCAATATTTTATGGAAATAACTAGAAGTTGAATAAATGACAACTTCAAACAAATTATCATAGATTTAATAACAGTTTAATAATGACAATATCTGATGGAACATGATGTCTAAAATAAGACAGTTCAATGCGGTGAGGTTATATTATGCATTTCGTAAGAAACTGATAGTGGATTTGTAATATGATGAAAATTTAATCCTATCGCAATATCACTATGTGTAATTATCAACTCATGAACTTTTGCCACTGCTTACAACTAGATATGTTCGTTTTTTTGTGCTTTTGAACAACTCATTACGTGAAAATCTATTCATTTATAGGCTTTAAGTTATCATAGAAGTTACAATACATTCAGAAGAATAAAATATTATCTAAAATACTGATTACCGTATTTCTTCAGAATCTTCCGTATGTACCGTTAGAACTTCACGAACACTTCTTGTCACTTGTGGTGTAAAAGACAAAGTCACTGTAACTGATTCTAAAGGTTTTGCAATTCCATTTGAAGGTTTTATTTTCATTTCAGATGCAAACTGTAATTAAATTTCAATATTGAAAGAAAAGCAGAATAACAATCATGTAAACCTGTGAAACATGCAATTCAGTGACTGGCAAATACACACACAATGAATGAATAAAACACAATGAATTGACCGATTCTCATAATCAAATCATGTGTACAGCTATAACTTGTAAGTTGGCTAAAGTAATCTAATAAAGATCTTAGATTTCATGCAGTGTAAGATAAAAAACAAATTAAATTCAACCAAGTTCAAATTGTTCAAAGTAACAAAGCAAAAATATTTAGTACAATCAATCAATCAATTCAAAAACAGGTCTAACAAAATCAATATTATGTCACTCCGGTCAAGGTGATTCATTTAAAATATACAAACACACCTACATATGCAATATCCAAATACCAAAGCAACAATTTAAAGCCACTTCAACACATAATGTAATTATGGATTCCTAATACGAAATCCAAAATACCGGAATTAGCAATAGCAAAGAATGAAATCATGTTGAGCTATGATGTTGTATCCTTACTTAAATTACCACTGTTAGATCTCAACCCAGTGTTCCAGAGGTTAGGCGTTCGCGCGCAAGACCAAAGGTCTTAGTTTCAACTGTTGCGAGTGGCAGAGCTGGTGGATACTCACTGCTGATTAGTTCCATACCAGGACGAAACGGTGTTCCAGTGCTTCCTGGTTTCCAATGGTGCTCTGACAATGATTGATTCACGATTTTATTGAGCAGATATCAAAAATAACAAAATAATACACAAAGGCTTTTACACCTACAAATAAAGGCGAGTAGCTGAAGCTTTCTACATAATTTTAAATCCTACTACCCTCAGTAGAAAAGAAGGCCTTATTATCCATCCGAGTTGAACCATCTATCCAAACTGCCATTTCTGATTCTACTGATAACTCACATAATTATCAGAAATACAAATTTATGACGATTATTGATTTGATATTGTACGGAAGTACGTATCATAAAGCATTAGTTAGTCGTTAAGCGATAAATAACATTATATTTTTTAACTTATTAGTGCTGATCGAATTATGTTCATGAAATAATAATTTGACTTTTGTGACTCAACTACCTCTTTATCATCAATAACGTGTATTTGGAAGAAAGATATGTCACTTTTGTTAGTGTGGCAATCAGATAAGCCTTTCTGTACAATCAGATATTTTATGCTGTGTTCAAATTCTTTATAACAAAAACAATGCAATTTCACTCTGCCTTCTTTAAATTCGGAATCATGCTTGTATTTAACTGGGATTAGTAGCATTTCGTTAGACTAATTTAAATTCATAATTATCCTATCAGGGATTATACCAAATACTTTAATAATTTATTAAATGCAAAAGGGATGAAAAAAAATACCGTTTTACTGTATGTATTTTTTACCTTATCAAAAAACGTCTCCATTTTGATAAACCATTTTCTTAGAGAAGTAGTAGTGTTCGTGAGTAGTATATTCATTTCAGCTGTTTCATTTGGACGCATAAGACCAAAATTACAGTCTGTTCTATCAAAAACGATAGCTGGGGCCTAAATCATCGTGATAAATAGTTCAAAATAAATTCGACATAATAAATACAGTGAAGATGAAATAGCCTTGTTAATTTTGAAACTATGAAAGAAATCACAATTGTTAACAAAAAACTTATAACCGATAAACTACATGAGGCTGCTAATTAGATCAATTTGTAATAGACCAGCTCTCTACTCATTGATTCGTTTGTTAATTTAATCGCAATGGAGTTCGTTACTCTTCTACTTGTAATATTATCTACTACGTTTTTCCACGGGTTGTTTCCTCGTATACGTCATCCTATATTTGGTTAATTTGCTTTTTGCATTACGGGGTTGTGAAGATTGTTAAGTTACACATTTTCAAAACCATGAATCGATCAATGTTAAACCACCATTAGAAACCTGAAAGCACTGGACGGCCATTTCTTCCTGGTATGGGACTTCATGGTTTCAAAAATGTGTAACTTAACAATCTTCACAACCCCGTGATGCAAATTACTTGTGCTCACTAGTGACTAGCTTCGTGAGGAATCTTCTCCGAGTTCTAGTGGGAAGACGTGACCAGTGGAGTTCAACCTGTTCGGGTGTAGACAGTAACTACGGAAGACTGTGTATGAGGTTGCTCAACTCCGTGAATTGATCAAGTTAGACATTAATACCTTTAGATACCGGCTCAGTGGTCCGATGGTTAGGCGTTCGTCTACAAAACCAAAGGTCCTTGGTTCGAATCCTGCGGGGTGCAGGAGTCATGGATGCGCACTGCTGGGGAGTCCCGTACCAGAACGAAAGGCCATCCAGTGCTCCCAGGTTTCTAATGATGATCTAACATTGGTCGATTCATGATTTCAAATATGTGTAATTTGCTTTTCCTCATCTCGAAAATATTCATGCAACTTACAATTATGTGTTGTGCACTGATTTGTAATACATATTCTCTGTCATTTTAATGTCTTTCCTTAATATGAAAGATCTGTTAGCTATATTTTCTCGGTGGACAAACTGCTCTCCGGATACTTCATGATTATATATATATGACGATTAAAAAAAATCCCTTAATGCATTTTATTTTTGCTCTTGAGAATGTTACATTTATATCTGTCTCGTATGTTAAACTAATTCAATCCTTTTAAATTATTAAAAAGAAGTGAAAACTTTGAATAAAAATCAAACTGTCATGTTGTCCTTGAAACATTAAATACTGTGGACAATAAATGATAGTACCTTTGCCAACTGCGTTAATTTTTTTTAATATTTATTAAAGCATAGGATTATTTGAATACACTGTTCGAATGAAATTTGTATGAAATTCATTTAAAAATGATAAAGACCACTATAGAGATTGTCATGTACAAAGAATTATTGAAACAGCTAGCGATGTCACTAAAATCTATGCATAAATTGAACATAAATATTTTCAGTCAGATGATGCAATTCAGGTTAGAAAATAATCACCAGACTGAACACATCTGTCCCGCCTCTATAAAGAATGTAAGAGAACATTACAACAAGATCGTCAATAAATGCCACTCTGAGTTATGCCTAATAACACCACATTACGTTATATTAGAAACTGACCATTTCATTGCCTTCTTTCAACTTAAACCCAACGTTAACAAATAGGACACGGAATGAAAATTGCAGGGAGACGACATTCTCAAAACACAACTATTGTATGATGAGAGAGATAACGATCACTAATGAAAAGATGTTCAACTCTTAATGGTAGTTTTAACAAGATTTATTTTGCGAGTAAACAGTATTTAAACAAAATAACAATAATAATAATAACCAAGCTACTCACTGAAAATTCTGCTTCAATATAAAACCATAGAGGAGAATTAGGTAATATATTAATAAAACAAGGAATATTTTCTTTTATCACAATGGATTTTGACGATGACACAATGATGTCGATATTCATTGATTGTCCCGGAGCAATCACACCCATGATTGGCTCTAAGATAATTAAACCGTCATTGGATTTTTCTATTTCACTATATCTTCTTGAACTGTGTGGACCACTGGATTGAAGAATTTCTGCAGTCGATTGAGTACAATCGCTTAAATAACCAGAATTTATTTCAACATCGAAATCATTTTGCCATGAAAATGCCACAGAACAATTAGAATTGTTGATCAACTGTTTTATAAAAAGTAAAGAGATTTTAATAACATTTTAGTCAAACTAATTACCTATAAATTATTATGTTTAAATAAACAACAGTCAATAATTGTAGAATTAGTTCAAAGTCAACTTCGACATGTATTTTATTGCCGTACTTAAACTTCTTCAGCTTAAACTGCTTATTAGCTGAATTCCGAATTCTGATAAATGTTTAACTTTCAAAGAACAAATCATATGGAAAAAATATAGTTTCTAATATGAGTTGGTTTAAAGACAACAGGGCTAGTTACATCATTGGTAAATCAATTAGTACGGTTGGTTGGGAAATGCAACATATATGTGCTCAAACTACCACATGCCTCGAAAAGTGATGTCTTTTAATACTGTCGTACGTTAGATGATAGTTTTTAGATGGTCAAACTAAGGAACAGTATCAGTTCGTTACATCACTAGCTATTGGAGTAGACCATGTCGGTAAGTGTAGACTATGTGGCTTGGAATCACGTGATCACCCGAACCAATGACTGATGTCAAATCATATCACTCGAAATCCATCACAATCCCGTAAGTGTATTCATTCTTCACCTCTCCCTAGGTTTTGAGTTTTAAAGTTATCTCTGACATTTCATCCAACAAATGTTATGTTTCTTCGTGATTCATACTGTCTGTAGTTCGTATTAACATCTACTACTGATGTCTTTATTATTCCTCAGTGTTAACATTAATTATGGCGCTCGACACACACAAACCAAGGAAGGGATTACATTTATTGGTGAAGAACTATACAATACGTACAAAAAGCATATTCCCAGACTGTACGAGAAATACATGCCTACTTTGAAAGCTTACCTGCACAGTACGGTACAAAGGTACATCAAGCAAGCATTTTCCAGGAATGATCAAAGTTGGCGGTTCAATTGATATTGACACTGGTTCTGCAGTCCCTTGTAATTCAACTGTTAAATGTTTTTTGTCTAAAGTGTAACAATTGCCTTGTTCATCTACTTGTGGTATACCGAGTAGTATTATTGACAGTTGTGTTTCAAATGTTCCAACCTGTAAAAGACCGAAAATCGATTCATTGTACGCAGCTTCAGTACTGTTATTTAGTTCTAAGTTTTTAATGAAGTAGGTCAGGAGAAAATTCTTAGGTGCTTAACAAGTAAGATATTGAGATCAAGGCTCAGTTTGAACATCAAAACCAATCTGAGTACATACATATGCGAGTCCTGAATGCTAAAAAACACGCGTCCTGGACTACACTGCTAGAAAAATGCCATATATACTAAAAGCAATTTTAGATCGAATCGAATTTTATATTGAATCACACAGAATGGTATTTATTTTATTCTAAACATGGTTAAGCTATACCATTCACGGTTGTGAAATTCATGACCAACAAATACTTTTCTATGTATATCAATTAGGAGAAAAATAGAACTCAATGATTTTAAACTTTCTTACTTGAGTTGGATTAAAACAAATTTGAAACTTTTTTGTTTCATTCGCTTCAAACACACCAGTTGTTGGATTAATAGTGAATAACAGTGGTACAGCATTATTATCTCGTTCATCGGATGCAGACAATACACTTGTGGATAAAGATTTACGTTGGTTCAGTAAATCATCACTTTTAATTAAACTGTCTGAAGTATACTCTGAGACATCTCTATCACTGGATTCATCCTCTTGGATCCATTGAAATCGTAGTGGTTCTGAGCTAGAAAAAAAATAATTAAAAAGTAAAAGAGTTAATTAACTGATAAACCATAACAATTTAAAGTATTTTTTTTAACTTTCCTTGAAATCATTGTAATGCATGAGAGTACCAACAAAGGAAAGAGTAATTCAAGATTAATAGAACGATATCTAGAGACTATCTAACTAAATCAAAATATACAGTAGTAAATGTCTGTCGTGATTAGAGCTCTCCGATGCAACACAACATACACCAACCGAATCACTTCATGGAGATGCCTTGAAGGACGTTGACACCTTTACATATCTTGGCAGCATCATCAACAACCAAGGTGGATCCGATGCAGATGTGAGGGCACGGATTGGCAAAGCAAGAGCTGCATTTCTACAATGGAAAAATATCTGGAACTCCAAACAACTTTCAACCAAAACCAAAATCAGGATTTTCGATACGAATGTCAAGACAGTTCTACTGTATGGAGCGGAAACATGGAGAACTACCAAAGCCATCATCCAGAAGATACAAGTGTTTATTAACAGTTGTCTACGCAAAATACTTCGGATTCGTTGGCCGAACACCATCAGCAACAACAAACTGTTGGAGAGAACAAACGAGATTCCAGTGGAGGAAGAAATCAGGAAGAAGCGGTAGAAGTGGATAGGACACACTACGAAAAGCACTTAACTGTGTCACGAGACAAACCCTCACATGGAACCCTCAAGGCAAAAGGAAAACGGGAAGGATAAGGAACACATCACGCTGAGAAATAGAGAAAGATATGAGAAGAATGAACAAAAACTGGAAAGAACTAGAAAGAGAAGCCCAGGACAGAGTTAGTTGGAGAAAACTGGTCAGCAGCCTATGCTCCATTGGGGGTAACAGGCGTAAGTAAGTAATTAAGATAATCTTATTTAACAGTTTGGAAAATACAAACCATTTGATTGAGAGTTTTACAAATGAAGTCAAATAGGTAACCATAAAAAACTATGCAGTAATAGACAAGAGTTTCGACATGATTTAAAAATCGTATAAAAGTAAATATCCCCCCCTCTTACCGTACTCCTACGCTAGACGACATAGGATAAGGAAGTAGGCGTTGTCTGGTCCATTTTAATTGCTAAAAATAGCAACACAGAATATAACGACTTACCTTTTTAAAATTCCAATCTACGCTTATCTTCAATTGATAAGATTAGGCTAGTGTATATAGAGTTATAAGATTGGATACTTAATGGTGATTGAAGTAAAGTTTTTAAAAATAACAGTAGATGTCAGATTTGTAATTCCGGTCCCTTATGATTAGAAATTCCCATAAACATAACTTAGGCTAAATGAAATTACTGTCATGTTGTCAAAACGGAAACAGCCTCAATATTTAACTAGTTTTTTTATCAACAGTTTTGTTCGGTTTATACCTGTTTAAGCCATCTTTAACTGTACAAACAGTATGATGAAATTTCTTTTTCTTTAATTTAGTTCAAATAACTAAATCTCTTAATTGGATGAATCATTTACCGTCTGGCGGTTTTAGAAATCTGACAACCTACTGACAAGTGTCCAGGTAGTGCATCTAGCAAGCATATTATGCGAGGAAAACGTAATTAGAGCGGCACTGACTAAAACAACTTAATGAACGGTATTGAAAAAGACTGTTCAACTTATTATGTAGTGAGCCAGAATACAAGTCTTGATATCGATGCCGCACTTTTTTCAGAAATACTTATGTAAAACAAACATACAGATATATAACAACTTACAGAGCATACAAATTAATAATTGTAATAATTATTACAGAAAAATTAACAGAAACATTTTAGTTCTACTGACGGTCAGCCAAAATCTGAACAGAATAAAAAAAATACCATGCGTATATTACTCCAAACATTGATTGATACTTGCAATTGCCTAGTAATTAATAAGGTGATAAAAATGTTTTCTAAAGTAGAAAAGTAAAACTTGAACAACTGAAATAATAATTTGAATTCTTCTGTTTGACTACAAGAGTTGATTTAGAAGTTACCAATCGATGAGAAAAAATTATGCCAATTAAGTAATTTCTATCAATGCTAAACAATATTAATTCATTCTCATTGATGCTTAGAACTGCATTTGATCAGTCGTTTTGGCACAGCTGCTAATAATGCTCGTAACTTGAAAGTGATATCAAGACAATCCACACAGAATACACAAATGTCAAAGAGATTGATCAATCACAGTCAAAAACATCAGTCGAAAGATCCAAACAACCAATACAAATGAAATAATCACTATCCCATAAGCGAGTGGTTATCTGGACTCAGCAGTTAAGTGAATAACACGACGGCCTTTGAAGCATAAGGTACTGGATTTGAGTCGTGAAGTGAGCTTCAACTCTGAGATTTGGGTATATGCAGTTGACGAGTCCCGAATAGGAAAACACACTTGCTAGCCACTCTCCATCTATATTAAATAATGCTGAACAGTACTCAGCTTTTTTCGAGAAAAAAGTATGAAAACAAATTATTTGATGTTATCACTATTACTGCTAAATACTGAATAATAAGTAGTAAGTAACGAAAAGGAACAATTTTATGTAAAAATTAAAAGTAGAAAGTTTTAATCAAGGAATTAATATCGTTTAGTAAATAAGTTTAAAGCCACACCACTGAGTATAAATGTAACAAATATATATCATAACATTTTCTTACTTACCAACAATTTCTTATTGTCATTGTTTTCGGTGAAATAGTATGAGGATGATGTTTTGGAAATTCATAAAAATAAAATTGATCATTTGAAATCGTATTGATTTTTCTAAAACTAGGCGATGATTCATTGCAAGTAGATAAATGATTCTGATCAATAATGTCGACTATTTGTAATTGAGGTTCTTCTCCTCTACCTGAATTATTTTAAGAATAATACAATTGGCAAGTTGAAGAAAAGAGATTCTTTGTTTTTTGAAACTGGCTTAATATTTCAATGAAAGAGGTCAAATACATTGTCGGATGTAATAAATGATGAAGAAAATCAGTGAATATTTATTGATAAATGATAACGTTTAATTATTAACTAAACCAAACTTCTGCATGAAGATAATATATAACCTATGAATCATTTTAGGCTTAAACAGAACAATTTCAATGTTATTATTCATATGAAGAGACTTGTAATTCCTGGATAATATTCCGTATGGTTTGTTTATGATTTTTTTATGTTGAATAAGCTCTAATTACGGCGAAAATCATGTTCCCAGTGTGTCAAACTTGTTTGGGACGTTAGATCCCCAAAACTCACTTGATAAAGGTCCTAATTTCGGATTTGATGCTTACGCATATGGGTTGATCAGTTGACCTTGAGATTACAATTCCCACGCGGAAAATCCTTGGCTGTCATCGGTTGATGTATTATTTTAGTACCCTATTTTTGTGGCTCGCTCAAGGGCGTTTATACGATGTATTTATAGACTCGATTTGTCTGCTCGAAGACGTCATACTTTCTAGGTGCTTGTAGAATACACTTCTACGCCGGATTAGAGTAGCCTATTGTATCACTGAACCATTTGTCTTCGCTCTCGTTTGCCGACTAAGGTTAACTCATAATAGTTCAAGCATATAAATTGACGAGTATAACAAAACTACAATTTTCACTTAACAGATAATCCTTACTGATATAAGAAAAGTTTAAATAAAAGGTAGGAGAGTTCAAACCAAGACGACAATAGTCCATAAAGTCCTTGACTTTTGGACGATTTCACGTTTGTAGAATGATGTCATCAGGATAAGGGGGGAAAACTTTTTGGTTAAAATGGCTTTGATCTGGCCTATGATTGGTGCATAGATTGAATCGATTTCGATATGCTTGCTGATTCAGACTGACTTGAATGCCAAATTTCTAAAAATTCCCTATTCCACCTATCCAGTATTTTGACTGTTTTACAATCGAATCTATATTTCCATCGTTATCCGCGTGAATGATATGAGGGAAAATAAATTAAGTTAATAGACTGCTAACTGATATTCACGTTGGCGAAGCTGAATGGGACATCCACACTGTTTTTTCAGTGAAAATGTTCGAAATGAGTGTGTTTTTGAAAAAACGGATATTTTGATCGATTGGTTCTGCTTCCTCACTCCATAATTCCCTTAGGAGATTAATTTTATTTATTCCTAAAGATCAAGTTGATTGCGAATGTCCTTTGATAACTTTAAGAAGCTTCATATTCTCTAACCGTTTATAGCAGTCATAGTCATCTTTACCAAGGATAAATTAATGTATTTTAATACTTCAACTGACAATCAATTTTTAAAACAAATAACAATAAAATGAAATAGCGATTCGATTAAAATTAACAAGTTTATTATCTACATTACTTTGGCCATAACCTTAAAGTTGCATTTAAATTTGTTTACTTGTAAGTATCGTCAACTTAAATGATTTTTCCATTGGATCGATAGACGATTTCGAAATCAGTCTGTTTATCGCTCTCAAGTAAGAAATACGATAAGGGACCACTTGAATAAATATCCTTTCCAAAATTACTATTGACTATGTTAAATGGGATTTTTTCGTTATCTTCTACTGTGTGGTGAACTAAGTGACCGTCACGCAAGATAAATAGATTTTCATCTTAGGGATTGGAAATTCATAACTCCCTTTGTTAAAGAACAAAACCGATCAGGATTTCTGACTGACATATTTTCTTTAATTAATGTGTTGAAATCACAAACAGACTAAATTTGAATAAATGATAGCTGTCTACTGATCCAGCTAATGTTGCCCTGTTACTAACCAACCTTAAAACTCAAATAAATTCCGCAATTTACCCATCTAAGAAGTAATAACATTTTCAAAAGACATTGAACACTGTATAATTAATTACCTATGAATGTGACCGGAAAAAATTGACCATTATCACAAATCAATACAAGTTCCCATTTATATTCTGCTGCATATAATGGTTCAAATTCCACTGTTATTGTAACTGACTTCAACGATTCCAGATTGAACATGAAAGGTTTGAGTGAAAATGATTCCAAGCATAAACTCGTTGAAGTGGAATTCTCATGCAGTGAATAATACTTCTATCAAAAATTACAATGTTATGTAAAGAAAATATTTCATTTTTACTGTTAACGAATAAAATTTCCGAAACAAAATTTACACATCGTTCAAAGTTGTTATTAACTTATGATTATTGAAATATGTCAACTTTAAAAATTGTCAACTTCAACTATGTATTTGGATCGAGTCAGTTTATTTTTAGTTTTCGGCTAAGATAGATTATTATACTTCGGTGAGATATGTTTTAACAAGAATCGGTGATTTATAATGTTTATGTGAACTTGTGTTTGTAATAAACTAATAATAATGATCACATGAGACAATTAAACAGTTATCAGAATTATTCACTCACTAGTGTCATGCGGTGCAAATAATTTAATCTAATCTAGTTGCGAGATAACATTGAAAACTGGATGCATTGACATTTTGAGTATATAATACTGGTGGTATGTACAAAATGGTCACTTTCAAACAATTAACAAAAAGTTTTTGTAATAGCTAGAAATTATGACAAATATTTGAGAAATTTGTCAATAATATTTACTATTATTTTATTTACTAGTCCACTTCTCGTACAATCTTATATACATATAAATATCTATATTGATTATATGTAATTGCAATGAGCGCTTCAACGGTTTCTTTACAATCACTGGTAAGATTGTATCACTTCTCCTGCTGCCTTGTTAAAAATTCATTAATTAGTGCATCTAACGTAGCACCTGTAGTTAGATTTAGTCATCTTTCAACCGTTAGGATTGTGACTGGATCACTATGAGGGTGAATAAATGGAATCAATCGGTTTCTTTGAAGTAATACACTAAATAAATAATAATTAATCAGTTATAAGATAATAGCAAAACAAAGTTACATTTCTGTGTTAAATTCTCCTCTTGATAGGGTGAACGTCAACACGTCAGTTGAGATGCTTGAACTATTACGAGTTTATCTAAGTCGGAAAACGAGAGCTAGGATCCGGCGACACGACATGCTACTCTCATCCGAGTGTCCCAACCCCCATACTGAGTAAAAAGAAGAAGACTTGATATGAAGTAGAACCTGTATTCTACATGTATCCAGAAAGTCCGAGTCCGAAAGAGAATCAGGATCCTGGACTAAGGGACCAGGTCCAGGTCATAAAATGTTACAGATAATGCGTATTTATACAGTGAGGTAGAATAGGAAACAACACTGAAGTTTGTGACATTGACTATTAGGACGACAATAGGTTATTGATCAATAGAATTAGACTTACAAACAATTGTCTTAGGATATTGGATGAATATCCTAACACAGGGTCAGCCTTATTTCATATCGGAAATAGTAAGTAACGTTTTTTATGTTGAGACTCTGACATGTCAAAATAGAATTGAATGAATTTTATTGTTTTTTCACTGTTTATATTTTATATAAGACACTTTAAAAGTAACTTAAAATTTTTCCAAGTTATAAATTTCAATAGAGCAAGAAAAATCAATGTAGTAGAATAACTTGAATTCATCTTATTTCGCAGTTTCTCGTCAGCTGCCTACAACCTAAACATAATCATTAAAAGTCCGTGTACAAACTTTCAGGAATAAACAACCAAGAACATGGGTACAGAATTATTTGAGAATAGTTATTTTACTCTTAAAACAAAACTGACTAAACACATACAGACCAGATAAGAATTGAGAATAATCAAACAGTAACCAAAAATCACGTAACAGCACCCATAAAATGAAGTGATCACGGTAAAGTAAGACTGATAGCTGATTCCTCTTAGATGCAGATATTTAGTTTAAATGTTATAGCAATCGCTTCAGCGAACTGTAGTAAAGCTGTCAATGTTTTGTACATAAACATGTAACTACACACTTTAGGAAAAGATTTATTCGACTGTCTCATAGTCTTTACTTTAGTCTCATGACCAGTTACCAATCAGCCGCATTATTTCACCATGTATATATATATATATATATATATATATATATATATATATATATATCAGTTTTCAGCAGGAATTCTGTCTACTTATTTTAAAACCTAAAAATGCATTAATCAAATCACAAAATCCAAAACAAACCCAGGCTTAAGTAAAAGACTTGACGTCAATGACTGCAGGTAAGTTAAATGTGAAATAAAATTAAATTGCTTTTGTATGTAAGCCGACAAGAAGTACATTTCTTACATTCATTTCATACAATAAAAAAAAATAAAATGTGAAATTTACTTACTGTGAAATTATTTGCATCGAACTGTTGACAGTCATTAAATGTCTCTTGTGTAATAAAAAGAAATTTACTGTTCGATGCAATCTCTGCATTACTGTTCTTCAGTTGAATAGTGCTTATTTTTGAACCACCCTTCAATGTATAACCCAAATCATAACATTCAAGTACTTTAATTGATGAAATATTAGAAGAAAAAAGCATACAATGTGTATTTAGGACATAAATCTAGTTTGAAATAATAATAAACATTATTGTAAGTGAACAAGTTACACAGATCTAGTGATCTGGTTTATTCACATAGATAATCTAATCTAATGAAAGTATCCATAAATACTTTCGATGGCATTATGTTCACTGAGCTAGAAGGTAGTTTAATTGTGAAGCTCTTATTTTCACTCTAGATAAGATCTTCTACGTGTAGAATTGAATTTCATGTCTAACCTTCTATACGATAGAATATTTTAAAATTATTTAGCTTTATAGACAATTATTTTTTGCTTCTAAATTTTTCCCTTTTCCATCCATTTATTTGATCAGTAGTGGTGAACAGTTTATTTGTATAGATTTGCTTGAAATAAATATCTGATAAATTTGATATTTATCATCCATGAATAAATTTGACAGCAGAAATACTAGAATCTTAATCCTATGATTAATATCCTTAATCCAAACCTTTATTTTTTTTACATCAAAAAGTTAACTTCCAACATAAACAGTTCTATGGTATTAAAAAATTGTTTTGACCCAATTGAATATCATAATGTTATTTATATTCCGGTTGCTTTGTCATTGATTTTGAAACTCATAAATTATTTCCGTTTGGAAAAATAAACATAAAACCGAACAACTCATCAATCAAATTGGAAACTTAAAACGGAGTTGTGGAGTTTGTAGCATTTTAACAGTTGAAATCACGAACTGATTATAGCTGGATCCCCACTGAAAACCAAAAAGCACTAGACAACCACAGCCAATGGATGGAGGTTTGAATAACATCATGGACTGATTGGAGTTAGATGTTGGCACCGTTGGATGATGGTTCAGCTGTCTAGAGGTCAGGCATTCGCTCGCGAGACCGTAGGCCCTAGGTGTGGTTCCCGCGTGCGAAGTTGTGGATGTGCACTGCTGATGAGTGCCGTGCTCGGACGAAACCGCTGTCCAGTGCCCTCAAGTTTAAAATGTTTATTTAGCTAAGATTAGTTTGTGGTTTCATTTGTGATAGTTGGATACGTCTCAGACATATAGTAAGACGAAATGACAAAAGGATGAAAGTCAAACATCATCTACAACAGAAATCCATTCATATAGGAAAAACACAAAATCAGATAAAGTGGTTGTCTTATTTATCTTCATCTATATGAGCCGGAGAATTTCTTCGACCTTAGCACTTAGATCAGTTAAAGATCATTAGATATATTTAAACTATCTGTTTATAGGCCAGTTAGAAAAAGCATTATCAACTGCAAGACCAAAAAAAGGAAATCAAGCAGACAGCAAGAAAACAAGTATCAAGAACAACTGATCATGTTCAAAGTGAACTGAACAAGCTGCTAGTCAACCGAAAGGAAATTCACAAAGCTCATTTCTCTCTCAAGTTTGTACTGATGATGTTGTCCCAAAAAACCATGATTAAACCATTTAGTTCACCAAAGAAAGCAACTTCAACAAAATCATCCAAGTTATCAACCTTCACAACTATATCAGTCAAAACAATTTCATTATGATATGAGCATTTAAATTTATTAGGCGAATACGCTAATTCCATAGATTTGTAAAATTGGTATTAATTGATTCTTATAGAAACGTTTACAAATAATCATAGTAAGAGTACAAAACATACTATTTAGTTGTGGACGTGATTTTTTCCCTAACAATTTAACACAAAGTGGTTCAAGTTGATTTTCACATTTCACTGTCAGTTCATCTTCAAAATCGCCAACATTATCAGGAGAGAATTGTACTAGAAAAACAGCTGCCATTCCCGGTGAAATAATACTACTACCTTGTAGTGGAAATTTTCCTGTTGATTTTCCAAAATAAACAAATAACAGTAAACACCACTGCAAACAAGACAATAAGTTATCGATTATCCTTAAGCGGTCAGTACATATAAAAATCTCACTTGAATATAAGAAAAGTGACTATTTGAATAATTCAGTTATGATTTGTCTGACTGGCAGAAAAATCTGGATCCATAGGTTAAATGTTGATTACTTTTTATCGCCCTACAAATTATTACATTTAACTTGCAAAATACATTTGTAGTATTCACCTTTGCTTTACGCATATATGTATCAAGGGGCTTTTGACAAAAGAACAAACTCATCAAACTTCAGTAGGTGATTAACTATAGGTACTGAAAATGATTAAGTCTCATCGAATCTTATTTAGAAGGCAAGCATATACTATATTACTCATTGGAGAGTAATTATTCTGAAAGACTCACGCTCTTCACCCCATCAGTCGTTTTTATTGATTAAGTAACGTATAACCATTTTTATTGTAGCCTCTAATATTTTCTCTGTATAAAATTCTTTTGGATAATTCACTACACAGTTTTAGCAATAAGCATGATATATGTGTATGGGTTGTTTGAATCTTCTCTATGATATTGCTAGCTTCAGTTTGTCAGTCACTTTGAAATATGTACATCCTGTGGGGCTGGCTTCGGTATCGCCATTAAGCTGCAAGCATTGTTAGTCAAGAAACATACGTCCTTGATTCCTCTGCCAATCATCAGCCATCTTTGCCAACAATAAGTATGACAGTTGATGGCCTGTCATGTGTGAACATAGTTTTTTTCCTGTAAATTTGTTTCTCTTCGGAAATTAGATCAGTGTTCATGTGGAATTTAATGAAAACGGTTAAAGTTATCTCATATATGCTAAAGAGTTCCATACCAGGACGAAATGGCCGTTTGGTGCTTCCTGGTTTCTAATGGTGGACCTACAATGATTTATTCACGATTTTAGCATAAATAAGAGTTGAATGTTAGGATTCTTATGGCTTCTGTTATATAAGGGAGACCGGTTCGAACCCTGTTGGGAAATGATGGAGTTATACGACAGATGACTCAAAATTATTCTGTTTTATCTATATTATGACAACTATCAACCAAGTGTGCCAAGATAGAGCCATGTATTGTTTTTATCTGGCACTTTCTAAAACATGGTAGGAGCTGTTTACTCATTCGTTTGGTTCATTTGCTTGTTAGTACGCCCAATATAGCTATCACCACAGGAGCAGCAGAAACTTTTTTATTAATTTGAATCCGAAGTCTGAGACTTCATAGTTAAAGATGGATCACAGAAATGTTTTAATCAGAAATTACTTCTTGCTATATATGCCCCATTACATTCAATAAAATTCTTATATGCATAACAAAAATCATCTTTTATGAATTAATCAACAGTCACACTAAATGTGATACGTACTATGATTCACTGTTATTTAATACATACTTACCTTCTTTAATTGAAAAATGTGTTGTTTTTGGTGGAAGTACTCGAATAGACCGACTAGTGTTAGAAATATTGCGTATTTTAACAATAGCCTACACAACAGTTGACCAATTTATAGTTTTATAAAAAAATTACCTCATAGATATTTCCTGTTAGATAAGTCTTAAAAGTGATTGTTTCGGGTTCAGCTTGGAATAAAAATCTATTCTCCTTTGCCGTTTTCCCAAATGGAATCAGTGATCTTGTAGGCGGTACTAAATTCGTATCTGATGTCGTCTGTAAAATAAATTCTTATTTTTTTATCACAATGTTTTATGTTAGTAATATTATTTGAATGAAAATTACAAAACTTAATAGAGAACCAAAAATTCATGTAGTTGACTTTGAGCATTAAAGTATGGAGATGGCATTTAACTAAATGTGTACTGAAATAGGCAAACTAGTCTAGGTACTCATAACACAATTGCTTTCAGTATGCAATAATTATATAGTGATAAGTTAAAGTTTTAGCATGTGCATCGCCGAAGCGAGTACTCCAGTCGGGTTATGTGATCCGGTGCTAAAAGATACTGGACGCCAATGTGGGATCAATCCTGCTTGGCCGAGTGCTTGCGCTTGGTTGAGTCCATGACATCTTCCCCATGGGAGAATGTACGTTCCGGCTGACCTTGTGGGACAAACTCGATTTTTAGCTTCATGTGGGGTCTGAGGGCTACGGTCGATTGCATCAGAGCAAGGCAGTTGGAGGTCAGACGGTTGGAATGGCTGCTAGTTAGTGCACTACTGGGTGGCTCTGCATTCCGTTCCGGGAGCCAGGTCTAGCTGGGAGAGCTCGCCCTGCCGCCCTTGCCGACTGGGTATTGTGGGTAGTGGATTGGTTAGAGGGATCTAGTTGATTCATAAGTCCCCTAACGGGGGCCACTGCTCGTGCACGTGCTTTTTGGACGTCCGCTTGTCTTCAGACCAATTCAGACAACATGTGCGTCCCCGTATGGGACAGGGGTGATCGCAATATTGGCTCTTGTGTTGCTCAAAATGCAGCGGCGTGCATGTGCAGCATGCCTGTTGGTTAACCAAGAATATAGTGATAAGTTATACAGATAATTAAAAATCATAAAAACCCTAAGTATTCTAGACGATCAAGAAATACGATTTTTATCAATTTATAACTAAACTGAAATACAACTGATGCAATAAAAATGTTTTCTAATATACTATCATTAAAAAAAGCTTCAGTAAATGATCATTTTGCCGCTGATCCAATGATCCAGCAGTAGAATAACCAGTCTAATTCAAACAGAAAATACGAATATGGAAGTTGTGGAGATTATTGTTGAATACTATGAAAATCGTGAATTGACCTAAATAAGATAACAATTGCTAGCAATCAGGAAGTAATAGAAATCTATTTCATTCTAGTACACCATTTAATAGACACACATATAGTCACAAGTTTTAGAAAGTATAAAACTCACAACATCATCATGTTTTGAGTATTTCTTAGACTTAAGATATTTCAATTGATTGAGTTTTTTTCCTTTGGAATTTATAACTGGTTTTATTGTTGATGTTTTATTGACATTTTCAATGTTTTCATCATTGGTGGAACTCTTTATGGTTGAAAAATCTGCATAAGTTTGACAAAAAAAATAATTACACTTGTTTCATATAGAATAGAATAGTGTTGATGATCTTCTGTTGTGCATTTTATACATTTAAAACAGCATTTTTAGAAACACAATTTAAAACACATCAATTTGATTTCTTATATTTTGCTTGAACTCAAACTATTTTATTTTTTAGTATGTGATTGATAATCAGCCGGAAAAAATAGTTACTTTTAATCAGAATAACACATATAAGCGAACAATATTGTTTTCGATTAGATCGTCATCAGGCTTTACTCTATGAAAATGTTTAAACCGGTCAAGGCAATCTGAGTCAATAATCACAATGAAATGAAATAGATTACGTCACTACACATAACAGGCAAAAGTACAAGTTGATAGTAGGAAGACAGGTGTACTGACTCAAATTGCCTTGATTGACTTAACATTTTCATAGAAATATTCATGTATATTAGAGTAAAGCCTGATGACGATCTAATCGGAAACAATATTGTTCGCTTATATGTGTTATTCTAATTTTCGCAATGGGAATCTTTATTATTACTTTGAATCATCGCATTTATCTATTTTTAAATATACAAGCAGAATACAAGTGTATTTATAAAGCCATGATGAAAAAATAAATAAATGCGGCAATCAAACTTAATATCGACAATGATTTTATTACTTGAATCAAAATCATAATCTTAAAGCGATAGCACATGGTTTAAATCTTATAGATATCTCATTCAGGTTTTAACTTCACAATCTTCCAATACTGCAAAACAATATGCACTTATATTTTCACTAAATATTGGCATTTTCTGTTATAAAAACCGAATAATCTTATGAACTTTATTAACACTGTTGAAACTTAAGGGTCTAATGCTTTCTGAGAGATTTTAGAAGAAATATTACGTTCTGAATCAACTTTAACCAACTTACATGAAACACAGTTCGTTATGCAATGGATTTCTGCCAAATTTATTCAATTTCGTGACTACTTTACAGCAGTCTAAGGAGGCTGCTAAACCTGAACATACTCTCTATTGTATGACTTTAGGCAGTCACAGATCAACAGATTAGAAAACAGTTGACAAATTATTGATTTTTTGATAAGTCTAAGAACATAGTGGTGCCTTCAGTACATGGAGGAATTTAATTAATCAACGTAGACAGAAATACGTACGCAGAAACCGTCTTACCATGGCTTCTTGGTTTTCCATTGAAATAAATGTCTTCCTTTGTCAATAAGCCAAGGTCACCTAGAAAAGAGTCTATACCCAGTAAACGAAAATCATTCACAAACCATCGACCTCAATGGGACTAAGCAAAGAGCTGGGTCCTCCTGACCTTGACGATTCGCAATCTGAGTTGTGAAATAAATCTACGCTTAAACCGTAATTCCTGATTCGTGATTCTGCAGCGTTAACTTCATCAATGACACCCTTGTGCCTTTTGAGGACCTAAAAATATTGGACTTTTTTATTACTCGCCACCTTATTAATTTCTTGTATATATGAAGAGTGTTTTGCATCATCAGTGTCCTTTGCATCCTGTAAATATGAGATCATATCATCATCTAAGGCCGAAAATTGATACAAATTTTTAAATATCTTGGATAGCTGATATGAGATGACCTGTGACCGGTTTTCAGAGGGTTTTTGCAGCAAACAAACAAGATTTTGTTCACTCATGTTGTTTAAACAATATCCGGATTGGTATTTTACCCCAACGTTGCAACAAGAGTTCCAATACTATCTTATTCAAGGTGAGTTAGTATGAACCATTCAGATAACACGATAGTCTGGAAAATCTAAAATGCAAATAGAACAAAATTGTTGTAAGTTAGGGAATTTGTGCGTTAGTTTACTTTGAATCTATAAATTTACCACATGTAATTAGGAATGTTCAGAATAATCAACCTAGAAATAGCATGTAAAAATTGACGCGACAAGGTAGTAACAACAAAACGGGTTGAAATGATGCGGTATTAACAGTGGACGGTAAAAGTAAACTTTAGGAGTGTGTCTTAAATGTTTGAAAAAGGGAATTCAAGAACAAGGAAAGGATTAAAAATGAATGTATCTTAGTAGTTTTGAACGATTCTAAGCTTTACGACCTACAGTTTTCAACCTCTAATCGCGGTTACCAATTGAATCTCACCCAGGTAGTCTAAACCTATCTATGTGGCTAAGACCGACGGCCAATGACTTCATGTACTGATAACTAGTTTTGTTGGCCTTAGGTTTCTTCCATCATACTTTCGCGTGGCAATCCTATGTTATAGTAGTTGGCAGTCAGACGTATGTAACTCTTATCAAGCAATCTATTATATTTGCCAATCATCCTATCTCTTCAGTCAGTCAGTCAGTCAGTTACAACGTAGAACTCCGTACATGAATACATAAGTTCAGGTTGACATACACCATCAGCACAGAGACGCAACTGACAGTTCAAATCCAATTGTGGTAGCGATAGAAATATTTGCAGTAATGGAGAAGATTAGGGAGTGAAGATATGATTCGAGAAGTTTCATTCAGTGAGATAACTTTAGAAAGAGAAAGACAGAGATGATGGGAATTCAGAAGGCTAGAATTTCAGAGGACACAAAGATTGAATGCACGTGCGCCATTGCAAACGATTTTGAGCCATGTCGTTCAAGGTCTCTAACCATCAGTGACTTTTGTCTCGCGGACCCCAACCAAGTAGCCTACATCTACCAACATGACTCAGTCCACTTGCCAGTGACTTCATGGATCTCTGCAATGTTTAGGTTTTGTCGCTCCTAGCTTTCTTCCTACCTATTCCTACACCGCGAAGAATAGCTCGTCGCGGCAGTCGGTGGTTAGGCATACATAACACATGTCCCAACCACCTCAACTGATGAAGTGTCACTACTTCATCCTTACCTATTACTCTATTCCTAGCTATAGGATTGCTTACTTGGTTGTCCCACAATATACAAGCAATGTTTCGAAGACATCTGTAATCGAATACTAATAATCTACGGATGTCCTCCACTCTTACCGGCCTTGTTTTACAACCATAAAGTAGGGTGGAGCGAAAAATTGTGCAGTACACTCATTCTTTAGTCAGCAAACGGATATTTTGCGACTCAGGGTGGAAAAAGCCAATCAAGCTTTCCGTATCCGAGCTGAGATTTCGTTAGTCACCAGGCCATTAGCACTGATGAAACTTCCAAGATAAGTGAAGCGGTCTATATGATTGATTACTACACTCTCTATCACTAGTTTCATCCTATCCCTTACCTCAACATTACTCACTAAGTTATTCAACGCAGTGTCAGATGTCTTTCTGAGACAATCATGATCAAATCCTAAAACTTGCTTGTCTTCCACCTTTATTGACAGTGTTTTATAGCAAAATATTTATACGGAAAGGGCTACTATAAGATAAACATGTTTGATTCGTAAACTGGCACCTCTCCATTACGACAAGCGATATACTTCAATAAGATCAACCTGGCTATCCGAATCCATGTGGAATGATCAGACTTTTAGGACTGAGTTACCTAATTACCTTACTCCCTATTATCACTCTAGGCATTGAAATAGTCCTACTCTGAATTACCTTTCTCGATTTCAAAGGATAAAAATGCATTGAAAGTGTAACAGTATTGTTACATAACAGTGAATTTGGTCACATCTTAACCAAGTGGGAATATGACATTCTGCTTCGAATAATCAACATCCTGATAGGAAATCAACACTTGGAAAAACAAGTGCGGAAATTGTTACTTCTAGGACCATGTAGGCACATAGGATTCACTTCTCTAAGTAATGCAAATAACACTGACGTAAGACTAGGACAGTCTTGGCAGGAAAAAATGTCATTCAGTAATTTACAAAATCTAGAGATTTGCATCCCACTTTGAAGCACTATAAATACCTTGATCGTGAAATGGTGTTAGCAAGGAGAGCTTGAAAGGGGGGTAAAGAGAGAAATCTGCCGTGTTAGGTAAAGTGATTCATGGTAGCCTTCGCAATCAGTATTAAGTGAATGTCCAATTGATATTTCAATCTAATAATAAGCGGCGGTATCACGTGTTCCAGTATAAATGTTTGGTAATTAGATGCTCTAATAGAAGCTCCAAACGTAAACAGTTTGTTCTGGAGTTTTGGGTCCCTTGAAATGTTCCTTAGATAATCAATACCAGCCGAAAGAAAAAGCTTTGATATTAATCAGCATTGAATCACCTGAGGTAACGTAACGGAATTAGGTTGAGGAATCTTTGTCTTAGTAAGATAAATTAATGAAACCGCTCATAATTTTCGTTCCTCTTTGTTGAAATTATTCAGGTGTACATACTTCATACCTAGATAAAAATTGCTCTCTGACAAACGTTGGGTATAATTTTCCGAACATTCCTTCATCTAAATAACTAAATTGCTTGCGAATAGCTAATTTGGCTATAAAGCCTCTGGCAGAGGCAGTCTCACAATCACTATTACTTCTAAGGCCGTTTATAATTTAAACTCTTAGATCCTTACAATCTATAACTGTAGCAAATACCAATTATCCTATTGTGCAGTTATAAGAATCATTTCAAATGTTCAATTGTATAAGTACATTCTTACCAAACCTAACTTCTAACAACCACCTATTTATCCACTCAACCGGCGACATATAGTGTATAAATCTACAAATATTGATATCATGATCAAAAATTAGAACATATAACTTTTTGACAGTTGGTAAACGACTCACACGTAACAATGAAAGTGAGCCAACGATCACACCATGGGGACCTCCACTTTTCACTAATTTCCAAGCTGATAAAGTACATTTTACAGGTGTCTGTTACCAGCTGACTATGAAAGTCACCTAAACAGTTTTTGTTTCTACAACAAAATCTAAATTCTTTCTAGTTTTAATTTAAAACCTTAGGGAATGACTTTGTTGAAAGCACCAATTAGTTTCATGAAAACTAGATCTCCCAGAAATATTTCATTGAACCACCCTTCAGTGATAAAAGCCGTCGACAACAGGGAGCGACAGAAGGGTAAGATGAGGAAAACCTTAGGGACGAAACCAGAGGTTGATAGTGCTGCAGTTGTATGTCAAGCAAGAAGGAACTTCTTGAACTAATTAGGCACGCAGAGTAGCGTTGGTTTGAAGGACTAAAGCAGAGAACAACGAAAAGATTCAATGTCCGTCATCTAATCCTATATATCCAATATCTTTTTCAAGAACTAGTTCTTCGGGTACGGTTCCAAGTATTTGTTAATTCTAGTCAGTCGTTAGACATTGATGAAATTGTATGTCCTGTGTTTTGCGTGAGTACATCTGTTTTGGAGACATAGGGCTTATGAACGACAGCATCTACTATGCTATTTGGCCAACGATCAGTTAGTTGCAATACTGGGAATAATAAAATAGAAAATCAAAGATAATAAGAGGAGAATTTCAGATGAGCCGACGACTCAGCAAGCACTTAGAATACATTCGCATTTCATATGAATAGCAAAAGAATAACCGTTGATCATGCTGGCTTCAGGTGTGTAGAAACTGGAAAGGGAAACTACGAACGGACAGCCCAAAGTTTTGAAACCGGTATAAATACTCACTTTAAATATTTGCCATAGTGCTCCTTAGCTCCAATAAAACACTTGAGCATTTAAACAAAAAGCATAAGAATCAATTCAGAACCGTTTTTCGAATACTTTTTACTGTTAATAAAAAAACAAGTGATGTCGATAAGTCACTAAATAGTTGTTTCTCATTTCAAGCAGTCCTAGATCGTTCATGTCAAAACGATTCAAATGGGCTAAGCATTCATCTTCCCACCCCTTCAGGTATCTGAAGTACATTTGCATTTCCAAAAATCATTTCTTCCATGTCCATTTATACGTATTTTTCTGAATGCCTGGGGAAAGACGTGAGGATACACTGAAAATGCTGAGGATATTCAGGGTTTTTATTCACGAGGCTCAAACATTTTGCAACCGAAAGTCAGAAAGGAAGAGACTCTAAGACAGCATTTAAAAGGCCATTAGTATTTCAAGATGTGTGTAAACTAGATAGGCAAGTGGTTGTAAGTAATGCGTGTCCTGACACACCCAATATTTATCTAGTGCAGGTGCATGATCGAACACTGTCAGGTAAGATTAATACAATAATAGGGTTAGTATCAACGTCGAAGACTTACCACACTATTTTTTTAGTTCCTACTGTATATACTAAAATGCTGAACTTGACGGCCTCTCTTTGCTTCTGGACAAAATAATTAACCTCTTCAGCCTGAGTTACTATATACAGGTCAATCGTCCTTGTAATTTATTCACTTATGATCTTATTTGCTTTGACTTGAGCGCTTGTTGGCACTGCTTGCCTCGCTTATCACATGTCTAGCTTATTTTTGTCAGACTACAAACACTTAGTCATGCCTCGTCCAACGCAGTTAGCCCATTCACGTTCCCCGGTTAGCCTTGCCCTTACGTTTCTGGTTACTGTTAGCCTGATTAAGCAAATGTTTGAACTAAATTCATCGCAAAAGGAAGCTGTATTACGTTTATAATTATCACCGTTTGCCTTGTAGTGGTTCGGGTAGAGGATGACTATGAAAACGTCTAACAACCAATTACGTTCGGGTCATAAGCATTATTCCCTTGTACATTAATAACACAGAAGGAGGGATATTTCAGATGAATAAGTATATTTGCTGGCAGTTTTGTGGTACAAACGTACGAATAAAAAAATTGTTCGGTAAAACGTCTACTGGTTTTAATCATGAATGTTTCCATGTAACCTTCTGTGCTTTCTCCATAAAAGTCAAATCACTTCAGCACAATAATGATATAAGGAAATCAGAAGGAAGATTTGTTTCATGGCCAATTTAATTGTCTCTCCAAATCAGAGTCAGATCCGGGCCACTAAGACTACAAACCGAAGAAACATTATCTAGAAACGACATATCACAAATATGAAAGATAAATCGCGTATCATAATACGAATTCGGTCAATAGTTGTTCACTTCCCTAACATCTTTGTTATTATTATCCATTTTTCAACTTGAAATCTGAAAGATATTACTTATGGTCAGTAAGCAGTATGGACCGGGGACACCATACTGACAAAACTCATTAGTAACATCTGATATTTATGTAGATTAATGGCTTCCGATAATAGATCACATCACGATCTAAGTTTACTTAGACGACCAATAAAATCAAGGACATATTAGAGAGCCTTTTCGGCCTATCACGAGATTTTTCAGCAATGCTCACCCACCGCTGTACCACCGATTTGAAGATAATTTTCACCCCTTAGAGCCTCGAGTTTTAAATCAGATCCTCGGTGGTTTAGTGAGTTTTTAATTACTGTAGTAACCCACAGTATGACATATCAGCTACCCATTGCTTTCCAACTTAGATTAGTTCTTATCGTACACTAAAACTCAGAAATCCGGTTTCAAAATCGAAGCATTACCAAACATTTTTGAGAAATAGTGGTTCCAGTGATTTGCAGGAAATCACTAGTAATTTCTTATTAGAGATAGGTTGTGCAGTAAACATTGTCTGTATATTATGGTTCCTGACAGCAGTCATAGGACATCCAAAACTATGATACACTGCATTGCGGTGCTATATATCAACAATTTTACACTATTACCATAAACACTTTACCGGTAATACTTCCAATACTGTGCAATACACGTTTTCGTTTGCTGATCAAAAACTTAATACTTAACTTAACTGCAACTGAAGTGAAACTGTACCATCTTTCATGAAAAGAAAAAATTACCCATGTGAACTTAGTTGACATTCATTATAGACAGGCAACCGGTTGTTTTGTTACGTTGAACTTATCACGCATTGTAACTGAACACAAACGTTATGATCTATTTTCAGTATGTATAAATCAAAACCCTTAAATCTGTTACATACAGTTCATTCAGTAATGTTTAAATAATGGAACTAAAAAAATTTTTTTCAACTATTTTTCTTAGACTATAGGTAAGTTTTTTCAATGTTGAAATCAGTATGTAATTTCCGAGTACAAAAACAACCAATACCTGTTGCCATACTATCGGCACGAAAACCTCTGTCAGTCAACAAAGCAAATGAATTATCAGTCGTATGGCGCTTGATCACAAATGTAATCTTGTGACGACACCAAATGACAAAAGTGGATAAGTTCGATGATCCTTGCCTGATGATTTTTTGATTTGATGTGTAACTGAGCATTTTCACGTGAAAAGAGAAATTTCAACTAAATGAAATCACTTTCTTTTTATCAAATAATATTGAATGTTCTGATCTATAGACATTATGATTTACAAGTAAGAAAATTCAAACGTAGCATTCAGACATTAAAGACAAATTAATTCAATTTCCTCAGGAAACTATCAATACTGTCGATCACTAGGTCATTCGATAAATGCCAGTCAACACCAGAAATAATAATGAAATGTCAAAGCTGACATTTTTAAGATAGTACTTCTCTACCCTTTTGATGAAAAACCAGAATACTCAACTGTTAAATAGGTATTTCTGATTTCTTTTCATCTTCTGTCAGTTAGGTTTTAACACTTTCACTCGTGTTTACGTCATTTATTAACAAATATAAAGTGGTTTTTACATATTTCCACTCGTTCAGAGTTCCATTGATTGCTTTCAATATAAATAGTAATAATAATAATAATAATAATAATAAAAGCAAACTAGTGTAGTTATGTAGCACGGATTATAGACAGAAAAGAATGTGAGGTCTGATGAGACAAAACTTTGAAAGAAACATACTTTAGCCAATCAGGATTTAGTGAGTGAGTAGAAAAATTTCTAAAGAAAATTCTTTCCTCTAATAATTTTAAGTATACAGCTAATCAATAAATAAGGTCACTCGACAATTGGGAAAAGTTTAGTGATTCTTAAAATAACATTTATGCATCTTTTATTCACGAAAACATTGAACTACACCACAGGTTTTGTTAGAGGAATTCAGTGTAAGTGCTCAACTAAAAGTGATTGTTTTATTTCTGCTTAATTAAATATCTTATCTCAAATTAATTTTCATACATGTACGTTGAATTTAGTGCTTCGATATATATATATATATATATATATTCTGCCCTTGTAACAGAAATTTTCGAGTCGATATATTTCGTCTTCCACGGTGTTTAAGTCATTAAAAAGTTGATCTTAAAAAAATGAATCTGATAAGGAAAATGTCTATATGAATTTCCTAATTCTGTACAAAAGAAATATCCATATCCTAACACATAATGCTGAAACAATCACCCATCGTCAAATAAAAATTTTTTATAAGATATTATAATTAAACTCAAAGTAAGTACACATATGTCTTCATACATGTTTAATTCATCTGATAAAGAGAGTTATTAAATCCATAACCAATTTCTACATCAATCTCAAGTTTATCTAATCAGTCAGTTATAAGCAGTACAGAACCTTGAACATATATATAATGGTTCACAGCACAGTAAGCTGAAATTATTCAGATGAATATCAATGAATTAATGTCTATTTCAATGATCATCAGAAACAGTTCTTAGATATAGTGAATATTTTTCAAGAAGCAAGAAAAAGTTTGTAAAAGAAAAATTATGCAGTGATCTTGACCACAACATGACTAAGATCTTTAGTTCATGAATTCATGAACTCTGGCCACCTTGGCTAAGCAAAGGATGTATCAACTGTATTGACAAATGCTTATTATTGTCTCATTCAGTGAACACTGAATTTCAAAATTTAAGCCAAATTTATAACAACAAAATTCTGTTGATTCATCTGTCTTTACTTTAGAGGCTTTTATTTGAAACTTCAAGAAAATAGTTATCACTTTGTATATTGATAACATCAAAAAGATGTTAATACAGTCTTGGTGTATACGTATACTAAGTTTTATTGTTATTATTATTATTGTTAGTGTCAGACTGACTTAAAACATTTGTCTCTTTAATCTATTAAGAATTCATCTACTTTGTTATATTTATGACACAAATCTTTCTCTGCACCTATACACACGTAACTGCAATATATTATTGACAAAGAAAGGATTTACATGACTATTTTTTATATCTAAATACTGTCAATACTATTTTAAATTACTTCATATTGTCTGTACTCTAATTCTGTTATTGTTACGCCTGCACGTAAACACGTCAGTTGAGATGCTTGAACTATTACGAGTTTACCTAGTCGGAAAACGAGATCGAGGATCGAGGATCCGGCGACACGACATGCTACTCAAATCCGATTATCCCAACCCCCATTTTGAGTAAAAAATAAGAAGACGTGAAATGAAGTAGAACTTGTATTCTACATGTATCCAGAAAGTATGAGGTCCGAATCCGGGACCGGTTCCCGTTCCTGGTCCTGGTCATATAACATTACAGTTATTTATTACGATCACGATGCTCTGAATTTACTATCCTTAACTGTCATTGTAACTTCAATGAGAAATTTGTCTAAAAATCTTATTAGTTAACTGTGATAATGATAGTTTCTTAATGAGTTTTATTTCCAAGTTGTTATTATTACTGTTCTAGGTCATAGAAGAAAATGAACAAGAATGAATTTACTACAATTGATACACAATATGGTAAAGAACAAGAACCTCAAAGTTTTTCATCAATATTTTCATCAAGAAAAAATTTCATGGAATGGTTCCGATCATTTTTCGATCGATCCGTGTTGATTTATCAGTTGTTTTATTTTGCTTATTACGCAGCATTCGGTTCACTTTTCCCGCTTATATCAATCTATTTTAAACAACTTGGATTGAATGCTTTACAATGTGGTATTCTAAGTGGTACAAGATCATTAGTTGAATGTTTCGCAGCACCATTTTGGACTGCATTAGCTGATAAATGGAAGAAAGGCAAGATGTTTGTTCTAGTTAGTTTATTCTTTGCAATGGCATTTACACTTGGCTTAGGATTTGTACGTCCAACACCCGAAGGTTGTTTAGTTAGCTTGCCAAGAACAACAAGATATAATGCTACAACAAGCGACGATGAAGATGGTTTGATTTTGAGCATTATTCAACCTTATAAAGCATCAAGATATGATGATGTTAAATCGGTTGATATGGATAGAGATTTAGCCTTGAAAATTCGTAATCAATTAGGACAGTCACCACTTTATCTCAACACTAAATTATTAGTATCTCCGCCAAAAATGAAAGCAACACGATGGGGTACAGGTGTTGGACAACAGACTGGTGATCAAAATCTCTACGCAAGAACACAAGCTTATCATGATCCTACACAATTTCCACCTGGAAGTCTTGTCATGCCTCTGTATTCTACAGTTGTTTATGGTCAAACAAAAATCAATCAAATATTCATTGTAATCTTATTACTGGTACTTTTTAGTGAACTTATGTCTTGTGCTGCTATACCAATTGTTGATGCAACAGTTTTACAACAAAGTGGAATTGACTTTTGTAATAATTATGAAAAACAACGTATCTTTGGTTCAGTTGGTTGGGCATTATCAATGTTTTTCATTGGATTAACACTAGATCATTCGACAAGTTTTCCTGACTATCCTTGTTTACATCCTGGTTATCGTGAAAAAAATTATATGGTATGTTTTGCAACATATTCAGTATTTATTGCATTCGCTTTATTCATTGCTACACAATTCACATTTCAATATGAGGGGGATTCAGACAGTATGTATTTTAAATTAGTGAAAGATAAAATGGCTAGAACATTTTTGGGTAGAACAACAAAAAGTCGTTCAAAATTAGTTAATGAAGAGTATGATGAAGATGATGTTGGTTCAAAAGATTGGAAATCTGATACACTAGTCAATGAAATGGATAAAGGAAAAGTGGTTGACAGTGCAAAATCTACTAAACATAGTAATGAAGAAATATTAGAACAACAGCTTGGAATAAAAATTGTTCAAAAAAGTGATGGAAATAAGTTACAAAATCAGAATTCAATAGATGCACGACAAGAAGAATTAGCTGCTGCAGCTCAATTAAAAGTAAGTAAAATGATCGTTATAATTATTACTATTATTATTATTACATTTATATTTGGGCGCCATATTCAGAAACTAAACATTTTCATTCAATGATAATTGTTTTACTGAAAATCCCAGTATTCATGAAAAAATAATACCATTTCAAAAACACTTTATTCATCGTTCAATAATGATGGCTTACTTACACAATGTATTTTCTAGAAAATGAGAAAAAGTGCATGGGTAGAATAAACTTTCTAAATATCTGAATAGCTATTACTCTTGTCATAAGAAAGACAGTCAGTCAGTTAGATGCAACGTAGAACTTCGTAGTAAATATATCACTTCATGTTGCCATACCGTATCAGCACAGAGATATAGTTGTCAATTGAAATCCAATAGTAGAAGAGGTAGTAAAGGTATTAGAAGTAATCGGAGAGGTTAGAATTAGATGTTATTCAAGAAGTAGAAGAATCTAATGAAATAGACTTAATAAGATGAAGTGATAAAGAATTAAAAAGTTTTGATAGAACACAAAGAATAAATGGACCGGCGCCATTGCGAATGGTTTTGAGCCTTGTCATTCAGGGTATCTAACCATCGATTATTATCATCTCGCGGACTCCAACCAGGTAGTTGGCAACTACCGACATGGCTAAGTCCACTCGTCAATGACTTCATGGATCTCTGCCATGTTTTGGTTTGGCCGCCCCTAACTTTCTTCTAACCTATTCCTACACTGCAAAACAAAGCTCGACGAGGCAGTCGGTGGTTGGGCATACGTAACACATGTCCCAACCAACTCAACTGATGAAGTGTCACTACTTCATCTATTGATCTGCCATTCTTACCTAGCACCCGTTTCCTAATAACAGCGTTGCTCACTCGGGTGTTCCAGGATGTACGAGCAATGCTTCGAAGACACCTATGATCGAAAACCAGTAACCTACGAATATCTTCTACTCTGACTGGCCATGTTTCACAGTCATAAAGTAAGACGGAGCGAACTACTGCACAGTACACTCGTCCTTTAGTCAGCAAACGGATATCTGGTCTGCACCATAAGTGAAGTCTTAAGAAAGGAATATCCTAGTCTCATTTCATAAGTAGTTCATGGCTGGGTACTATGAAAGTAATATAAACTTAGAAGAATCATCTATTAGGCTTCCTCTACTTATCACTGATCCTTCAAATGATGAAATTTTACTTCAAGTATTTGAAAACTTCCATCTTAATAATAAATAATAAACAGAAACTTCTACTAAACTAATTACTGGTACAAATCATTCATTAAAGTTCATTATTTCTACCAGAACAACTTCTATTTAAAAAAACAGCAATTTTCATACACTTTTATATTGATCAAGATCAAACAAAATTGAGAGATCATCTCTATTCCCGGAAATGATCATTAAATTCTAGATTTCAAGAGATGTGTTGAATGCTCTGAACGAGATTCATAAATTATGTCAAAAGTCAAGAATAACTCTTCACTGTAACAATGATGAAAAGATAATCTTTTTCTCTAAATAACATTAAAACATTTAAATAATTAGTAAAATATGTCTTCAGAAAAAGGACGGGAACGAATACTGTAATAATTTATTGTGAATATCATTCTAGTTTTGATCTATCATTGGTAAATAACTACTATTCTCTACAAAAGTGTTCATAACCTGTTATTATCATACTTACATTCTATTGACATTATATTTTTGTACAGTTTCCTACCTTATGGTATGTTTGATGTGTCTATAATTTTGATCGATCGATGAGAAGACTTTGTTGGTCTGAAATATGTTGTGATGTATTTCGAACAATCTGGTCATACATGTACACTTGTCAAGGCGTTTTATTGGAAAATAAATAAAAGGTCAATTAAATAAAAGTTCAAATAAACATAAGGCGATCATTGTAAATGAAGGAGAGAGAGAGAGAGAGAGTGAAAGATCAACTACTTATTTTGAGTGTTCTGTCAAGATTTATAAAAGTGACTAATCGTTTTGAACTTCTATTATTATTTTTATTATTATTATTATTATTATTAAAATATATTGCATACTTAGTAAACCTTTTTCATATGACCTTACTTGACTTTGATCGGAAACAATTTAATGCATAGGAGTTGATCATGTAGGTTGATCAACAATTCACAAAATTTTGTTATCATTTTAAATTCTCTATTGCAGTTATTCTATATTTACATATTATGAGGAGATAAAAAAACTTCAAAGATAAAACGTCTAACTGAAAACAATACCTAGGAATAAATAAAAAATACATCATCTTAGTTCTAATCTTTCATCTTTATGAAGTATTGAATTGAAAGCAACGAGAGCATTTTTAAATGAATCAATGATACGTCAAGTTCATTGCGAGTGAGATGTTGATTTATATCGATGTTGAGAGCTTCACCATTTTCTTGTGTAATTCATCCTAGTTTTCAGTAACCTTTCAATATAAATTACAGTATTTACAAATGTTCAATTTAATTCTAACTATGATCTCAAGAACTTATTCAATACAACTAAGAAGAATAATATGATCCTGATTGGTAATCCTCAGAACAGATTATTATAATTTTTCAACCAATCACATATTAGTTAGTATTCAATTATCAATAAATAATTATGTAGAAATACTCAATGTTTTAATAAACAATGAACGTTGTGTTTTTTTGTGTGTCCATATAATGAATTTCAGGTAACAAGTTGGTTTCGTGCGCTGAAACAATTTCGTCAACCAAATCTATTGGTTTTTCTATTCGTTATATGGTTTATGGGTTTGGGCTTAGGTCAAGTATTCACTTTTTTATTTTGGCATATGCAAGAATTGAATGGTTCACCAACTTTATTCGGTATCGCATCAATTATCAATCATGTATCAGAGATATTGATGTATCAGTTTAGCAAACAAATCATTGATAAAATTGGTTAGTGCTGTAAATTGATTGTTAAATGATTGTTATTCAAACTCTAATTCTATACAAAATTTTAATTTATAATCCTTTTAATGATTATTTATTTTTTACACATTTGAAATCATCAATCAATCATTGTTAGACCACCATTAGAAACCTGGAATCACTGGACTGCCGTTTCGTCCTAGTATGGGACTCATCAGCAGTGCGCATCCACGACTCCTGCACCTCGCAGGACTCGAACCCGGGACCTTCGGTATTGCGCGTGAACGCCTAACCATCGGACCATTGGGCCGGCATCCAACGGTGTTAATGTCCAGTGCTTCCAGGTTTCTAATGGTGGACTAACAATAATTGATTGACGATTTCAAATGTGTAAAAACACAAACCTCAAAAACTCTGCTTGAAGATTATTTATTTGTTTGTCTATTGATGAAGCTTAAAATAAATCAAGCTTCGAATAGATGGAAACAATTAAGTGTTATGGATTCTCATTTTTATATTCGAAATTGAGTTGTTTATTTTCAAAACTTAGAGCTGTCCTTAGTTGGATATGATTCGCTGCAAATACTGAGATAGTATAAATAATTCCAAAATAACATTTACATACTTGAATTGCTTCCTCCCCTAGGGACACATGCAGCCGATTAGTGATTTCCAGCCAACTCTGTCCTAGGCTCCGCTTTCCAGGTTTTCCAAAGTGCATCATTTCCTTCTGCTTAGTGATACAGTTTGATGGCTTTCGTAAAGTTAAATCTATCTACCTCAAACTAACTTTCTTAATTTCCTCTTCTGCTAGGAGCTGGTTGGTTCTCCGCCATAACAGATTGTTCTTGATGGTGTCCAGTCGACGGACTTAAAATTGCTTGTGTAGTCAGCAGTTTATAACTACCTGTATATTTTTAATAGTGATTGTTGTAGTGTTTCAAGCTTCAACACCATACAATAGAACTCTTTGGACGTTCGTATTAGAAATGAAGTTAAAGATATTCTTCAGTCGTAGGAATGTTTCCCTTGCCTTACTAAACCGTTTTAGATCTGTATAGAAACTTGCTCATTCATTAGTCATAATACTCAGCTACGTAAAAGCCTCCACCTCTTACAGAGCTTCTCCTTCAGTTGTAAATTTTTCACTGAAGACAATGTTGTATTCCATGATCTTTCTTTCGCTTCAGTCAATGTTCAGACCCACCATAACAAAAGTTGCTATCCCACTTGGTTTCTTCACCTGTATCTGGTTCATATTTATGGGATGGAAATACTAGGTCAATTATGAACCTCGAATCGTCCAGCTGCATCCAAACGTTTCAGTGCGTCCTATGTCTCCCTTGAGATTTCGGAGTCTTCATAAACTAATAAAAACCAAAAGAAAGAGGATATGAGAGATTAAAATTCTTTTTCTCAGACCGGTCTTCAGTTGTGAGTTGTATAATTCAGTCCCACATAAGAGTTATGCATGATGATGACCACCTTCTCGGGCACTCCAAAGTGTCAAAGAACGCTCTACAGGCCTCTCTTATTCACACTGCCAAATGCTTTTTCACAGTCAAGGAAGTTGATGTGTAGCGCTGGGTTCCATTCAGTTTACTGCTCAACAGTGATTCAGTGTTGTAATTTGTTTGCTGTGTGATAACAGTGGTATGGTCTCTTAGTAGTATTCTTACTTACTAAAATCTCCTTGCCTTGGTAACTTATTGAAGAATACCTTGTTCTCGTTTGCCGGTACTTGTTTTTCCACCAAAGTCTTTCCCAAAGTATATCAACATATGAAATGTCATTAAAAAATGTTTATCACCGAAGAACGAATTATATAAATACTCAAAGTCCAAATACGCATGAACCCAAAGAGGGTTATAAAATTAGCGAAAATTAAATAAATCAAAGAGCGCAAGAAGATTATTGACACTGTTTACTAAATCGTTCATGGCTAGAGAAGAAATCGGGTTAGTACAAACTTAAATTCCTGGGCTGTTTTTGTGAAACCCTATTAAAAATATGGAAATAGGTGCGAAAATGATTTTTATGCACAAAGTTTACAATTTTTAATATGAAGCCCTCGGTCTTCTCTATACACAGGCGAATTAATTATATCATGACTGGAAATGGTATTTTTATCAGTTGTAAAAGTTTCTTTTAGGACAGTTATGACTGAACAGAGAAAACTATCAAGTATCCTCAGCTTAAGAATGTCAAGTTTCGTGGTGACCTGTAACTAAGAATTGTAAACTCTGATTGTTTCATCACCAGGCTAGCTATGAGATGGCATCGATTATGACTCTTGCTTTTGTGACATATAGACTGCTTTTGTCCGGTAAATTACCATTAGGACTCACTTTACTATCAGTTACACAAACCTCTCGAACATTCATTGTAACAAACAACTAAGGCTAAATGCAGGATACAAACTTTTGTCAATCTTATGGAACAGCAGTACTATTATCCAAAAAATAATTTTATTTACCCGTCTATAAGTGTACAGTTATACAATTATACTCTACCACTTGTTATTGTCGAACATTTTCGAAGTTTTTCATCTCAATCATAAATTTCAAATGTGTGTAATTGATCATCTCTTATTAATTGTCACAAGTCAAAAAATTAATAGATCTTTTATTAATGTAGTCATCGTTCTCAAACTAACACTGCTCATTTAGAGGTAAATTACTAGTTATTCCGTTACTAAATCCTCTGTCTTAAAATCAATCCTACGAATAGAATTAGTGGGACTTATTCTGTATCGATTTTAACTACAATCCATTGACTGATAGATATCTCAATGATGTTAGATTTGCATACCTATCTGTCTGTCTATCCATCTTTTCGTATCTCAAGTTTTGAAAGTGTAGATTTTTCAAGTTGAAAGAATGAAACATATATTTAATTTGATCAAAAATTCAGACACTTAAGTTAGGATATCACAACTAGATTAAACTTCACTTGTATCATCTTAATAAAAGATTTATTGTAAATATATTTAATTTATACGATTGAATCGAAAAAATCTATCATTCCTCATTTTTTTCATGAAAGGAATACCATGAAAAAACAATCAAATCATGGTTCATATATAAATATAAGTTTACTACGTAAGCGACAAAATTTATTCTTAGTATCTTTATTTTAGTCTCAGACTCCTGATGAATTTCATCTTTGGCAAAATCGTTTTCATAAGAGAATGTTATTCGATTTCCAAGATGACTTTATTCTAGACAGATATAAACTGAAAAACCAATGGAAAATCAAGAGACACTGAAACGTACTTCATCACTGTTTGAAACTTTGTTTAAGTGCATATATTCTTAATTCCACAGAGTGTTTAACCTCTCTAACAAAATAGAAATTCATTTTACGAATTAATCAAGATCTTTTAAAAGAATACATTGAAGTTCTAAGAAAGAAGTCCTGCCGGTGGCTATACGATAACGCGAATTGACTAGAACTGAAAAATTAGAACAGTTTGATTTCGATGAGTTGACTAAATGTTTTTGAAGTCAAAAACATTTTGATGTACAAAGTGAAACCAAATAAAATCACTTAGACAACAAGGGGTATATTTGTATTTACGTATACATTTAATAACCATAATATGAAATTCACTTAACTTTTTTTCAAAAAAAACCTTCAGGTCATATAAAAGTTCTATATTTGGGATTAGTTGGTAATGTGGCAAGATTTCTCTATGTCTCTTGGATCACAAATCCATGGTGGATTCTTCCATTTGAATTTATACAAGGTGATTTTACAGTTGCATATTATTGTTATTATTATTATTATTATTATTATATTATGTTAATTTTCAAAACTTGATTTTTATACAACAAGAATGTATAATGCACAGTGTAGGAATTTTGAGATGGTGGAGATTTGTAGCTCAAGTGGATGATTGTGGTAAATTGATAAATTGATTGATAAATTTATCAACCAATCAGAAAAATCATAGGTGACATAGGATCAAGAAACTGATCAAAAGGGGGATACAATCAAAACAAAGGTGCAAACAACGACAGGTTTAAGGTCAACAGCAACCAATCAAGATCGAGGTTAGCAGAACAAGCTACAGGTCAAACGTGGAGAAATTTGAATGCTTCACTTCTATCTGAAGTTTGTGCTGATGATGTTGTTCAGAAGAACAATGAAAGCTCCACAACCAAAACATCCAGCTCAGAGAACCAAACACCACCACCACAACAGTGTAGGAATAATTATCAATTTGTAAATTATCTCACAGCGATCCAAAGTAGAGAAAATATCATACTTCAACTAATGAAATGATAGAAGAGAGATTGTTCTAACACAAACAACACCTCCAACTTAATTCAGCATTGTCTTGGATATATCTACATACAGAGCTATAACTATATGCTGCGGTAAAGAGTCCTACTCGTTGGCAAATTGATGCAACAATTGATATTCACCTGACAAGTAGCTGATTCTGAGTTTGAGAATATTTTTCCGTGACTCAGTAGGTTTGTCCCTATGCTGAAAATATAAACTGAAAGAATGACAAATATGAAATAATTATTGATTAACTCAAAGATCGTAGTCAAATCATTGTATATCCTTCTGTATGATATGATTTATTTAATTTTTTTGAATACAACCGCCTTGGGATACTACAGATCAACTTTATCAGCTATTCGTAAGATTTATTCAAAGCTTTTTTCTCTTTATAAACAAGGATTAATTGCTAGCTCATAATGATTTAGGCAACTAAATGCTCAAAGGGTCCCAAGAGCTACTGCGCCATACTTTTTGCTTTCTTTTCTCTGCACTGATATCGACAGAGAAATCGGTGAAGACCGTAAAACTCTGGACAGCTGATTCATGTCTGTTCAGGTATGCTTAGTGCATACATAGCTTTACATCGATCAGAGCTTACAACCTACAGGTTCAGTATTCCTTACTTTTAATTGGTTCCGTGATTAATATCAGTATGTAACAAAATATTTCTTAATGATCGAAGGAAATTTCTGGGAGATTTGTCCTGTTTTAAAATGCTATCATTAGCTTGAATTATTATCACTGATTTATGTATGATTGTAAATTAACAATATTTTTCAATAGTTTTTAAGAATTTTTCTAACGGACACCTGATTGTTTGAAATAAACTCTATCTCTCTTTACAATGAACGAATCTTGACAATCTACTCAATTATATATATTCTGATTATTTGCAAATCAGCTAAACATATGTATTCCTTAACATAGAAATTAGTTAAAAATGTTTTCTATCAAAACGCGCCTCTTTACAGATTAGAATAAAAAGGGAAGTTTTTGAACTAATTTCACGTTTAATATTGTAATCTAGAAAACACATTTTGAAATATAACAAGAAAGAAATTAAAAATTTTTAAAATACTGAATCGTCAAACATCACTGAACACGAGGTAATTAGGCCACATCGAGTAAACGACCCAAAAATATTTTCACAATTTTTCAGGCAGATTTAATGATTAATAACGATAAACATTAAAGTGATATCGTTGAAAGATAATGATTGTTTTTTTTTTCAAATTTTTAATGATATTGTTTGTTTTTATCTTTTGAAACTTATTTTAGGTCTTACACATGCCGGTGTATGGGTAGCTTGTTGTTCATATATTATGCAAGCATTCCAATCGGAATTTCGTTCATCAACATTAGGATTTCTGCGTGCAATACACTATGGTATGGGACGTGGTTTAGGTGCCATATTCGGTGGACTTGTAATATCTAGTTATGGTAAATGATAATTTTATAAATTTTCAGTAATATTATCCACTTTATTTAATCATATTGAATTTTATTAATGTAAATGATTTAATTACAAAGCTTTCAAATTGTTTCATTCTGAAAGTTTTTATGTCACATTGGTTTTAACATTTAACCATTTTGTTAAATTGACCCTTGAACCGTGCATATAAAAAGCATCTGAGCAATAAATAAACTGATAATATTTCACCATGATTAGTGTTATTGTTTTAGTTATATTTATCGAATAGGAAAATAGTGTCAAATTTCTGTATAGATTAATAAACTAGATTTACATTGATATGTCTATTGATTGCACACAAATCGAAATGTTGTCGTATTATAAAAATTTCTGGTACTTGTATATATCCTTAATCTACCAAGCTAACATTATCAAAATCAAATTTATGTTCATATTTGAATGTGTGAAGCGATATAATGTATGAAATTTTGTATCAGTTCACTGCTAATCCAGTTTCATTCATGTATGCATAAAGTATTACTTACTTACTTACTTACGCCTGTTACTCCTAATGGGGCATAGGCCGCCCACCAGTTTTCTCTAACCAACTCTGTCCTGGGCTTGCTTTTCCAGTTCTGTCCAATGTTTGTTCATTCGTCTCATATCTTCCTCTATTTCTCGGCGTTATGTGTTTCTTGGCCTTCCTCTTTTCTTTTTGCCTTGAGGGTTCTAAATGAGGGCTTATCTTGTGACGCAGTTGAAGACTTTGCCTGGTATGGAGAGAAGAGTGATGCCTCTGTATGCATAAAGTATACTCTCATTTTATCTGATGTAGTGTTTTTCCTGTAGTTTATGGGATTTATTTTATAGATAATATTTCATTTGTTTATCTTCTCAATTGTACATTTATATTTGTAAACAATGAAATTGATTGATTTTATTGGTTGGCAAGAGAGAGGTATGTTCTAGTACTAATTTTCAGAGATTTCGAATGCATACTAATTTCAGCAAAGCTATTTTGCACATTATAGTATGATATATTCTGTGGATTTTAGAAGTGTGTTTCTGTCGGTATGTCAGTTTTTTGGATATTGTAATAATAAATTTACTATTATGGAAGATGAATAGAAAATGCGTCTTATATGAAAATATCTTTTTGCTAGTCTAAATCATAAAAATTCAAGTTATATTTACACATATCAAGTATAAACTATCAGTATAAGGAGAGTGTTGTTTTATGGTATTATAACGCACTGCACAAATCAGTAGTAAGGTTTACTTTTGCAAAACTGGGTAGTCTTTGTTCAAATCGCTGGAAGCTCGTGCGTAACTGGAGAACTACCTTCCTGATTAAATCTAAATAGCCCAGAATTCACCTCCAGGAGTTCCTGCTGGTTGTTGATAATCACCTGACATTAGATATTTATAAACTTTTCGTCGGTAAGGTATAATTCAGATCTAGGCTATTGTAAACTTCTTTTACCTCAAAAATCAAAAGTAATATACATTCTTTCGATTAGTTGGTTCTAAAAAAAATACAACTGAGTATCAAATACTTGTTCTCTGATTATTTAATATTTTTACCAGTCAGTGAGCAACCTAGTAGAAGTTTCTAACGCTAATAATAAGAGGCTTCTTTAGAAAATTAATAAAGCGCACTTAACTTAATGAGACTGATATGAGCATAGGTTTCACTACTTAAAGCAAGTACATCTTGTAGATATTTATCATAATTTAAATAACACTAATCAACACAGTTCACCTTTAAACACATTTTCTGTTAACTTACTATTTCTCCTAGGAACTCCAACAATGTTCAGAGCTTACGGAGTTGCATCAGCTTTAGTTCTTTTAGGATTTCTATCATTGAACTATTTCATGCCAATTCCAGCAGCCACTGAAGAACCGAATAAAACTGAAGAAATGTATGGACCACTTTCAGCAGATGGACGTAGTTCGAACACAGGACAATTTGGTAAGTAATTCTCTCTCACACACAGGCATACTTTAAACGACTACGTTTTCCCAAAAATCAAATTTCAAGTTAAACAAAGAAATCAAGATAAAAAGTATGATCTTGAATCATCCATCGATTTCGCCAACATTTTTATACGCTGGTAATAAATCTTAAAAGGAAAGATTTACCAATACACTAAGCTTTTGATAGTGATTTTTTCCTATGTGCAATTTTCGGAAATCTGATGCTAGAATAAATAGTTAATTAAAATGTATCCTAATAATTTCGGTCAAACTTGAAAGTTTACTGACTAAGTCACCAACCAACAGCAGTACGTGTCGTATTCAACAACCGTTAAATTGTTATTAAAAATATCTAAGAAATCCAGAAAGAATTCTATAACTATAAAGTAAGTAGCCGAAACATATATATATATATATATATATATATATATATATATATATATATGTAATGTGAAATCCTACTTTGTTCAGTTCAAAAATTTTTAACAAACCAAATAAAGAATAATTTTTTTCAGATCTTCGCACAAACGTAAACAAGCTAAATACAGTGATCATGTTGTAAACAACAGATCTATACACACCCGGTTGCAATTTAGGCAAATAAAATGTTTCACATAAAATCCCTTTACACCCGAATGAAATGAAATTTGATCTGACTTCGTTTACGTTAAACCTGTTAATTTTAAGAAAAAATTGCATTTAACCAAGTCATAATATGCCTTAAATTAATTTTTTTTTACTTATCAGGATATTTTAGACTTTTTCTGTTATCAACATTATCAATAAACTTAGTTGTCAGCATTGTTTCATACCACATAAACACTATCTGTCTTTTTTTATAGCTTAATTCTCCATTCCTTTTTTAATTAATGACACTTTTTTAAACAAACTTATTGTTAGCATGAATATTGATCAGAAAATCAATTCTATAGAACTAAATTGAACGAATAACTAGTAAAATTATAGACTACTTGTTTCACTGAACTGAATCATATTTATTAAGCTTAACTAGTAGAAAAATTTCAGGTGGTATACTCAAATTTTATCTTAAATTCAGCAACTCGTTTTATAGACAAATAAATTTGAACTCAAATCGCTTATTCGAAAAGAGCACATTCACACCGAAATCAGAATCACTCTATGATCAGACTAGTTAAATTGTAATTGATCGATAGGTTATAATAGCTTAATGTAGTCCTATATCATTCAATCAACCTTGAACTCAAGTAGAAGGTGGGCATATATATACATAACATAATCGTATAATTTATAAAACCTGTAGCCTTGTACGTTATGTATCAGTCTAATGTATATGAGTCATTTACAACTGTATTCTTATTCATCAAGTTAGTTGATCTCAAACATGCAAAATGACTATATGAATGTGATCAAATTATTGTTACTTTCAATATTTAGCTAGGTTATGATTAAAAACTATTTAGGAACTTTTTACTAGGACAACGAAGCTGTTCATAACTTACTGGTTTTCTACGGATGTTTATTTGATTTACTTCTTAAAATAATGTAGATATTATCATTCACGTAGTGATACGATCACCAGCAAATAAAGTTAACATTCAGGTTCCAGCTGGTTGGACAATGGATGACCGACAAACTGATTTCATTAAATTCCGTTTGACATCTTATTGTATTTAGCTTATGTTACCATTATGCACAGAAGCATCCCATCTTATTACCTAAAATTCAATTCTTCTAGGGTCCCTTTCAAAATAGCCCCTGTATACACTAGACATTTCAATCTAGCTAGCGGATTGAGTAAAGTAGGACTGATGTAGTCTAGTTCATAGTGTTAAATTTGAAGTTCCAAATAATTAGCCTAATGTAAACATATGACTCAGAAAAGTTAACCCATTAGTAATAAACTAGATTTATAATACATTTTCTAGTTTGCAAACACATGAAAAGTTAAATTTTATTTTACTATTGTTTAAAAATTAGGTAATGCATTTCAAACAACTGAAGTAACCCATGATTACTATCTACAGAAAGATCAAAAACCAAGTCAGTTTCAACAACAACAACAAAAATGATTTTATTCTTCATCTAGCGCTCAGTCACAATGAGGACAATCAAATATATAACGCTATCAAATGATTTTGTGATTGATAGAAAAAGAAAAGAAGTTATAATTGGTTGTGAGCGTTATTTCTAACAATCAAAAAACCATTTTTTCTCTTTTCTCTTCTTCTCATCAAAAAAAAATAAAGTAATTACTTAGTCAAAATAACTCTAAATTATTTTTTTTTCTGAAAAACATTTTCATTTTATCATCTTGACATAAAAAAAGAGCATAAAACACAGTAACAAATATTTCTACGTGATTCAAAGAAAGCGATTTTTTTTTAATCTTTCCACATCTATTTATATGAATACATCATTCACTTACAACTATAATATTAACTCTGGAAAAAACTTCTTTAGTTGACTTCTTTAATTATCTATTGTTATGGTTATTAAATTTGTGTCAAACATAACAATGGCATGCATATTCATGAATGGTTGTGAATTATTCCTATATATATATATGATTACTAGCCTTTTTATGCATTTAAACATTATGCACTCTGGGTCTTTAAAAAAGACCAAAATCTATCTCTCTGAAAGACAACATTTATTTAAAAATAGTTGATAAAAACACTTTGATGCAAGTATTTATTCCTTTCATATTCTTCATTTAAATATGCTAAATATCTATATATATATGTGTTAAAATTTTCATGACTATCAGTAATCTTTTGCTCGATTGATATGCTTATACAAAAACGAAAACAAAAACTTGAAGATGTAAACTTACTTATCGTTGAAATCAATTCATGTTTTATTGTAAACGTTTATTGCATTTGATGAAATACAAGGTAATCTTTCGAAAAGTCCGATATTTTGAACAGACAATTTTTCGTATTTTTGGACCACATTTTTATATATTTTAAACAGGTAACAATAAGTATTTTGAGTTGCTTTCGTTTCAAAAATTAGGTTGAATGCCTACAATTACAGAAGGGTTCAATGATAATTTGAATTATTACGATTTCTTTATCGCCTTTACATCAACATACGGCATTGTTTATCAACGTATTTCATAAAGGACCATGTATTTTGATTTTCGTATTCAAATATATGGGAAAAATTAAACTCAAACACTGTACAGATATAGTGTGGTGCTTCATCATGACAAACAAGCTTTAAGTATCTAATCTGGTCTCAGAAATCTGATTCGACTGATATACGTACAATTATTTCCTTTAAGCTTTTAACCAACCGTTATGCAAAATTACTTTATTAGACTTCACTTAGTACATCAAATAATCCGTACGTATGTACTGCCTATATACTCGTTACTAATATAACCAAAGATATTTAGGTGACAATTTTGGCAAGATAATTAATTCTCATACACTATGGTCTATTTCGTTTAAAATCATAGATACCAGTGGCTTTGAGATATGATATCTGTAGATCAGTAGATTCAGTATCTCATTTGTTGAATATATATCCTTTATGATGCATCTTAACTTCTAATTATATTCATTGCTTTTTGTTAACTGATTTCTGATACTACAAAATAGTTTAAAATGATCTCAGTGTGGTCTTCGTTGTATCTCACGACTGACACAATACTTAAAGTTTACTTATCAATAACTAAGCTAGCCATAACTCTTCAGGCTCTGCTTGAGTTCTATGGGCATCAGTATTCCAATCAGCATCTAAAAATATAGGAAACGCGAGAGTGAACTTCCTTGTGTAAAACCCGCCTTCGGTTGGAATTCCTCCGCCAGTTGTACTTTTCATCTCTGTCTCACGTAGGAGTTCTGTATAAGTAAGCAACCTTGCCTGACACCGGTCTTCACCTCAAACGAGTTTGTCAGCTGACCCCCGTGCACGATTTTGCAGTTTAATCCATCATAAGAGTTCCGTGTGATGTTGACTATCTTCTCAGGCACGCCGTAGTGTTGAAGAAGCCTCCATAATGTTTTCCTGTCCACGCTATCGAATGCTTTCTCGTATTCAATGAAGTTGATGTGAGTTCCATTCAGTTGATTGTTCCACAATGATCCGTAATGTAGCAATTTCGTCAGTACACTTTAGTGCAACGCTTCTACGAAGAAAATATGATTTGTGAAAAATAAACGTTATTGTACTCGTTTTGTTTGACTGTACCAAAAACACTTCTTCGACTTCTTGCGAGCAACGTTCTCTTCACGTTGCTGCCATCTTTCTCTATTTGCCGTTCCCGATGTAATGCCTACTGTCTCCTTCAATAAAAAGTTGGGATATGGATTTATTTTGCTTTTAATTATGACGGGATATTATGGAACATTTAGTGGTGAGCATAGTCAATCTGGTATCCTTACTCGCTCACCACAACACGATCGATCCTTACAAAATCCACCCTGTTGATCTCGAAGTTGGGTGTCTACGGAGTCCTTCATTCTGTTTAACAATATCCTGATTAAGTCTTTGCCTGGTATTGAAAGAAGAATGATGCCTGTGTAGTTCTCACACTTGCTGAGATCGCTTTTCTTTGGTACTTTTTTGAGATATCCTTCTTTACAGTGTGATGGTACTTGTTCCTCGTCCCAAATCTTGTTGAAGAGAATGTGAAGTATTTTTGCAGTTGCTTTCATGTCTGCATTCGTTGCCTCTGCTGGAATGTTTTCTAGTCCCGCAGCCTTACCGATCTTGATTTATCTGATGAACATGCTGATCTCTTCAATTGTTATTGGGCCATCATTGATTGAGAGGCCCATGTTTTCTGCTTCAGTGTTGTGTGGGTTCAGTGGAGCTGGTCGATTCAATAGTTCTCAGTAACTCTCTGCTCTTGTTTGGCTAGTGTTGATTGCTGCCCTCTTGTTCCTTATTCCTTGAATATTTTCAGGGATATCGACCGAGATCCGCTACTTTTGATGGTACTTCTTGTGGCCTAGAACCCCGTGACGTGTTTAATTGATTGCCTTCTTGATCCCTTTCCAATCGTTCTACAAGGTTGTTTCCTGTCCATTGATTAGATCGTGCAAGACCTGGAACCTACTACTGTTGAGTTTTACGGTATCCCAAAGAAAGGCCGTGTTATACTTCTGTGGTGTTGTCTGCCCCGTTGTCTCGTGTTTCTTGCGTTTCATTTCCATTTTGGCGACTTCTCTTGGTTTTCCCATCTTCCATCGTCCTTCTGAACTTTTTATTGATACAGATATGGTCGATTTGGTTCTGGATAGTGTGACTAGGTGAAATCCAAGTTGCTTTGTGTATGCGTTTGTATGGGAATATTGTGTCACCTATGGCCAGTTTTTTAAAGGCACATGGGTTTTCAAATCTCTCACCGTTTTCGTTCCTTTCTCCCTGTTCATGTATTCCCATAGTGTTTTCGAATGTATATCCAAATAAATAAGTTAATTAAAATATTCAGTTACATTAGGAGTCAAAGTGTGATAGAAATGAACAAGCAAATGAGTATATATAAAAAGAAATATTTGGTCGTCAGTCATATCGAATTGCGATTCTATGGATAATCAGATTGGAATGATCAACAGCCGATTTAGAATAGAGATAACACTATAAATAAACTATCGAGTAATTGTATAAGAACGAAACAAATGTAATATTGTAATAGACGAATAAAATCTGCGTTGTGTTGATAGGTGTTCGGTCAGTTCGCGATTCCCAAGTATTTAATGATTAAAATGCTGATAAAACATCAGAATCGGCAAATACTTACACTGAAGACCAAAAATGTCGTACTGAGAGGGTTCAGAATATCTATAGATCTGAGCTATAATAAATTATTGAGATGGCACTAATACAATCGACGACTCAATTCTGTCAGGCAATAAGAGTTATTATTCGCAAGGATTGGCTTGGTTATTTTTGCAGTGCGAGACCAAATATTCAGGAAGTAACTCAAACACTTTCCGTATTGTATTTATAGAACTAAATCACATAATATAGTTAGGAGTTGGTAAATAGTGGTGAGTTCCATCCAACTGATTGTCCCACAAAGATATGTAGTGTTACGATTTGGCTGACGAATGATTGATCTTTACAGAATCTGGCCTGCTGGTCTGGAAATTGGGCATCTACTGAATCTGCCATTCGGTTCAGCAACTCTGTTGAAGACTTTTCTTTGTACTGACAGCAGAGTGATGCCTTTGAAGTTCTTGTACTTACAAAGACCTGTTTTCCAGGCTGCTGATACTCGTTCTTGTTAACAAACCTCGATGGAGCATCCTTGCAGTTACAGCTATGTCTGCAATCAGTGCCTCAGCCGGAATGTTTTTTGGTCTTGTTGCTTTACCACTCTTGATCTTTCGGAGTATATTCTGATCTCTTTCACTGTTAGTAGGAGAAAACAATTAGTGGTACATGAATGATAGTATGGAGAGACTGAGGTGGTGCAAGCTTAATGCATAAATAACTTACAACATTAGTATTCTACATTTATCGATTCTACTCGGAGGACTTTAGAAACATCCCAGGGATCCGTTTTTAGTACACTCATAAAGTAATGCCGTCTCTGAGAGTATGTTAAGCCATTCATATTAAACACAGACTGAAACTGTACAGTACTTGGCTGACAGTAATTTAACAGTAAGCTGATAGGAGCATGTAGGAATAGTTTACATAAATTTTTATGCTTAGATCAGATATATTGTTAAGAACAATACTCCAAATTTCAACATCTGAAAGTTTGCTTCCTGTGAACGCTTTACTGTCAAATACCTGGAGACGTACCAAAACAGCAAGAATAAAGCGCAGCAAAATCAATCCATCTAAACTAGCTAGTGAAAATGATACTGAATTTATTGGATAATGGTATCGTCTATTGGAAGATTGTAGTCGCAAAGTTTCGAACTTGAACTTTTGGCGCAATCCGAGTCCTTTCAATATTTTTCATGAATAGTGCATCGTTACGAATGTTTAACAGACGTCTGCATGGAATTAACTATTATCAATGACCAGTTCATACCCCGGAGTAAAACTCTCATCTATTAATGGGCACCTGATTTGTGGCTTGTGTGGCGGTTATCTAATAGATGCAACTGTCCTTACGGAATGTGTGCATGTCTTTTGCAGAAGTTGCATCCTAAAATATTTACTGGAGCACAAAGTTTGTCCATTATGTCAAAGCTTGATACAAGAAACTAGACCTGGTCAGGCTCTTCGTCCTGATGTCGCTCTGCAGCGTATTGTATATAAATTAGTTCCAGGTTTACTTAAGACCGAGATGAAGAGAATATCGGAATTCAAAGAATTAAATTTAAAAGAGCCATCTTGTACAGACAAAATTTTGTGCACGAAAGAAATTTTCCCGAGAAACTGCAATACGAATAGCACTACGTGTTACAGCATTTCCGGTAAGCTAACAAATTTTGTGTGGTTCCCATTTTTGCTGCCTTTTTTTGGCATAATCTTGTTACTGCCCATTTCTAAAAATAGTAATCACTTCTCACACGTGTTGTTTGTCACGGCATATCGTCAGTCTGTTCTTTTTTTACGTCCGCATTTATTCTCTATAAACCTAATGATTTCGTTCTTGCATTTAGCACCCTTCAACCAAACTAAATATGTTGATCGCAGTAATCGCTGAAATGATTAGTTGTTCGGTAATTTTAATATTCAAGCACGATTTAAAATCCCTCACTTGTTTTCTCGAGCCTTAGATGTGTAAATTAACAGGAAATCATTCTCACTGGAGGTGTGCACACAAATCCTCTTACAGCCTTTCTCGACGTTACCTGCTAACGTGGTATGATGGCTGGGTTTGCTTATAGTGAAAACCAACAGACACTCGTTCTTCTACATCATGTCAGTTTAAATTAATTGTTTAGAGATTCATTAGACCAAGAACAACAAAATGTCTGAAAACACCTTGCTGCTGACTGTACTAGAATCTGATGACAGTCAGTGGTATCTCTTGACAACCAACATCTGCAGCGATGCAACACCAATGGAGGAGAAAGGTTAGCCCTTCATACATCTTGCGTCACTTTCTGCGGTGAAATTTCTTCGCCAATGGTAAAGCTTGAAAGGTTTGTATATAACGTCACTTCATGTGGTTGGTCTCAAGCGATTACCTGTTTGGTACTGAGGTCTTTCAGTAAAGAATATTCCACAGTGTGGGTAACTATAAATTCCCAATCCCCCACATCACCGACAGCACTGGAGACTATCTTTTCTGATCTCAATAATTCGTATAATTCGGTTCTGTTGGATGTCCCACTTTTTATTTCTAGACTGCACTACTATCAAACTGTAGTTTGAAAAATATCATAGTTACTTTTCAGTCCACTGTAGATACCAGTGAACTAGACCACTAACTGAAATCCCCAACGAAATACTAATTACGAAATAATACAGTTAATCAGTCAAAAGGGCATAATCTTATTTTACCGGCAGATAAAGGATAGATCATAACCACTTTTATAGTCCTTTAGAAAGCCAGGCAGGGTGCATTTTGAGAGTTTAGTTTGTGCTGCCATTGTAATGTGCTTCACATGAGCAAGTAACCCAATAGGTGCACGTTTGATCCAACGAGGGAACTTATCCTTCACACAACTACAAATTATGAGCCTACTAGACAGTAATACCATGTTCAAGTAAATGGTGTTTTTCTGAGACCTCAAAAGTCTCTTTCAGAATTGCTGCTTCAGAATCTCCTTCATACCGAATGTTCATAAACAGTCAGTCAGATGCAACGTAGAACTTCGTACGTAAGTACATCAGTCCATGTTGCCATACCACATTAGCACAGAGATGTAATTGTCAATTCAAATCCAATAGTAGTAAGGTATTAAAGGTATTAGAAGTAATCGGAGAGGTTAGGATTAGAAGATATTATTCAAGAAGTATGATTCAGTGAGATAAGTTTAGAAAGACAAAACTAGAGGTGTTGAAGAATCCAGAAGATTAGGATTTGAGAGAACACAGGAAATAAATGCACGGTTTTGAACCATGTCATTCAGGGTCTCTGACCATCGATTATTATCATCTCACGAACCCCAACCAGGTAGTCGACAACTACCGACATGACTCAGTCCACTTGCCAATGACTTCATGGATTTTTGCTATGTTTCGGTCTGGCCGCCCCTAACTTCTTCCAACCTATTCCTAGACTACAGAATAAAGCTCGTCGAGGCAGTTGGTGGTTAGGCATACGCAACACATGTCCCAACCAACTCAACTGATGAAGTTTCATTACTTCATCTATTGATCTACCATTCTTACCTAGCACCCGTTTCCCAATGACAGCGTTGCTCACTCGGGTGTTCCAGGATATACGAGCAATGCTTCGAAGACACTTATGATCGATAACCAGTAACCTGCGAATATCTTCTACTCTGACTGACCATGTTTCACAGGCATAAAGTAAGACGGAGCGAACTACTGCACAGTACACTCGTCCTTTAGTCAGCAAACGGATATCTCGCCTGCGCCATAGGTGACGCAGGTTGGCAAAAGTTAATCGAGCCTTCTGTATCCGAGCTGAGATTTCGTCAGTCACCAGGCCATCAGCACTAATGAGACTCCCAAGATAAGTGAAGTGGTCTACACGTTCGACTACTTCACTCACTCCCTATCACTAGTTCAGGTGCCGATGAAACCCAATCTTGAAGCAACATTTTACATCTCGAGGTGGAAAACCGCATTCCGAACATGCTTGCATTGTTGCTTAGGGTGGTTAGAAGACTCTGCATTTTGTCAGCGTCTTCACCAAGTACGACTATGTCATCGGCATATTCTAAGTCAATAAGCGAGCCACCTGGTAGGTCTACTCCTGAAAATTCAGACGAGGATAAGGTTACTTCTAGGAGCATGTCTATGATAAAATTAAACAATAATGGAGAAAGTGGACATCCCAGACGGATACCACTTAAAGTAAAGAATTCCGATGACAGTTCTCCATAAGCTCTCACTCGACCAGTGGTGTCCGAGTAGAGAGCTTGCATGAGGTTAATGTACTTATTTGGTACACCTTTCAATGGCAGACACTGCCACAGAACATCACGATCCACTGAGTCAAATGCCTCCCTAAGGTCCAGGAAGGTAACTATTGTCGGACGCCTAAATGTGTGTCTGTGTTCCAGGACCTGTCTGAATGTGAAAATGTGGTCTATACAACCACGTCCAGGTCAAAAACCAGACTGGTTTTCTCTAGTCTGCTCTTCACGAGCTTTCGTTAAGCGTCGAAGTATTATTGAGGCCAAAATTTTAGATACTATATTAGTTAGACTTATTCCCCTGTGATTGTCACATGAAGACTTGTGTCCTTTCTTATAGATTGGGACAATTAGTGATTGAGACCACTCGGATGGGATTGTGTCCAGTTCCCATATTCTACCTAAGATCTCAGTCAATCTAACTGCTAAAACTGGACCACCATCCTTAAATATCTCAGGGGTCAGTCTATCAGGACCTGCAGCTCGCCCTCGCTACAGATTTCCTAACGCCTTCTCAACTTCGTAAAGCCTAGGGGGACTTACGTCGACTTGCCATTCAGGATGACTGGAGATCGTGGGTAACCGAAGAGTGGCTCGAGGCCAGTTGAACTGATCCCTAAAGTGTTCTGCTCATCGATCCAGTCTCCTGGATTGAGAATGGATAATAAGACCATCCTTTTCCGAAATAATCTTACTCACATTTGGGTTCTTAATACCAGTTTCCTTGATGAGTGTAAATAGTTGTCTACTGTTGCCGATCGCCACTGCTTTTTCCATCTCTCTCACTTTCTACACCCACCACTGTTCTCGATCATTGCGTAGGCTTTTTATCAGCCATCGTCGAAGCTGACTTCGCTCCTCATCGCACTCAGAGCCAGGTGGGATAAGTCTCCAAGCATCCATCAGTTTGGTAGATGCTACTGAGATCCACGGCTTAATTCTAGCCTTATGGTTTACCTAACTAGCAAATATCACTGTTGTTTCCGCAGCCTTTATGATATCATTCCAACCTGCTTCCGGATGGGAATCGCTTACATGGTTGCTTAGCTCATTCTAGTTGCTCCTGAAATTTATTCTTAGCTTGATCATCATTAAGTAAAAACCCGACCGTAACTGCTATCTTGGCGTGGTGGTCGGGCTTGCCTATCGTGATGACCCAACCGAGCTATACTGGCTGGGACATATGTTCCTGAAGGTTCTACCATTCCAGGCAGGTCGATTGTAGAACTATGAGACTAAAAACAGCTACTCAAGGTCTGAGGGTGAAGTCGTACTGCTGACTGCAGAGGGGTGTGACAGCAGTAAGGTGTTTCCCTCGGACAACCAGCATCTGCAGCGATGCTGCCTTCTTACAAGGAAGGAAGGGTTAGAAAAGGTCGGCCCTAAAAATGTCACACCTCCCCTACCTCACGGATTCCCGTCTCCTTGGGTAAGGGTGCCCACTAAGGGCCTTTAAGAGCGGAGCTAATCCTCAATAAACCTTTCATAACAAGGCCGTGCGTGACCGGCCTCAAGCAGTTGTTCGTTGGGCTCTGCGGTCACGCACCCAGGTCTCTAAGACCAACACTAATCTATTTTCCTTTTCAGGTTCCTCAAGAAACAACCTTCCACGGTGTGGGCATTCGAGAAGTGACAACCGCCCTCATACCCGTAACAGCACACGAGACCAAATCGGTCAAAATCAAATCCTTCCTACAGCCCCTATTATCTCTCTTATCTCCACGACTACCTCTACTCACATTCATTTATCTCCCTGCACGTCTGCTGCAAACGATTCGAGTCCTCGAAACGTTATTCCTGGTCTCTTGAAGTCCCGTTCTAGACTACATGTTGGAGCTTTTAATGTACGGACATTGTGTCAAATAGGGCAACAGGCTTCCTTCCTAGAACTATCTCTCCTAGACTGGATCCCTGTAGATAGTCACTTATGTGCCGTCCGACTAAACGGGACAGTAAGGATTCGAAAGGATAGGGACAGTCTTCGTTGCCTCTTCGTCGTATCTGCCCACGCCCCCACTGACTGCAGTTCAGAGGAGGTTAAAGATGAGTTTTACAAAAAGCTTTCGGGCCTCCTCCAAAAAGCTAGGCGCTCTGATATAGTAATAATGCCTGGTGACTTTAATGCTCAAGTGAAAAGATGTTTTTCTTTATGCCTAAAGTTAATGTTTGCTAGAAATAGTTGGTTATCTGAGCATACTTGCAACAGACGGTCACCATTGTCTGTTCTCTGAGCCGCGACACCATAACATCCATCTGGGTGTCTTTCATTTTCACTCAGTCTACTTACTTAAGCATTAAAGTCACCAGGGATTATTACTATATCAGAGCGCCTAGCTTTTTGGAGGAGGTCCGAAAGCTTTTTGTAAAACTCATCTTTAACCTCCTCTGAACTTCAGTCAGAGTGAATTTTGAATTGACACAGTTGTATTCGATCTTTCTCTGAATAATAATTGTGTCTTTGTTCTGTTACTAAATACCCTTTTCTCATATTTTATTACCACTCTACTTTTTGAATTAAGTCTATATAATGCAGTATTTTTTGTCCCGAATCATTCCTTTTTTTTATCGCAAACTAGATAAGAATTTAGTAATTGTAGTTTCAAATAAATTTCTTTCTACAGATCTTTGTTCCTCACCCTTACCAACTGCTCTTGCTACTCGATCGCTTTCTAAAAGTCCATGTGGACTTGTTTCCTCAACTCATGCAACCCAAATGTTTGTTTCCAACCGTCTACCAACTTCCGCTGCTTTTCTGGTGGCAGATGATGAATTTGTGAGCTTGGCCTTGATACATTTGACAAGTTTGCCTTCTTATTCAAAAATATCCGAATCTGTAAGTTGCAAACGTCACGACAATCTTAAATTAACTTCAAAAAGTGAATCTAGTCATTCCCAACCCCCCTCACCACTCTCTCATGGACAGTATTCTAACTCGATTTATCTTTTATGTCCAGCTGTGGTTACGGTTGCTAACCTCCATCATTTATTACTATCCAAATATCAACTTGATCCTGCTAGACAAATTGTAGATTTATATCTTGATGGGGAATGTTTAGAACCATCTCATAGTCTTCGGGAAGTAGCATTTCTATATTCATTTCCCACGCGAAGTCAATGTATGTATTTACAATTCGTCTTTACAGAAGCGTGTTCTGCCTGGTGGGGAACGCCGATGCCACATCTTGAGCGACTACAGCCAAAACGTTCTAATACTTCTTTCAAAGATCACTACACCGACTCAAATTCTATAAATATTTGCCTATCTAGCCTCAATCATGCCACTAAATTGTGCCAAACTTCAAGTAAACACAGCAAAAGAGCGTCGTTTTAATACTGCATTTATAGTTCCAGTGCATGATTTAACATATTTGTACATCTAAGGATCTTTGTATAAATTTTTGATTTAATTATTGTTTTGTGTATATATGTTGTGACCAGTACCCATTTATTCAGGAAATTTATTGTTTTATTTACTTACGAAGCTTTTATTCAAACTATATATTTTATCATGTAAAATCTATATGCATTAAAAACTAATCCTTTCTGATTCCCCATATACATTTATACACGTATTTCACTTAATCATACCTCAGTGTATATATATGTATATATATGCATGAAACGAATGATTGGACTACTTGCACTGACTTAATTGTTTCCATTGATCATGTTGCGTACTAAAACACCACTGCTCCCTTTGTCTTTCATTTTTTGAGATATAATGATTTTGTTAGTGGACTAAAGCACTAATCGTCAGTAGCACAAATGTATATGTATGATTTTACTTCCCTTTTTCTCCCAGAAGTACATCTTAGCTTCTCTAGTTGAGAGAGTTACTTATATATTTCTGTATAAATTGGATCCTAAGAAATATATTTTTTATTAAAAGATTATTTGTCTTTTCTCTTTCCTGTATGGAATGATTGTATTGAAAAATAAAATATTTCTCGACTAAGTGTTAAATTATTGGTGGCGTAATTTGGTGTTACCTTGTAATGTAAGTAGTCAATTCCTAATTACTGAATCACACGTTCAAACATCTAAACGTACTTCTACCCATGGGGGCTGGGTGGTCCTATAAACCTTTACTTATGCTAAATTACCTCTCATTTTCCAGGAATTTCAGGGATTTTCTCGTTCTTATTTATTTGTTTTTTTTGTTTTCATTTTCGGGAGTTGGTTTAAGCACTAGAAACTGGCTAAGTCACAAGTCACGTTAAAATTATTAGTTATACATGTTGAATCGAATTCGTTCATGCAAACGTGTTTTCAAATTGACGGTGATAAGTAAGTCAAGGTCTTGTTCAAATCTCTTCAGAGTAACTGCTCAAGAAAAAATGCACATGTATCTTTTTCCTTCTCACCTGGTTATAATAGGAGTCTCATAGTTTGTATAAGACTTTTGTGTCCCTCTACGAGGATCGTAGTATTCTATGATAAATAATAAAAACCATCGTAAACACTTCTAAGCTTAAGTGAAAAAGATCAAATTGCACATAATACCCGAATTCGCTTTGATCAGACTAATATTTTGTTTGATTTTGAATGCGAAGTTATGATTATTCTATTTCTTTTGCCTTATAACCTGCTACCTTCACGTGGTGGTCCAGCTTGCTTACCCTAATGAGTGAATGGATTTGCATTGCCTGGAACACTTGTTCTTTTAAGTCCTATCGTACCAGGTTGGTGGATTGGAGAACGGTAGGACTAAAAGTAGGAGCTTGAGATGCGAGAATGAATCACTGCTTACTCTAGAGGTATGTGACAGCAATTAGGGCTTTCCCTTAGACAACAAGCATCCCTACCGATGCTGCCTTTTCGAAAGGGGATTTAAAAAAACGTCGGCTCTAAGAGTATCACTCCTAATCTCACCCCATAGATTTGCGTTCCCTGCGTTAAGGTCTTTTGAAGTAAGGAGCTGATATGTTAAGAACACACAGAAAGACCAGATTTAGCCAACCCCAAGCAGTTAACTCTGCTGTCACGTTCGTAGGCCACTAACTTGACTTCCTATTCAGGTCTTTCAGCGAATATCCTTTCACGGTATGAGCAGCAAGGAGCTGACAACTCTCTTTACACTTGTAATATCACATACGATATTCCTGTTAACTACCAAATCTTCAACCCCCGCATCTAACTCTTGTATATCTTTACCACCACGCTCCATCAATACTAATAATTCGAGTCCAAGATATTTTATTCCTAGTCTCCCAAAACTGACCTCTAAACCACATGTTGGAGTTTTCAATGTTCAAGCCCTGTCAGATCAGATAACAGACTCGGATTTCGCGCTGTCGATGTATGCTGTGTCTTCGAAACACGCATACATACCGGCGCAGTTTACCTTACTTATACCTGAAGAGCCCACTGCTACTTCTTGTGCTGTTGTAGATATAGCACTAAGCTCGAAAGCTGAGTAGGCTCTCCTGAACTGGATCCTTTTAGACATTCACATTTGCGCTGACTGACTAAACAGGGCAATAAGAGCTCGGAGAGAAAGGGACGCGGCATTGTCTTTGTCTGCGCTCCCACTGACTCCAGCTCAAGTGTAATAATACTGGTAGATGCTTTCAATGCCTAAGTAGGTAGACTTAATCAAATCAAAATGTACTTGGGTGGGTCTTGCGGTATTACAGATCAGCCAACAAATAATGGCGATCGTCTGCTGCCAAACCATTCATTTATAGCAAGCACCAATTTAAGCAAAGACGTCGTTTGACATAGCGACCCATACAATCGAATCGATGATGAATTCATTACCGCACAACCTGCCATCAGTCATTGGTAAAGAGGGTTAATGAAAGACTGCTTATTTTGAAATACATGTTTAGACTTTGATCACTCTTTAGTTTAAGCAAGTATTTGTCTGCTTGTTACTAGACATTGAGAATTGACTGTAAGAAAACCATTTAGAGTTCAAATTAACGATGAAAAACCTAGAATACATTGCATAAGCAACTATGAAACTAGTTATTCAATGATAAAAGTGATATCCTTTCCGAAGTAGCGTAGCATGATATCCAAACTGTAGTGATATCTACTACTAACTTGAACCAAAATGTTTGGATAAATCAGTGGATTTCAGCGGTATCTACTGAACTGGTAGATGTTTACCTCAGAACAGTTTAAATGATCTTCAAAACACTCCACCTACCATCTCCAAGAAATCTGAATAATAAATTGATAAATGTTCTCCAAATCCTAGTAAAGCGAAAAAGCAATAGGCAATTTCAAGCAAGTGAAGGCCTGGTAGATCAATATCTCCGGAAGTCTATAAGGATGGTGACCCATTTTTAACAGTTAGTCAGTGAGATGCAGCGTAGAACCTCCGTACGTAAGTTCATCAGTTCATGTTGCCATACCACATCAGCACAGAGAAGTAATCATCAATTCAAATCCAATAGTAGAAGAGGTAGTAAGGGAATTAGAAGTAATCGGAGAGGTTAGGATTAGAAGATACTATTCAAGAAGTATGATTCAGTGAGAAAAGTTTAGAGAGTCGAAACTAGAGGGGTTGAAGAATCCAGAAGATTAGGATTTGAGAGAACACTGTTAGGTCGACCGAGATCTTAGCGTGGATGTAATCTTATCACTTTTCGCCTCAGTCTATAAGAAAGGACAAAATCAGTGATAGGGGGATCATTTTAACCAATATAATATCTAAAACATCGATATCATCGATACTTCAACGTGTAACTAGAGCTGATGAAGAGTAAACTAGAGAAAACCAGTCTGATTTCAGATCTGGACTTCGGTACGTTCTAGAACATACGCATACCCTCCGACGTCCAAAAATAGTTGTATTCCGTGATCGTGAAGTGGCGTTGGATTCTGTTAATATTGAGGTTTTGTGACGGTGTCTTTCGTTGAAAGGCATACCAAAGAGGTACATTAACCTTGTACTGGCTCTCTACTCGAACACTACTGCTCATGCCTGAGCTTGTTTCGAACTATCATCGGAGTTGATTACTTCAAATTGTTTGCCATGTTTGTCCAATATCCTCAATGTAATTTAACTTTGTCATAGACATGCTTTTGGAGTCAATGTGTCGTTTGACTTCTCAAGAGTTGATCTATTAAGAGATTCACTTGTTTACTTGGAATATGCAAATGTCATTGCATTGTTTGGTGAAGATTGACAAATGCAGAGTCTTCTGACCACCCTAAGCAACAATGTAAGCATGTTAGGGATGCGATCCTCTCCGTCGAAATGCAAAGTGTTGCTTCAGGATTGGCTTGCGATATCACCTGAACTAGTGATAGGAAGTGAAGTAGTTGAGCGTGTTGACCGCTTTACTTATCTTGGGAGTCTCATCAATGCCGATGACCTAGTGTGTGAAGAAATCTCAGCACGAATACAGAAGGATCAACTGACTTTTGCCAACTTGCGTCACTTATGGCGTAGGCGAGTTATCCATCTGCCAACCAATGGACGGGTTCACTGCGCATCCGTTCGCTCAGTCCTACTTAATGGGTGAGAAATATGGCCGGTGAGAGTAGAGGATATTCGTAGGCTATTAGTATTCGACCATTTGTGTCTTCGGCGCATTGCTCGTTTATTCTGGGACAGTCGAGTAAGCAATGCTGTTGTTAGGAAACAGGTACTAGGTAAAGATGGCAAATCAATTGATGTAGTGAATCCTCTCCAGTCGCAGTGGTTGAGACATGTGTTACGAATGCCCAACCACCGACTGCCCCAACGAGCAATGTTTTGTGGTGTAGGGGAAGGCTGGAAGGAGGCCAGACCAAAAACATGGCAGAATTGCATGAAGTCACTGACAAGTGGACTGAGCCATGTTGATCGGTGTAGACTGCCTGAATGGGGTCCACAAGACAATCGTAACTGGTGGTTAGAGACCGTGAATAATATGGCTCAGAATTGTTTGCAATGGCGCAGGTGCACCCACTCTTTGTTTTCTCTCAAATTCTAATCTTCCGAATTCCTCTTCCTCTTTATCTTACCTTTTTTAAGTTTATTTCACAGGATTATACTTTTCGAATAATATTTTCGAACCCTAATCTTCTCTATTACCGCTAATAATGTACCACTATGGGATTTGAATTTACAATGGCATCTCTGTGCTAATGTGGTATGGCAACTTAAACTGACGTATGTACGTACGAAGTTCTGCATTGTAGCTGACTGACTGAAGTGAAAAAACTCAATTCACCTATTTAATATTCAGTTATTTTTGTGCTGTTTATGTATGATACGACCGTCGTTATCTTAAATATTCTTATCTTATCTTATCTTAAATATTTAAGCCATCTAGATAGTTTGTGGATGGTTATCGAACCTAGAGATAGCTTTCATCACAAACTAATATCAGACGAAATACCATTAAAAACCTGAGCTAATTTCCAGTCTTCTGTAAAGACACACACCAATATACTACACCTGCCCTGCTGTGGTGCGTATGTTTATGCGTCAAGTACTCAAACTAAAAAAGCTAGAAAATCTGTTTCATTTTGACCGCCATACAGACTTCTTATCAGTGATTGACCCAAACATTTTAATTGTAAAATAAATGTCTGAAATGTTTTTTTTTGCATGATTTTCATAACAACTCCTTTAGTGTTTATTCGGTGTCTGCTTAAATATAATGTTTACTATAACTGTTTAAGATGCGTTATATGAAGGGGAGTATTGAAGACATAAGGATTTCCGGGATTATTTTACAGTAATTGGATTGGAGTAATTGGAATAATTGGATTCTTGCATTTATATGTTCCCAGTATTGTAAGCTTCCATGGGACCTATTACACGATCTATTACTCCTTAATTGATAAAACTATACTTTACAGGCGAGTTAATCACATTTGAGATGGCAAGTCTTGGAATTTTGGCGCGAAATTTACCCATCTATATGGTTAACAAATATTTTGGCTTGATAGCTGATATCAGTTCGTGATGAAAATCCCCAGCTCTAAGGCTTAACACCCTACATCAAGCTTTGAATCTTATTCCTATTTCCTCACACTGACTTATATCATTTATTTAGACCTAATATGTAGGTCATTATTCTTATGGCCGTAAATTATAGTCTCACCCTTTAGTTATGTAAAACAATTAGTCCCTTTGATCATTTTGGATAGTGCGATGAGAGGAGGATGGTTATCAAAATTATGTGAAATATCTGCTCAACACATTTCGTATAATCTGGTTGCATATATACTTGCTAAAACGTTTTGTATAAAAAATACAAAAAGTTAACTAGACAAATTAGGTCAAGAAAACAAAAGTAATAATAATACTAGTAATAATAAAGCATACTATGTGAAAACTACTCTGGATGATAAATCAGTATTACCATGGTTATGTTAAGGGCAAGAACAAGCTTTTTGAACATATTATGGTGGCCAATGTATCACTAGTTTCGTGACGCTCTGTATCCAACATGTTCTTAGACTTCGTAATTTGCGCGTTCAGACAATCGTTACTAAATAGCGCCTGATGGTATAAATCGGAAGGCGAATACGAAGTGTTGTATATGTCTATTTTGGTACACCACAAATAAACCAGTAGACCACAAGCACGCTAGCGAGTGAATTGGCGAATGAACTAATCAGATTAAAATGTTCATAGTTATACATAGTAAAATGTCTGAGTCATCGAAATATTTAAGAGATTAACATTAGAGCAAATAGGATGAATATGTGCCTAGTTGGTAGGTGATGTTCAATCGTATCAGCTTATACAAACCAGACAATAATGAAAGCCAATGGTACAAAAAGGTTATTGCGATACAAATGGCTTGGTTAAGTAAGTTAGTCGAAAGGCTTAGCCAAATTAAATAGAACGAACTCAAATGTATGTGGAGGCACTACAACTTCGATTTTCGCATACCTAAGCCTCTAATAAACCTAAGCATACACCTTTTAATATTTGTATAACACTACAAAATCTGACTTGATATCAATCTTATGAGCGGCGTCAACCGAATTTTTCTCAGCAGAGGACATTAGTTGTCTATCATGTGATCTTATTTGACCGTTGGAATTCGTCTGTTTTTGTAACCATTCAGGTTTGCCCTGCCACTCGAACTTGTAGACCACATTTACTCCTCCCGATGTATGTATGTATGTATGTCCGCGCATATATGCTGCGGAATGTTTGAGTTTTTGGTGAAACGTAGGCCTTAACTTCTCGACGATGATGATTTGGGTTTCGTTAAAGGTCTCATTGATAGTTAATTTAAATCTTTGTTTCAGCATAAGACTATTTGAGTCACCTTTGAATGGTAGGGTAGTATAGACTCTTTTTTGGGTGCTACCGTTCCAACGGTTTATAAACTTGAATGGATAACCGTTATTCATCAACGCTTCAGTTAAGAGCTTTCTGTCTCAATAGTATCACTAGTACAAATACGATTAGTCCAATTGAATAAGCTCTTTATTAATCCATGTTTTTTATTGGACCAGACAGTGACTGAAAACTAATATATGACTATGATGTCATCCATATACTTCTTATACAGACACTTCTTTTGAATTGAGTTTTCAAATAGATCTTCCATCCGTGCTCTAAACACATCACCCAGCACAGATCCTAAAGGATTGTCCATTGCTACATCAACAATCTGTCAAAAATGCTCCCCCCTCAAAGTGAATTTCACATTCTAGTACATAATCATCATAAATCTTCCGGATTTATTACTGAAAATGTCAATGGAAGTTTATGTATTGAGAGATAGTCACACAAAATATCAATAGTCTTTCTTAACGATCCATTCGTAAAAAAATATTTGCATTAAAAGAATACACTCAGTTTTTATATTTATATGTGTTAAGTAATTAATACAAACGAATATTTTGAAAAATACTGGTTTCGAATAGGGTTTAACACTAGTTTGTGAGATTATATGCAGACGGCCGACTCTCTAAGAATTTTAGTCATAATATGACAAACTAGATAGTTATGTTAATACATTTAATGCTTCAGTATACAGTTTAGTTATTTTGGCAATTATCCATTTAAGAGTTTGTCAATCAAATAAGTACGTACAATGCTAACACCGATTCATTTATCTAACGTGGTTTTTACATAGTGTACTTTCTCATCATTATTATTTTTGTCTCTCTAAACTGCTAATTTGTCTAGTTGATGTTTTATAGCTTTCATATATATAATGTCTTAACGTGATCAGATTGTTTAAAATGTTCAAGATGTTTTTATGTTAATCATCTGGATATTTAGATATTGACTTGTGTCATGATTATGATCATATCCTTGTAATAATAACTACATCAAAGTTTATCAAGCAGTGTCTTTGGAAATATCACTTTTTGTCCCGCTGTTTTTAGCTTTCGACTTTTCTATATGATAGTTTACGTGCCTTTGCCTTTTATTGCAATAATGTTGTAGGGTGCAAAGCCCTGTTAGTATATACACATCAATTCAATATCCGCATTGTATTTTCTTTAATGAGTGTATTTATTTCCGTAACCCAAATGATTTAGTGCATGATTAGGATCATTAGTGTTGAATGTTCAATATTGATTGTATTTGTTTGTCTTAAACATTTGTTCTGCCTCACTACTCCACACTGTACATTTTTCCAACATGCTACAGAATTATTCATAATGTCACACGTTCATGCACTTTATTTCAATCTCGTTTTTGAATTTCAGTTGTCCTTCATATATACCTTTCCATTTTACTATACATTTTTAAAACTTTTTTTTTCATGTAGATAATGCTCAATGAAACTGTTTCCTGTATTAAAAATCATATGCTTGATTTCGATATCTGTGATTGTTGTATCATTCGGTTAACTAATGGTCGTTGTCAACAAACTGATTTACTTAATGTCTTTCATTCACAAGTATATCCTGATGTATATATATGTAAACTTTGTTTTGGCCTGTTGCACAATCCCTATTTATGTGATATTCCACAAATTCCAAATGAATTAGAAAATAAAATGATATTTACCAATGAACAGTTTGAAAAATATGTTCTACTCTATTTATATAAAGAGATCATTGAATCCCATTATCAGTATACAGCATATCAACTTCGGGTAAGTTTTTAACTGATGTATTTTATTTCTGTGTTTAAACACATTGATATTTATATGAAGCAGCACCAGAATATATTTTTACTTCTCAATAAAAATGAAATTGTGAAAAGATGGAGAAAAGCAGGTGAGTATAATAGAAAAGGAATAAAACCAAATAGGAATTAGTATATAACAAATTGGGAAATAATATTAATAATAATGATATTCTTCGATAGAGAAGATTCTTCAAAAATTTGGGTTGAATAACTGATATCTTTCGTGAGTGGTTATATCATCAACATACTGTCCAGCTCGTTTGATAACATGTTGTTGTTGAACAACAAAATGAAATTTGTTCAAATGCCTTACCGCATCAACACATTGTCAAGCTACTCATTTATTTCCACAATATACTCTCTGTAGAAGACATGGCTCAAAATCGTTTGCAATGGCACAGGTGCATCCACTCTTTGTGTTCTTTTTAATTCTAACCTTCTGAATTCCTCATAATCTCTATCTTTCTCCTTCTAAATTTATCTCACTGAATTATACTTTTCGAATCATATCTTCGCTCCTTAATCTTCTCCATTGCTGCTAATACTTTTAATATCGCTACTACTGTTGGATTTGAACTGACAATTGTGTCTCTGTGTTGAGGTGGTATGGCAACCTGAACTGATGTACTTATGTACGAGGTTCTGCGTTGTATCTGTCTGTCTGTCTATAGACTTAAAATTGGATTTTTTTTCAAGAGCACTTATGTGACTGTAGTACGTGTCCCCTAAAGTGCTTAAAATTTCACTATTCAGTTAACAGTAGTACAATATTTCAGTGAAGGTAGCGTCGTCAATAAATAATTTTTTTCACTGAAGATGTCAACCTTGTTATTGAGTTATTGTGCCTGTACATTTGCGTATTCGCGGATTTTTTAGTGCTTAATTGTATTTATTAATTTAACCACTCTTATGGAGCTGGTTATATCTGACATACAACCAAATCGTTTGCAATGGCGCAGGTGCATTCACTCTTTGTGTTCTCTCAAATTCTAATCTTCTGAATTCCTCATCATCTCTATATATATTTTGGGATTGAGTAATATCTTCGAACCCTAACCTTCTCCATTACCGCGAATACTTTTACTACATTTACCACTATGGGATTTAAATTTACAGTTTCGTCTCTGTGTTAATGTGGCATGGCAGCCTGAACTTATGTACGTACGTACGAAATTCTACGTTGTAAATGACTGACTGACGCTGATATAGAAAAACACAACTATTGTTGGCCACCAATAAGTATAAAGGTGTTTTATTATTTAGCAGACAGTAAAAATATGATCAATACATTCTCAACCAGAACGAAAACTAACCTGCTACGTGCTAGTCAATCTTTCCCGGGTTTCGAGCATTTAATGACGTAAGCTAATACTTTGGACGCAACTGAAAGTAAACTTATCCACCGGTAATTGTATCATAGGCGATTATTTTCTTACTCTATGTTGAAACACTTTCTGATCGCTAAATGTTTGCAAATAACTCAGTCGATTTCATAATTAAAAGAGAGCTACCATCAAATTGAGTTGAAATTCTCTCAAAGAATCTATATTTGTTTGTAGAATATGGACTTAAAACTACGTATTTTTCAATTATTTTGACTAAGTAATTTGGTGTACTCAATATATGAAATATTTCAATGGCACTTTCATGATATGTAGTTAGATTTCAATACAAGCTGTGATACCAGCAGCACTGAACAGATTTTCAATCTTAATTCAGGACTAACCAGGAGTCGTAATTTACCACGACCTCATACAGAATTTGCACACACCGTTTCTTATCATCACTAATAATCTTCGTGCACAAATCGATAACAAAGTGCTATTCGGTAAATGATCCCCTCATTATTGTTAATACTGCTATTAATATAATTACAGTTAGCTGAATTTCGTTGCTCTATTTAAACGCTCCTGTTTCTTTTTTTTGATTATATAGGTCACTGAACCAATCAATATAATGCTACGTGAACAATTTTTATGGGATGAATTAATTTCCATGTCGTTAACTCATGTAGATACTACTTTGAATAGTAGTACTGATGAGAAATTGAATAATCTACCGGTTACATTTACTAAAAATGATATCAATACATTAAGATCATATGCTATTCCAGTAAAAACTGCATGGAAATGGATTGTGGAAGAGAAATTATCAACATTACTCAAAGTGAGTTTATCATATGATGTATTTTTATATGATCTCGAAGATGTTTCGTCTGTTAAGCTTCCAGCTTAATCGATCATGAAGCTGTCCCTATTCTTTCTTGTACCAGACAATTTTGGAAAAATTATAATTACTCACTACTTATTGAAGTTTGTGCTGTTGATATTACTAACGTGTGTCAACTAGCATGAAACGTAGGTTCTGAGGGTTTTCTGCTTATTACCTCCAAACTATTTAACATCTAAACATGTGTATTTCGAACTAGTCCGGTCACTTGATACCACCATGTCTACATTTTATCTCGTACAGCTTACCATGCTGCTTCTAATACTGTTGTACTATGTAATAAATACTCAAAAGTTATTACCTTGTAGTATAATACTTTTAATATAGCATACTCTTGTCTTTATATCAAATATAGGCTCCATTAATTTATTCTTTACGTGATGATTCTGAATTGAAACTAATTAAAGACAACGAGTTAAATATTAACAATTCAAATTGTGATCAAGAATCAAATATTATTTGTATAAATGTTGAATTTTCGAATTCCTCGATACAATCAGATTATGATGTATTTCTGAGTTATCTAGGACATTCTTCGCTAGATTCTATTCGTTCTTGGCTTGTTCGTTTAAAAAGTGTTAAAATACCGCGTAAGCGTTCAAGATTTCATTTTGGAAAAGAATTAAAAATGAATTCCAAGCAAGCATTAATAGAAAATGAACAAGTCCCAAAAGAATTGACAAACGAAATAGTCTCTTCTAAAACGCTCAGTTATAACGAAAATCCAGCAATTTTCAATCCTTCATCTGTGATCAATATTGGTTACACTTTGCCTAAATCGTTTCATTTTTCTCGAGGATTTTTAACAGAACTTATTCCTTTGTTAGAGGAAACTTGCTTACAATCAAATTATTTAAAGAAGTAAGTATCGCTTTGTTAATTTTTAACAGTCTCATTACCTATTTTTCAGATTCTTTTGATAAGGTTTGTTAAAACTTACCTAAATTATCACTAAGAATCTACGAATATATGCTCTTCGCATTACTTAATCGTATCTGGTAGATTTATTAAAACTCAAAATTGCTCATTTTTGGTTTTTGACTTACCTTAGATTCTGATTTCTAGAACAGTTTTACTTTTTTCCTCCATTAATCTCTTCTCAAGTAACATTCTCATTGTAGTCTACTATCCCTGATACTACTACTACTGTGGTGTACGCTACTTATGTTCACATAAGTAGTATATGATATCAAACGGAAATCAAAAGTCTGACAGCAAACGGTTGAGAAGGAAAGAATGAGAACAGAACGCGATTTCTAGGTAACGTAAATTGAACTGAAGTCTGAACAGTCTAAATGAAAGAACACTGAAATCTGAAACAAATAAGGATTAGTTTGCAAATGATGATTTCACGAGAAGGTTTTGTACATATGCTTAACAAATCTGTAATATTCGCTTAAATATAGGTGTTGATGTCCTCACCTGAGTTTTCGTACACAACACTACTACTACTCTGATGTTTATCTTGATAATTTCATCTCACTGTACCTATATGATGTAGAAACCTAGGTGAATGCATGTCTTCCACATTATAGGTTGGTTATTACCAGCTGTTTGGAAGGTTTATTAAATCTACCGAAAAAAATTAATGATTTCGTTTAAACATGTTCAAATTTTCACTAGAAATATGTTGATAAGTGAACATATTAAAACATAAATAAACCCAAATAACGAAGGCTAATAGAGTAATTTGGATGGAAGACACAAGTTTAAAATTATATGAAATAAATTTTATGAATAATGTATCAAAATATTAGCTTTCACTCCAAACTTCTTTGATATTTGTTTACTATTGGTCTGAATCCAAAATTTTGTTTCCAGTTTATTGGATTAGAAAAGTAGTTGGTCAGTTAAATGATCTCACTGTTACTGTTAAATAAGCCTAGTTTCATTTATGTTACATAAATATAAGATTACCTCTACTCTCAGTCTAGTAGTTTAAACTGATTTTTATTTCGTTATTAAAAAAGAACACAGGTGATTCGGTTGTAACAATAATTCAGACAGAATACAATTTTTGTTACAGGCAAAATATTTCAAGAAATGGCGAAACAAGTGTTTGTTATTCAGTTTGAATTGCAGTAATCGAAATAAAGATGTAATATTTATTTTTTCGGTTAAAGGTGACTAACGGTGAGTCAACTCACTGATAAAATTATTAGAACAGGTCCACTGGTTTGTTTTTCAACCAATGAGCTCTTTTCAGTATATATTATACGTTCTGTATGTAATTCTCTTATAAATACTTGTTTTTTTGGTGCTTTTCCCAACTGTTAACCTGTCCCATTGATCTATGTTTTCGATTTCTGTACTGTATTGTCTTTCTGTTATTAGTACTCAAAGATTATCCCTCCTTTAAACATTGAACTACTAACTGTCCGATCTCCTCCACAAATTTACAACCTATTAGTTAATTTGAAAAGAAATCACACACAGTATATGTATTTCATCGAAAATTCCTTTAAATTGGTTTTTTTTCTTCTAAAATTCATAGACTTTCCGCAAACAATTATTCATGTGCATTCATAACATCATTAAAACTATTTCGAAGTATACCGATTTATTTAGCTGGTCGTTATGTGAAATTAAGTCGACGTTTGCCTCAATCCCCATGGATAATTGGATCACAGCGTAAATTAGATTCATCTGTAGAAGAACTCATCACTCACTTGATACTACCTCAATTCGGTGCGAATTCTCAAAGTTGTTTTATCACAGCTGGTAGAGAAGATGTTGATGTTAGGTAACTTTTTGTTTTCTTTTCCATCTTTGGAATTTCTCTCCTTTTTTTTTAATTTTGATATGTTGTATCCCTAACCGTTGACCAATATCATATGACGAATACAAGATACCAATCAAAATTATGTCTTAGTATGAGGAACCTTTAAATCTGTATTAACCCACAACTTAGTAGCTTTTTTCTCTCTACCCTCCTGCATCGTAGTCTGGAAGTCTGTACATCAACCTTCACAAAATTCGTTATATTTCAAGCGGAATATCGTTTGGAAATAAACTTATACATGAGCAAGCCGAAAATGGATATGAATAGTGGAGACTGTGAATAATAAACTAGCAATAGATTAGGAATAATAAATCACATAGCAGTAGTTAATGTATTAATTGGAAGATTATGATAAAAGGAGTATATATAATAAGGTCATACACAATAATAATCTATAAATCAGCACTGGAAGTTACCGATCCTCTAATATTCTTGCTAATATGACAAACAGTAAGTGAATTAATTTACAGTTTACATCAAGACTGATTCTAGTTAAACAGTCATTGAAGACCACCAATTGTTAAACAGTAGTTTTATCTTAGTATAGCATATTCGTGTATAGCGCATTCGCGATCCTTCTGAGTCCAAGAGTTCCAGCGAAAATTCGTAACCAATTGAGTTAAACCACATCATATTAGACAGTTACCCTGCAGTAGAATTGGACGGTAATGGCGCAACACCATGAATGGAATGAAGATAGACGTGTTCATTTTAGCGTGAAGGTTGGACGCTGGTCGCGAAATCGAAGGTTTTGAATTTGGTCCCCATTTGGGTCATAGAGCCTCATTAGCGATGGGTCTCATACTAGGATGAAAGAACTGTCCAATACTTCCTTGTTTTCAATGATTGTCTAAGGTCAGTTCATGATGTAGGCCACAAAATTCTATGTTCTCTGTAAATTCCTTATTCTAACTGATTATCCTTATTTTTGGGTGTTTGGGAAATAGCACGAAATAACTTATTGTAGACTTACAGCAGTTCGGAATGAAGCTACATAAATTTTAGCCTTATTTATTGACTTTAATAAATCATAGTTACTTTGATTAAATGAGTTTTAAAATATTTACATCGCAAAGAGCCGGTGATTTTATTTTCCTGTAAACCATCCAGTTGTGATTCACAGTCTAGTTCTGTGAACTAATTATCCATTTAAACAAATAACTTTTTGTGATATTTTGACCAATCATTTGTTCTGTGAAATTGACACTTTCCACTTTGATTCATACTAGATCTCATTACCCTGCTGTTTTATAAATACTCTACCTTTGTTATATGGAAAAATCCACCAGACTTCGAGTCTTTCTAATATAATTGTTTATCGATTTTCAGATGTCTTGGATTGGGTCGACCATTTGCGATTGAAATTAGTGACTATGAATTATTACCGTCAGAAATTATTCAACGATGGTCTGTTAAAAATAAACTTGCCTCAGAATGTAATGAAAATGAACCATTGGATTTATTGAAACTGGCATCGTTTGTCAATTCAGCAACTCAAGATCGTGTGTTTATACGAGATTTACAGGTTGGTTGAAGAAAAAAGAGAATACTCTTTGTTCCTAACTATCTTTCTTCGACATTGCAACAGAATTTTGTTTCGTCGATGTCAAAACAAAAGTCTGATGACATTAGTTATTAATAATTGTCGCATACCCTTCAATCAGCTTTTAATAGGAACTTCCCCTTGTTTTTTTCTTACTTCCAACTTTCTGTCTACCGTTCCTTATTAAAATGCTGGGGGTTTTGCAGAACTAGGAGTCAACCTCAAATGTTCATCTCATAGATAATAACTAAAGTAATTTAACTTAGAGAGGTTTGATCTTTGGAGGTTCCGCGATGGCAACGATTTAGAGTCATTTTAAATGTGGTACTTGATCAGGATCTATCGTGTAATGTAAGATAAATGGCTAGTGTCTGACATTTTAAAAGCAAGTTCAATTAATGTACATAAATATTAACATTGTCATCGAGATTATTTCGTTCAGAATACTATGAAAATGATCAGGATTGCAAAAATACATGGAAATTAAATTTGCAGTTACCAACTCGACTAATCTCCACCTGTTCTTCATGCGTCCGTAGATTTTTTATAGTTTTACGAAGTTAAATTGACTTTTCACCGACTATGGAATCTCAAATCACCAGTCAAAAAGTATCATGATCGTTGAGAGATCTTCAGGTGTGTGTACTCGATCCCTCGAGATGTGCTGTGTGCGCACTGATGAAAAGTCGTAGACAAAAACGAAAACACAGTCTTGTTTTTATTTTATCAACTGTGATGATTTTAATCAGAAAAGTGACTTAAGGCAAATCCCAAAACATAATTTTCATTTCTTTACCTAGTTCGTGTCGTCAAAGTCTGCTTCAGCCGCATTAAAATTAGGTGAAATGCAAAAAGCCAAATGCTATCGAGCTGTTTGTTGGTGTCCTCAAGGTGGAATCAATACGGAATTGCTAATGAAAATGTTGCAGTATACCACTTTGTTAAATCAAACAAATGAGAACGTTAATCATGTGGATACTATTCATTGGCCTCCATATAAAACTGATTCTATGAAATATGGGAAAATTTATTTTGGTCCATTGGATATTAATCAACTCACACCTATACGTGTATTACATAGAAGACCATTGTTGAATCGTAAAAGAACAATTCATCATTTATGTTTCATGTCATATGTGGATACAATAACAGCTAATATATTTGAGGTATAATTATTTTCTTGATGAATACTGTATTTTTGTTTATGATAGTAGTATATATTGAAAGTATGATTTTAAAACATGAATGATGATTCCTGTCCAAGAGTATATTACACTACTCATACATCCGTAATGTTTTTTTGATGATCTTTAATCAAATCTCTGCTGTCCTTCTAACATAGTTCTTGTGAAACTATTTTCTAATAATCAAGGTTCGACCATTGATTACGCATTTTTTAAAACTATCTGATCAATCTTCTGATAGTTACTTAAACCACTCACTGTTATCTAACTTATTTTCACTACAGTTTACTTTAGACTAATATCAATAGATAAAAAGCTGACTAATTCTTTCTGTCTGTCTTCAGAAGTTGTACAAGTAAACAGACAGTGAAAAAGGTATATATTGGCTTATTTCATAAGTTGTTGTTACAGAGCGAATCATTAAAAGTTTGAATGAACGCTTCAAACTAGAAGTATTGCTTTGAACACTATTTATCTGAATGATCGTAACTGTATTACTCATAAAATATATTTGGTTACCATCAATTTTGTGTTTACATAAATGATATTTTGATCATTTTTATCAGGAACCTGCTTCTTTCTTTATAGTATAACAAGGGTTTTTCAATATTTTGCATAAACTATTTACATATGTTTCTGCCAATAACTTTAACCGATAGTTGGCATACATACTCACATAGCATCAACTCGTCAAAATTAGTAATTAAAGTTGGATATTGCATCCTTTTACTGAATATATTTTGTTCTTAATTAAAATATGACTCACCGACTTATACTAGTTTATTAAAAAACGTAATTAGACTTCTAATCACAAGTACGATTAAACAATGACATCATCTTACGATCTTCATACAGGAATAAGACAGTTAAATATTATAATAGCATGTCTGTACAAGTACGGTCACGATTAGTCTGAGAATATAATCAAGCAGATAGAGATCACACATAAGTTTCATGAACTATGAAATGGTAATACAACTCTAGCTGTGAGAAAAATTGTAATTTCTCGACCGGGCTAATAAAACATCTGCATAGTCACACTTTTGATAATATCAATTGAGTTTAGATCTAGAATTTCAACGTTCGGTACAACCAAGAAAAACAGCATTACGTCTATCATTAATTTTTTGGTTTCGTCTAAGAAACCTTTGAAAGTGTAAACTTTTATTTAATGCTCCGAACAACTATTTATTTATTTCATGATTTGATTGACGATATATTATACACATTCTCTATTTTTATAGTTCGATGACTTTAAATCATGGTCACAATTATATCCAGTAGATGAACTGTTCATATTAGAAATTCGTTGTGAAGCTGGCACTTATGTTAAAGAACTTGTTCATGGAGATCTTGGTCGATGTAAACCCAGCTTAGCAAGTATATTTGGTCGTCAATTAGATATATTGGCGTTGGATGTAATTGCTGTTGAACTTGACTGGCCTACACGTCTAACAGATCCCGTATTTAATTAATTTGTAAAGTGAAAATAACTTTGATACTTTTTTTTGTGAAAATAAACTTTCAACAGAAATATAATTTTTTTAGTAAGGCATTGTCTATTATATTATCGATCATAGATGATCAACAAGACTAAATTGATTGGTCTTACTTATTACACTCCTGTTTTAGGTTACTGGTTACAGCACTAAATATGAATAGTAAGTAACGATGAGTCTCTTATCACAAAACCAACTGATAATTATCGACTAATATGTTGTTCAGGATACACATGATTAGAACCCTAGTAAACAAATTTTAGCCACAACAAATCTGAGCAATCAATCAATAGCAACGTAGAACTTCGTACGTACGTACGTACATCAGTTCATGTTGCCATACCACATTAGCAATCAAACTATCATCTTTAATAACTAACCTATTAACACTATTCTTCTTTCAGGGTTAGGAAGATTGTCGAATTAATTTTTATCTCTTAATGAAACGATAACATGAGTAATTCCATGACTTAAATAATAACTTCCGGATAATTACTTACTTTTTCTTGTATAAAATTAACACTTTATGAAATCATCTAGTAAGAATGATCGGAACGACAACTTTGTTGTATTCCTGTCGTCTTACTAGTTTAGATACTTGAGTTCCAACCAATCGATACAATTTTAAATGTCCTTCACTAATTTATGGCCTGATTCGTAGACCTGTAGTTATCAAATCTATCGATACAACATTTGAACTATTCGATTAATTCACGACCCATTTTGTGACTGTTCAAGTTGATTGACTAGAACGAAGTGACCACCAATGGCCAAAAATAGATAGACAAGCCGGTTACCATTCATTAGTTATGTTTTTTCTTATAATCACAGTTCTGTGACCGTTGTATTTATGAAAAAACTTCCATTGAATAAAAAAAATGAATACTATTTAATGGATTTGTACAACTGCACTTCAGTATCATCTTAGAAGAAAAGGATGTGAAAACAAAATAACAGAAATCAATCAAAACGTTCTTGAATGTATCCAATGCCGCAATTCAACTGGACAATTTGGATAAGTATCTAAACAAGCAGTGAGAATATCATTGTCTACATAACAAAATAATGGACGATAATTTGGTAAAACAGACGATGAACTCCAACTAGTTTTACAGTTAGATCCAGCAGTGGATAAACTAGAAGATGCAGTGATTGCAGCTTTACCAGATATAATCAGTTCGAAATCGATTAAATTGTCTAATGCTTTCATAATAACCGGTTTATCATATATATGACTTGGACAACTGGAACGACAAAACTTTAAATATTCTGAAAGAATAAAAAAGGTAGAATAAAGCTGAAGTATAGAGAGAACAACAAATATTACTTGTGAATAATGTGATGAAACCAAATACGAAAGTCAGTAATTCCTTAAACGAAAAATTCGTTTCACTCAAATACAGGTGTAGTTTAAAGTAGTCATTCAGTTATTTCGATTAGAAATGACTATTAGTAGAACTGAAGTCGGTTACTGGATTATACATCATAATCTTCAAATATTCCAGAAGCCCAGCCCCTACCTTAGATCGGGATCAACAGTGCTAATATGATATCGGAGAAAGGTGTCCGGTGAATTCATCCATTTGTCAAAAACGTCGCAGGACACTTTTAGCTCACATGACGCTTGGTTGTAAATAATGAGGCTTTATGTAATGCTAATATGTCAGTAACTGAGATTTTTCTAAATTAAAATAAACACGTATTATAATCTCTGTTTATAAAGCTTCAAACTAAGAAATTCGGAAAATAATTCATCTATGAATTAAAAAGCAATGAAAAGACAACTAAGTAATCAAGTATGGATTCATGTACTCGGCTTTAAGCCACATTTTTTGTACAAAATCAAAAGATCTTTATTCGGCTACTTAAACAACTAAAACAGATAGAATAGAGTTCTAACATTCAACTCAATGGTTGAGGGTTAAATTCTTTTAAATAATAAACAGTTGTCCCACCAATGAAAGGTGATTAAATATTGAGCAACAACCATAGAAAAAGCATCAGCACTAGAAACGTAACACTATACAATCAGTTATAAACAATTGCAATCAGTTGATTTTTTGAAACGAAAGTAACAAAACGTCAGTTGACATTAACAGGTCAATGAGAAAACATAAGAAATGATATTGTTGTCTGAATTACTACATTTTATAAGAGGAGTCGATTTTCCATGGCAGTAGATATTATGAATATAATAAGGCTATTAAATATAAAACTTATAAACGTTTTACCATAAAACTAATAAACAAATTCAATAGAAAAACACAGTCTGACAATTTTCTAACTTTCACATTACTTCCTAGCAATTAGGATCTGTTCTAACCAAGTTCATAGCAAATGGCTTATATTTTAAACGAATCTTTTTATTCAATAATTTTCTCACTTAATGTTTCTCTTAAACAAACTTCGTGATATATATATGTAATTAAATACGAAAACCTAGCTCACCAGAATACAAACTCTCAAAATTAACCGGTTTTCCATCATTCCTATCTTGAAGCTTGACCATAGCAGTAATCAAAAATAGCTCCAATACGGAACAACCTATTGAATATGAATAAACAAGAGTACTTACTGTATGAGAAAACAACGTATTTTTCGTATGCATTGAACATTGATAGTAACAAATGTTATTATCGCACATCATTTCACTATTAATTTACTAGGATAAATGTTGACATTAATTGCTAACCATGTGAAACATAAAATTGATAAAATACAACATAGTTCAACAGAAAAAGTAAATAATAGTGGAAAAGCGACGCTTAATAACCAAGTATGGATTTACAAATTGAATGTTTATTTATTTTGTGATTGGCTAATTTCCTATCCAATCAGCGCCTGATCGATTCTTGGAGAATAGGGTAGAAGACTCTCGTGTTGTTAGCTGCATGCTGATTGGCTAAATCTAATCCAGCCGATCACGTGAATTACAATCCAGAAGCTTCTCATGTAAATACTATAAAGATACTAACGTTGTATCTATTTTGCCTTCGGGTCCTTATTCCATTGAACCTTGCTATTTGGAATATAATCTTTTCCTGTTCCACCGTGTTTTCGATTCTTGGAACTTGTTCAGCAGTATTGTGGTCAGAGAATACTAAGCAATAGGAATTAGCTGGGAATTATGCAAGCAAGCGTTACAACAAATAGAATTAAACAAGTTGTCAATGAAGATGGTGTAATATCGGCTATTAAACATTTTTGATAATGATCGTTTCACATGATAGTCAAAAGTGGAAAATTATTTATTAGCTAATAAATAAATCATGGGGTCATGGTATTTTCGTCCAAGATTTTGCTATGAAATGTGGAATAGTAATGAGAGGAGACAACGACGAGCAACGGAAGCTATTTTTGGAAAATTCAACCACAATAGCAGGATTCTCCAGGATAGATAGTTAAATAAAATTGTTCAAATGTAATCCCTCCCTACTTTTGGTAGATTACTGCACCACTACTCACTGTAATCGAATAACAATAAACGGAGTAACAAGCACAATGAAGTGTTTGCTTACATACTAAGGAATTCAAATAATTTTACGAACTGTAATAACTACCGTTTTGATAGATAAAAATAAATTTGTGATAAAATTTTCGGGTGATAACTAATAAGCAGAGTCAAATTATTTATAGATTTCCAACCTTACAACAGATAATTTGGTAGTTTTGCAATCTTAACTACTGCATGTACGTACGTACGTAGGTACGAAGTTCTACGGTGTAACTGACTGTATGCATGGGAAAAGAACATATCTTGACAACTTGACTGTAATAACATTATGCTAATGATAACCATTCCAATTTTGATACGAGACAACGATATTCATTGTTTTAATAGAAGTAAACGAAAACAGATTTGAAAAACTTACCTTTTAGAGCAGTGAGCTTTGAATCTTGTTGTAATGTACACAAAGATTCTATGAATTGTACTGGTTCAATTCGATCGTGTTCAGGTCCAAGTGAAGCGACTATTGGAATCTGTCAAAGAGATTATAGGAAGAATCGATTTTTACAAGAAACAGTACAGCCTACTGAATATCAGAAAAAGTGCGTTTACCCGTGAAATTATTCATACCGTTATCGATTTGGCATCAAACAACGTGGTGGGAAACAATCTCGTTGATCTTCATGGTTAAACACATTAGGAAGGTAAGTCAAAGACATAATTTAAATTAAATTGATCATATCAATGACAATTTACTGGCCACTACTCAGTGATCAATTAAAAATATCTCAATCCTATACGTCAGTCATTACCCAAATAGCTTAGTGGTAAGACTTCAAACCGTGAAGTTGAGAAGTACTACTCACTGCCTTCACGTGGCCGCAGCATTATTCACGAAAAGCAAATGTCCGTTGCTTAAACCAGGTTGCTAGTTACGAAGGATTGATTAAAAGGGAGTTGGAAAACCCTGATTCCAAACCAATGGTGCTTATAGGCTTCAGGATCCTAAAGGAACGAATGATGTATAAACCTACACTTGATCACCAGCTACCATAGGATCACATCTCCTAACACTGCTTCATCGCCTTGTGAATCTCTCCTCTACGTTAAAGGCCCGGGAGTGGTCTCCAAAGAAAATCACCTGTTTCGGTTTGGGCACCCGGTTAGGTATCTCGTTCCACACAAATTCAATTATTTGTGTGATGCATCTGTATTTTGATACCCCTTTGTATTAACTTTGTATTTAAATAAATCAATTAATAATGGAGTTGGGTGATGCATGTTCGAAGTCCACAGAATACAGAATTAGTTTACTTAAGATCGTAGGTACACTTACAAAACTGAAACCTAGACCTAGTGTCTGTAGTTATTCAAGCAGTCTCCATACTTCTTCATTGCTAACTAATACATAGATAAATCAGAATACAAGTAGATGCCGAGAAAAAAGAACAAAGATAAGTAAACATTAATATGCAGGAAAATAAAAAGGCTGGGGGGAGAGGAGTAAAATTACCACATAGACATTGAAAACCATAGTAAGGATTTGAGATAAATACATCAATAAAACATACCAACAAATTGATTAATCGTCTAATGCTCACTGAAATAGACCATGCTTGTCTTAATGAATCAATAACAATTTCATCATGCATTAATTTGTCAATATGGTTATTCCACGAGATAATTAATAACTCTAAGTCATGATACTCTTTCGATTTGGATTTACACAACAAGGATGGTAAGTATGATGGCAAATCATTAATATCAACACTTAATAGATGTTTACAAATTTCACAAAATTGTTTAAATGGTTTAGATCTTGTATTATTATTGTTAGTATTGTCGTCAGATGCATAAGAATCGGTATTCTTAATTGGTGCTGCAGGTGATGTAAGATAAATTTGACGATGTGAAAATCTTGATTTAACTCGTTTTTCTAATAATTCCATAATATCCTATGTGGAGAAAGAGCAAAAACTAAATGGATACAACAAATAATGAATAAAAAGCTATGAAATTAATTCAGTCAATCGAACATAACATTAACATTTTTATATTCATAGAGCTTATAAACTCGAAAAATAAAAACGGAGAAAAATAGATAGAATACGATTTGAACACGTAATCTGAATGAGCAATAAAATGATTGAAAATAATTCCGTTCAATGTATTATATATTGAATCTATCGTTTAGATCGTCGATTTATCTAGATCGTAGTGGTGAATTTGAACACCACACATCACATTTTCGGACGTAATTCATTCGCCGTGTATAAGGTTTATGGACAAGGCTTCCAGCCAATCAATCAGTCAGTTACGACGTGGAACATCGTACATACGCACATCATTTCAAGTTGCCATACCACGTTAGCACACAGAGGTCGTATTGTTCATTCAAACTCCACAAGGCTTAAAGCTATAATTTAGTTTTATTAACGAAATAGTAATCAACCAGGAGTCTCTGAATCAAACAGGTGAAGCCGGTTCATAATCTCCCGAGTGTTTTAATTTTTTCAGCCAGCACATTTAAAATCTTCACCTTCAGTAGTTTAATACAGAGTCGAATAATATAACACCATCAGCATACAGACAACCGGTGCAGTAGGCTTAATTAAGTGTTGCACTTTCCTTTTTAGGAATGCAGATTACATTTTTTTATTAAAGGTATGAAATAATACCTTCATCTATTTGTGTATAGTGACTAAAGACAATCACTAGTCTAGCATGATTTAAGGATTAGTTAGCTGAGAAATGAAAGAAAAAGTATATTTTAGTAACAAATATGAGAATACCAAACAAATTTTGCAAACGCATTTAAACGAAAGGTAATTTGTCCGTGAAGAAAGAATAGTTTGATAATAAAATGTGCTAAGTAATTTGTACAAAATATCAATTAAAAGGAACGGATAACCTGTAACATAGTTTAAAAACTGGATTATAGGTGTGTTAAACAGAAAAATGTCACATACAAGCTGAATTCAGCTCAAACTATTTTGTTATGAATCTATTTCCAACTTTAGAGTTAGACATTAACACCGTTGGATGCCGGCCCAGTGGTCCAATCGTTATGCGTTCGCGCACAATACCGAAGGTCCTGGGTTCGAATCCTGCGAGGCGCAGGAGTCGTGGATGCGCACTGCTGATCAGTCCCATACCAGGACGAAACGACCGTCCAGTGCTTCCAAGTTTCTAATAGTGGTCTAACAATGATTGACTGATGATTTCAAATGTGTAAAAACACAAACCTCCAAAACTCTGCCCAAAAAACAGTTAAATATAAAAAACTTACTAAACGACATGTTAGTCCAATAACACAAATACGAGATTCCGGAGATTGACAACAATCGAATAAATTATACAACAATAACTGATTATGATGTAAAGCAAAAAGATCAAATTCACTCAGGACAACTAGAACAGCTTTTCGAGTTCCATGGTTTCGATGGACCTCATTTAAAAATAAATTGAGTTGTTGAGAGAAAGGCAAACTTTTTATACTATTATGAAAATCAGAAGTTGGATTATTGTCTGATTGACCAACGAGATTATCTAGTAGAGCTTCATTATGTAACTGTTTTGCTAATGATTTCATAGAAGAACGGTCATCTGTATGAATCAAACCTATGTTAAGAAATAAACATTGATTATAACCGTAAATAATACTAACCGTTTAAGTAAACTTCAGAAATCCCAGAGCCAATATTTGGGTTTTCTTTTGCTTTCTTTATTGCTTCTTTGATTAGCTTAAGTCAGAAAATATACACATTACATAAAATTACATGATGTTTGCCAACACCTCTTCTACCAATTATCAGTATGGAGCTACTTTCACCTTTTAAAACTGTCGATGTGATAATGTTCTGTAAATATTTCAACTCTTCGTCAAAATAAAGAAGGCGATGTTGATTTCCTCTCAATTTTATGCGTAATACATCAGAAATCAAATCCATTTGAGTCAATTAACTAGGTTGAATTTTACCAACTATAGTTTTCACTGTATTCGGTTAATGGGAATGGGAAACCAAGACTTGCTGGAGATATATATATATATCAGATACTGAAAATGAAAACAGTGAAGTAATCGATGTATCTTTGAGTAAATTATGATAAATTGGGCATCAACTAAATCTTAAGTTGCCAGAAACTGCGTTAATGGTGATCAATTATAAAATGAATGGCATCATCAGTGAGATGAAGCTTAGACTGTGATGTCTTTCCTTGTAAGTTAATTAATTAAAACACTTACCTGTAGACACCTAGATATTCATATGACGAGAAAACAATACAGTCGGCTCTCTATAATCTCTGACACTTTACATGATCATTATTAGAATGAATGTAACTCTGTGAAATGATTAGCAGTTTCAAACATTATTGATAATCAATGAACCAAAATCATTTTTTTCAGTTCACAGAGGATCAATTCATCAAGTTATAACCCATCAAAATTGTACAGAACAACTCAGTGAATCAATCTAATTACAAATTTTAACAGCAGATAATCACCACAGCTAACGATATTTCTGATGACTTTTGTGAAATGAACAATTGATGGGTGATGAGGAAATATATTGGTTAGACGTTAAAACAACCGTCCTCAAACAGTAATTCAGAAAAAACAACGATCAATTATGATTCTACTATTACTTTATCTTCAGATGACGCCGCCACAGTATCACAGCAACAAAAGGTTGTAAATTTAAAATTACTGAGTGAATCTACAAACACAAACCTTTGATGTTGGTAAACAGACAGTTACTGAGCGTATTTAAGCCCTTTGAAACTCTGCATACAGTCAGAACTAGAAAGGAAAGAAATATCATGAGGTTTACATTGTGACACAACTTTTATACATTGACTGAGACTTCTAAATTTAAGGATACCACAGCTGTGATTGTCTGCACATGCGGAAACTCATTAAAGTAGGAGAAAGGATGAAGAGCCTTTCAGAACTAATAAAACTTTCTTACTAAAACGAAAGTATCCCAGTGGATTTTGTGGGAAAGATGATCTGATGGGGGATGAATGAACATGGTTCTAAGGCTGTAAAAATATTGGTTGGTAGATGATGTACGAAATCTTTATCTAATAAATACTTACGATTTAGCTGGGATTTCAACCACCGTTGTTTTGTCTCAAAAATTTCGTAGATGTGTATATCATTTCGTCACATAACTTAAACTTTGCCGGTCAGTCATGCAATCTCAAAATATTTGTTAATCGAGGACTTGCGTCAGTTATTCGAACCACTTAGTTACAATCAAATCAAGAGATTAATCGCACATAATCTATAAAAACTTTTTATTTGTTAGGACAATTACTAGACATATAAAAGGGTTAGAAAATACGGCATATTAACTGACTCTCAAATACTTAGTGCGGTAAGAATTAGATCGATAACAAAAAACCTCTCTACTCTTCCGTTGAGAACGTTTCTGGGGAAGCCTCATCCGAATGATTATTTTGCATAGATTGACCCGAAAACTAACATACCGAGCAACAATGCTGGTGTTTAAAAAACTATATTTTAACACCAGCAACTGGACAACGAGTAATTAGCTACATGTAGTAGAATTTGATTATCGACATGTAAATCAAACAAGACCATACTACGGAACGACGCATTAGGTCTGGTTACTTGCTTTTCTACAGAAAGAATTTTTATAATCTACAACATTCAAATACTGTTTACGAAGTCAATTAGTCTTTTATGTTTACGATGCGATGCGAATCAGCAGCACAAAAAGAGCATACACTACTTGAGAACATGGAATAAATATGTTTATAAGTGAATAGTTTATTAAAAATATATATTCGCAAGACAAAAGCTCTTCAAATGATTGTTTCTTGCCGTTTAGCTATCATATTAAATGCAACTGTATCTTGTCAGAATAACTTGCAAATCGTTAATATTTCATACACTTGCTTTCACAGAATACGCCTCTTTATAAATGAAATATACTTTTACATACATCTGGAGTTCTTATTCACACCGTTTTCTTACTATTTTCAATCTCTTTACAGAACCGTTCCATCCCAATGATACTCATGAATAAATGTGAGTATCTATCAGTGACACCGTGTCAGCGATTGGCTGTCAATACCATTAGCCAAGAAGTTAAAAAGCCGCTAATATATACTTTTTGTAATTAAAATGGGCATACTTACACCTTCATTAAAATACTAATATCCTCTAAAAAGTTCGCCATAATCAATGCTTTGATCGTGAAGCAGGTTTTCGTCATAGCCGGTAAATGGCTCATTATTACTACATTAAACATGTATACGGAAAGCTCAGCAGACATGAAGTTATGGGACTATGTATATCAGGAAAATAACTGGTCTATTCCTAAATGTAAAGTTATGTACCACTAGTTAGTTGTTTAGGATTTGGTTCAGTCACTAACAAATTAAGCTGGGTATAATGATTTGATGGATAAAACCACTCTGCAAATTCAGAAGGACAAACCAATACAAGTGTTATTGCTTTTCGTTTTTGGTAAAGTAATGAGACCAAAGTTAGATTACTTATGTGATTCGGTTGAATTGGATGTCACAGATATGCAAGCTGGGTAAAACCAGGTGGAACATACTAAATTTAAACTGTTAGAAACTTCAACTCCGATTGCCAAGTAAATCTATAATACCTACATATGTACAGAAATAAGTTCTACCAAATTCTTTGTCATCAGTTAGTGGTTCGGTGCGTAATACCGATGCAATTTGGAGTGAATAATTTTGGTTTGAAATCGACTTTAGCCTTGTAGATTTTCTATCATAAACAATAACATGACTGAGCTATCAGTGCACATGAACGAACTACAAATGAGACATGATGTTATTGTTAAAAACGACCACATAGGATAATTCAGAGTTTGTGGAGGATTAGCGGGTTAACAGCTCCCTTTACCAACTGGAGAAAGATTGGGAAATTCAGATAAGTATCTTCAGCAAGAGGATTGGGGGATAAATCAGTATGTAAACTAATCAAGCTGATAGTTTCTTTACTTTTCAGATAGTAATCATCAGGATAATGGGTACGCAGCCAAGAGCATCTTTCAGATCCATTTTACCACACTTGGTGAAAGCCGATCCAGTTATAAACTTTACGGTGAGGACAACCATAGACCAGTCTCCTACATTTTCGCTTTTACAGCAGTATAAGAAAAGATACCGTTTAGTTTCTTTTATTCAACAGGTGCCTTAATATCTAATTCCCTACCCAGTGTCGTCATTGAAATCGCTCGAAAAAAATGGTTTCGATAAGCAAGAAAACTTGCACGATAAAAGGAAACTTATTAATCGTTCTTTCCCGATGATAGATTATGCACACGTCAACAGTCACGACAATTTTTTACTTTCCGTTTTTCTAGACTCCGAAATTTACTCTTAGTAATATCCCTGCGTATTACAGTATTTCGTAAAAAAATTGTGACCGGCATTTTGCGAGACTGTTGTTCCATTTAAGAATTCAAGCGACAGGATAAAGTCCCTCACTAACAAGAATATTTTTGATCTATCTTAGTGTCTTTTGAATAAACATTCTGAGGCTAACTTAACCTTATCCTCATAGAAATTATAATTACATCTAAACGTTACAACGACCGTTGACAAAATATGACGCCTAAGTTTAATGCAAGTTGTGATTAAGTAGTGGTTAGACGATGTGCGGTGATCCGCATTACTAATGCGCAATGACGGCAATTATGATTAATTAAACATAGAAATTTTGTATGTGAAACAAAAAAATCGCGGGGCATTACAAATTCAAAGACTCCGATATTCACAATTGTTAACTGATTAACCGTCATTTTAAATAATCAGGAGAACCCTGGAAAGCTACGAAACTTGTCCATAAAATCTTGGCATTTATTATACAATAACTAAAAAGAGACATTATGAGCCGATTACACAGAAAACAATAAGGGATTACAAGCAAATTACGGTGTACTAACTCCGTAAAACGCGCCAATTATTCTTTGACTTGTCTTTAGGTTATTCAAACAATACCTAGGTTTCTCGGTATTATATGCACAAAACCAACTAGTTACCGTAGAATATTTAATAACATGCATCTGCGTGGCTCTCGTTCATAATGTAACTCCAGCCTCTGGTTGGTTTTCGTTTAGCCCGAAGGTACCTTGTGTGCTAGGGGGGATGTGAGGAGCAGCGTATAAGATTATCTGGAAGCAGAAAGAACAGGGGAAAAGATGAGCCGACAAATCAGTAAGCACATATAATGCACCTAAATGCAATTTACGAATATATAGACAGCAACCAGATATAAAGCCAGCGTGACATTAAGACAAACTGATAAACGAAACTATTATTTGATAGAGTTAGGATTCAAATGCGTTATAATAAAAGGTCTCTTATTTTCCGGCGATCATTCAAACGAATTCAAACAACAGAATATGATTTGCTGTTGTTTAAGAAATTTAGATGAGCAGTAAGACAATTCTTCTAATCCCCATAGAAATTTTCCCATTTGGAAACCTAATACATTCTCTTCATAACGAAAAACAGATCTGTAAATGAAAGCATGATAAGCAACTTTCTAGAGAGTAATTAGAATCCTGACAGGAGCAGAGCGTTGTTTCTGGGAGGCCATAAAAAACTACTACCGCCCTCTTCTTGTGAACTGAATAATTAACCCACCGATTCGTCGAAATGTTTGACCTGGTCGTCGGCTTTCTTACTTACTTACTTACTTACTTACTGATGCATGTAACCTACAATAGAACACGGATAATCGACCTGCATTCTTCAACCTACTATGTTCTCAGCATTCCTATCAAGTTCTACCCAGTCGCTTTCGGATTTTCCATTACTTTACTTTCTATCCTGGTGTGTTCCTTGGTCCACTTCTATTGCTTTGGCCGTGAGGGTTCCTTTGACGTACACAACTGTAAATCAACACCTGTATCTTGAGGATGATGGCTTCCGTGTTTCTCTAGCATTCCACACGATACAGTAGAATGATGTTTAAGTGTAACTTTGGTGTTTGTCGACTGTTTTTTTAGTTGTTTATTTTCCTCAGTTGCTCTTGCTCTCCCATTCATTGCCTTTGTATCCTTATCAGATCTGCCTTACTCATCAGTGATGCTGCCCAGATACGTAAAGGTTTCCATATCCTTCAATGCTTCTCCATCACGTGTGATTTGTTTAGAGTATGTTGTGTTATGCCTTCTCCCTAGTGTATGTTGAGACTTTTACAACACTAGTCTTCACCTACACTTTTTTTCTTGCGTGTGGGATAGAAGGGCTAAATCATCTGCGAAGTCCAACTCATCCAGCCACATCGACAGATGTCCACTGTATCCCGTGATTCCAAAAAGATGCTGACGTCTACATATTTCAGTCGGACAACAGAAGAAAGAAAGGTTGAAAGTTATCAACCTTTTCTGACATCGATCTACACTTGAAAATAGTCTGTATTCTGTTCCTGATGCACGAAGTGAAGTTCACCAACAGAATTCGGTAAGGTTTTGACTATTTTCTCAGACATACAGTGCTGTAGAATAAGCCTTCCTGATCTTGAGAGACGATTGGTGCCTCTGTAGTTTTCACACTTCTTTGGAATCTTGATGAGCAGTCATTCGTTCCAGTCTGTTTCTGTTCTTCCTTTCATATCTTGCTGAATAGAATGTGGAGCATTTTTGTAATTACTTCTATCTCTGCTTTCAATGCCTCCGCTAAAATGTTGTCTAGCACTGTTGTTATGCCACTCTCGATTTATCTGATGGTCATGGTGATCTCTCCAATTGCATGTGTGTGTAGTTAGGTGCTGTCTACATGTTTTTTCGATTTGGTTGCGTTTAGTGTGGCTGATCGATCCAGTAGTTCCTCAAGATGCTCTACCCACACGTTTCGCAGTCACTTAATTTCAGCGGTAGGTTTTTTTTCCACGCTTTCCACTGGTCGCTCTGGTTTATTAACGTTTCTGTCAAGCGTCTTTGTTTTGTCGTATTGTTGTTTTTCGTTACCTTCTACTGCAGCTTTTTCACCAGAGTCCCATGATCTTCTGCATATTTACGCTTATAAGCTGTAACACACCTATACACTTACTGGTTTGTTTCTGTTTATTCAGCGTGTACTTTGGCTCTGTCTTTACTCATTTGGCTGACAGTGATTATTGTCTCCGTTTACTTCTTTTTTTAATCTTATCCTGAGTATCTATAGAGAAACATTCCTTTTCATAATTTTTCTTGTGACCTTAAGCCTCATGACTTACTGAAGTTATTGCTTCATTAATCACTTTCCGGTTAGTCCCCATTTATCTTAGTATTAAGCTGATGGTAAACTATTACCCTGGATTTCATTATCTTACCTAATGTATATGCATTTCTTCTACTCAAACTTCACACATGGTTTTCTATAATTCTGACCCTGATTTATACATTATTTGACTTGGCGTTTGAAGTATTTTGATTCGGTGGCCTGAAATACTGACGGTCACCATGAGGATTATTTAAATTTTATCATTGAATCATCCGTAACGACCAAATTACCAGTATTTCATCGATTCGCAGAGCAAACGAAACAACGATTATCGGGTTAGGCCAAACTACGTGCTTTTGGATGGCACACAGAGCTTTTATTAAATCATACTGAAACTGAAATTCTGTGTTTAGTTTAATCGGCACCAATTTAAGAAATAAAACAAATTGCCATATAAGATTTGTTAATTGTCAATCAACAACAGTTTTCACAACGATATGGGATCATATATATATTTAAACGAACTTCCCTGACAGGCATACAACGGTCAACAGTCATTCAGGAAACCATGCCTTACACTTGAGACAACTCAAATAATAGTGACTGAGAAACACGGGCCATGATTGCAAGTGTCCTGATTAAAGATCAATAGAAATTATGGTCCAACAGAACAGAAATGGCAACATGTTCTAACCCTAATGAGTTCAGTTTGTTTATTCTTCTCACTAGTTCACAAACTAAGTGAATAAAATTTTTATTAGTGTGGACAGACGAGGTTCGCGACCGATGACAAATAATTGAATCTTTGTATCGTTGTCTTACAAGTTAGAGAGTAACCAAATTACAGCAAATCAATTTTGATGTTTATGTTAGCATTAGCATGTTGACAATCACTGTATACTTTGTCTAGGGCATAACTCCAGTACACTACCCTCATATCGCGCATTTCATTTCATACATAGGATACACATTAGACTAGAATACGCGCTTATTAAACTGAGTGCAAGAAAACTAGACAGTGAAATGAAAGCGCAATAAGAGTTGGACAAACTTAGCCTACAAACTACTTCCTTAACTTAGTGTAGCTAAAAACTGACCAACTACGTCTTAACTTCCCTAAGCAGATTAATATATTTCAGCATTTAATTTCCAAAATCTTATAATATTCTGGTCTACAAATAAAAATCTACAGATAAAAAATCTTCTGGCTTACTTGAATATTGTCGGATGAAAGCCCTTCAATATTTTTTCTTCTTAAGATAATTGGTTTGTTTTAATGCGTCGATGAGATTACTATTCCTAGTATATCATTTGACACTTATTCAATGTTCTTAATTTAGTGACGGTAAGGTAAAAGTAATTTTTGGATTTGGGAATTGTTGATTGATTTATTATGTAACCACACCTGGCCAAGTGAATGTGGTTAGCAGAACATTCGCCAGGCTAAGACATTTCCTATCTCATCCTAAGTCTTAGTTAACTGAATTCGATTAGCTAGTTTACTTCAGTCACGGATGCAAGTGATCTGGTTATTGGTGTTGTATCACCCAAAGCTTCTTGCAGTAGAGAGAATGAAAATATTACTGAGTGTTTCATAGTGTAATAATTAGCAAAGTGTTATTTTCCAAGTCGAAAGTAAACGCTAGTATTCGTCTAATCTGTAGGCTTCTTGCGATGTTTCTTTATGGGATGCAAGTCTGAGGATAAGGTCAATCACATGGTGTTGAGACTTGCCAAAAGCTTTTAGGGGCATCTTAAGAAATAATAATGAAGTGTATTAAATACTTTCGTAAGGTTTGAAAAATACTGCGTATGGGAATATGACTACAAATCATTCTATCTATGATAAAAAAAATCATGATATTTATTTGTTTCCGGACCACATAGAAAGACTGCGTACCAATCTCTTTTTATTATATCTTCAAATGACTTAAAACGATTTATGATACGTCAAATATCACATACCTTTTATATAATTGATTCATGGTTACCTTTCATTTGATCTTGTTTCGGATCGTAAAGTAAAGGAGGAGAAGTAAAGGATATTCACTTGCATCTTTTTAATACTTTAGGTGTTCAAAAACAGTTGTTTATTGTAGAGTCTCTGTTGAACTGTTGCCTTTTCAAAACAAAAGGCAACAACGAAATAGAAATTTCTCGTAATTTTTCTTCCTGCTGCGCCAATTACTGATAGCTGTTGAGAACAACCCCTAGGGGAGGAAAAAGTGGCAAAATATTCGGAAAGACAAGGTTGTCACGACTTTCGACTTTAAAATTATTGACAACAATCGGTTAGTTGAACGTTCATTAAGTTAAAAATATTCTAGTTTGATCATGTGATCTGATCACCTATTTTACAGCTAATCAGCATTTGTTTGATTATTTTCAGAATTTTTTCACATGTATAGGCATGCCTCAGGCAAGATTCGATAGACTGAACAGTATACGTTCATGGATTTCAGTGTTCTTCCACCGTAGGTTTATACAGAATAAATAATCAACCTAGTGTTTATTTCAACAATTTGTTGTGGTGGAGATGTCACTTCCTATAGCACTAACATGAATCAACCAGATATTTTAATTCCTATATCAATAAACACTTTAGGAGTATTTCAGGTAAGACGTTTAAAAATATATTGTATTGTTAGACAACAGCCACCTGTACATTTCTTAAAACACCTACTGCTTCCGATACGAATGGTTTGTTCTCGGAAATATTGTTATCAAACTCAAATCGAAATGGAAACGTCACTTTTCGATGCTCTCAAGTTGGTCATGCAGTTCTTTTCTCTTGTCATGACAAAGTCAATTCAAGTATTTCGTTCTCAGATAGAAGGTTGTTTGGCCAGTCAAGTTTTACTCTTATTACAGTTTGATTCAGTGCAAAAAAGCTCCTGTTGTATCTGTTGGTCCAAAGACTATTCGTCTCTTAAAAAAACCAACTCCTTTCATCCAAAGATTGAGTGTTTCAACCAGGTAAACGTGATTTATTTGTTTCATCCACCCATAGCGAGATTGTTTCGGACACTAACGTTATTGTGACGTGTCTGAAGAAGGGTGAATCGAGTGAGTATTCATTTGTTCTATGGATTTTTTTATTATCCTATTACTAAAATATACGATTACTGTAGTAGTATATAACTATATTATACTACATTATATACTGGTTGTAAGTAAACATATATTAACAATCATTCATAAACAACATTATTACCGCACTTAATAAATAGTTCGTTTCCTTTTTAATTAGAATAATCTTTCTTAAACATTGAACTGCTGCTTATTGCTTTTAAGTGAAATAAAAAGATAATTACGGCCAAAGTCTTAACATGGATTCCATCCACCGTCAGTTTCACACGATGGAAGAGGGAAACTAAGTTGTGGCAATTGGTTCAACCTATACATAGTTTTAATGACAGACTCATACTGAAACCGTTATTTTTTCCCATTATGTAATATCCCAGATATGCGCATGCAAAAATAACTAAGTCCTAAGAAAGTCACTCGTAGCCCGAACACATTGATAACGTATTAGGCTGTAAGTTTTTGCAACCTGAGTTAGGAATCCACCAGGAACATTACTTACTTTAGAATTGAGGGTACTTCCTACCCACAACCGTCAATAAACTTTAAACAAACATCAAGTAGGATATCCTGCTGATTGCTTTCAACATCCAAACAGGCTTTTTAGCGAGAAGTTAAATCTTCTAAACATTTGTTACAAACAGCTAAATATTGTTTTATTCTATTTTGTAACAGACGTTTCCCTTTCAATAAACCCTGTCACTATTTATCCTGGAACATCAACTGGTGTTGTAAGTTTTCGAAACTTACAATGGTTAAACATTAATTTTTCAGGTGTCTGTTACCATTCAATCTATTTCCAATGCTCAATCATTTACCATTTCATGTACAGCACAATCGATTGGTGGTAATCAATATACGTCAGTAACATCTGAAGGTTTGTAAACAAATTTCACATTCAATCATAATATCTATTTTCCTGAAAGGAAGCAGTTCGACAATTTTACTGATAAATGGAGAGATTGTCCTGACACCTAGTGATGTAAATTTATACGATCTACAGTTCCAGGTTGGTTTATTGTACTTCTCTTGGTTTATTTTTATAATTATTCGTCAGAGTATTTTACCAGTTGTAAAATAAACTTCTATTTTATCACGTGTTTTATTTTGCATCTTTCTGAAATTTTGTCAGAACAGATTGACGTATTAAATTCTAAACTCGAGTGTATAATTGACTTTAATCATTTATCTTTTAGAAGACTGATAACAAACACACCAGTTGTTGAGCCCTTTGTGCTAAACTTCCTACGCATCAAATAAATCAGATTGCTATCCCATGGAAACCTGTTGTTAGTACAACAATCGCCAACCAGCGTTTCGATTCAATTTCCAAATTCTGCTTTATTGACCGCATCGATTACCAAAAACTGAAAACCGCAAAACTAGGTTTGTTTGTCGTATGAAACAAAACTTAACATGTTTCTACGTCCAACTGTGAAGTTTCCAGGTTTTAATGCTGTCAAAATCACAACCAAAAAGGAACGTACTTTCATCAAATAAGCGTAAATAAGTAAATTTGCTGCTTTGACTTCGGACAAATGTAGGAAACTAGTAGGTACCGGGCTGCTGTTTCATACTGTTATAACGGTGGTTTTCAGATATTTTTTCCCAGTAATATTACAAAGAGACTGGATGGCTGATAGATTTTATACGATAAATGGGTTAGATACCCACAGCACTGTGACTAGATCACGTTAAACCATACAAGTAATTCACGAAAGAAATAGAGAAAGAGAGAAAAATAAATTCAACACTTCATTCCGGAGTAGAAGTCAGTGACAGGAAAGAAAATCACATGTTAATAGCCAATAGGACAAATGCCTGTTTGTCCACACTCGATGGTCAATTAAATTTTAATTCCACTACCATACATCACATTCTTGTATGGGACTCCTCATCTATAATCCAGCCAGAGATCGAATCCAAGACATTCAGATCATTTAAACACCGCTTAACATTTAGGCCAGTGATTTGGCATCTGATGGCGGACATTTCTAAGTGCAATCGGCATGGTTGAACTCCACCGGTCACTGATCTCAGGAATTACTTTGCTAATGTAATAACCTGTGATAGTATGATTATTATTAGCATAGGCGATTTCTAGACATTGTTAGACTATACCGTTATCATCATGAACTGGCTTTATTCAAAGAATCATGTAAAACTAGAAAGTACTAGACTGCTGCTTCATATCATTATGGAACAACTCAGCATTAGGTATCCAAAAATCATTCAAAACAAACTAATTTTCGAGTAGAGGATCACACAATGAAGCTAAACAAAGGGAGAGATCATAACCAAATAAACAGAATATGTTGTCTCAGTAGAGAGGCACCATTCGTTACAACACACAAATTGTTCAGTTGGCTGTATAAAAATCAAACTACTTACATTTAATAAGTAGCATGGAATAACATACAAAATAGCCGTTGAATGGATTAACTTAAAAGTAGTAAACAAATGGTTGTTGACAATGTGGCTAAACTTGTCATAAAGTTGTATTGCGATGCATATCAATAGTTTAATCAATATGATAGTGATATTAACCTCATGTACTTTTTTTTAACACAAAAGAGATAGAAATAAGTTTATTTTTGTTTGACCTTACTTCGATTAGTGTAGCTAAATTACTTTGCTTGCTCTTATACCTAGTGTAGCAGAAAGATAAGTCTATAAGTATGCACTTGATCACTTATCCACATTAAATTAAGTTTATATACATTTTTCTAGTGACTGTGAATATCAACAAGTGTAGGTTCAGAAAATACGGCTAAAAATTTATCATCGATACATAAGGTTATAAAACTTCTGTATTCTTCTGAAAACCTCATATTTTTGATGAAATACGGCTTAATTATCACGTATCAGAGAATCAGTGTATTTCTTAATATCTGCACCCATTAGTTTACAGTTTGTGTTTAACTAAACATACAATAAACAATACAGCGTTACGTTGATAGTGTTATAAATATTGGGACAATAAACCCCTTAACACTGAAAATACAACAGTTCTATCGATATTGTGTGTTAAAGTTAGAAATCATAAAACATTTTCGGATATCTAATGTTTTTTATATCTAAAAGTGATAGAATAGTATTTTTAAACTACGATGAATATAAAACCCATTATTTAAAGATACTATTAAAATGTAAATTTCACAAACATTTCTACTTAAAAATTCGCACTTATTGTTATTGTAGCCATATTTATTTTACAGGTCTTACTGTATCTGAACGGAGTAAATCAAGATTTAGGAGTCCTTTGTAGCGTCAGTGTGGCTAATAATGAAACACAAGCAGACAGTTTAATTAATGATAAAACATGTGGAATGACATCAACTATTGGTAATATATTTTCGTATATTTCATGTCATTTTTGGTGATTTTCACAAATTTTACAAAACGTTTTACATGTTCAGTTGTCCTCTTATTTGGGTATTGTATTAATAACTATTAATAAAATTTATTTTACTTCAAAAGCCAATTTATCTTTATTCAACGTCTTATTAGTTAGTGTCACTACATAACTGCTGTAGTCAGAATTTAAAGTTGATTTTCCTGATTAATGTATCTCATTACATACGTACTAGGTACTAATTATCACTGTAGAATGAATTTTGAAGTTTCTCACATGGACATGTTTTTCTAAATCTCACAACGACAGTCCATTAGATTGAAGAGGTTGTATCACAATAAATAGAAGGGTCTAAAACGAGAACATAAAAATTTTCATTACAGGGTTGTGAAGATTGTTAAGTTACACTACCATTAGAAACCTGGAAGCACTGGACGGCCGTTTCGTCCTGGTATAGGACTCATCAGCAGTGCACATCCACGACTCCTGCGACCTGCATGGTTTGAATCCTATTCATCTTGTGTGTTTGTTTGACTTTCTTGAATAATGTTGTTTACTCCAAGTCAGTAAATTTACCAGTCAGATTTTTTAAAAACTTACCTATATTTGTTATTTTTCATGTAAAAGGTGCAACTTCTAACACCTGGTCTGTAACACCTTATTTAAATGAATTTAAGGTAAGTCAATCTTAATTATTCAATAATAACAAAAAAACAATTGCTTAATCAATCAAAAAGAGATCTGCCAAAATATTCTAACAGTATATTATATATCTAGGAAAATAATTATGCGTTATATTCTTTAAAACTATGTTTCAATGAATAATTATCTAGACTACATCGTTCGATTTTTATACTTAATTGTACGGATGTGAAAAATATACGTTGCTAATATTTAAAAAGTAAAGTTCTGATCAGTTTACGTCCAGAAATCAACTTCTTGAACAGAAATTTCGATTTCTACTTCGAATGATCAATTCTACATCAAGAATAGTAACTTCTTGTATTCCATCTTCACTAAAGTCAGTCAAAAAGCGTCATTATTATAAATATAAATGTTACAAATAGGACTAATAGTGGAAACACTAAACTCTTTTGTTAAATTGAAAAATCATTTGTTTATTTCCACAAATATGATCTCAGCATCTTCCGCTAACACTGTACCTATTCTTTTAGGCAAAAATAACATGTTAACTGGACAAATAAGTTACTTTCTGAACAGGTAGTTTTAGAAAAATACCGACTAAAAGTATAATATTCTACTAATATATGTCATTTAAAAAAAATTTATTTTATAATCAATATTTGTAGGCATCATCAGTAACGAGTCGAACAGATTCACTTGTACGTTTACTTAATGTGAAACGTAATTTTTACCCAACATCTGAATATGATAATACAATGGAAATATTAATTTTAAAATGTTGCAGTACTACACAAAATGTTACAATGTATCCAGCATTTGCTAATATTGTGACAACAAGTCGAATTAATATTCTACTTAAATCTGGTCTAATTATTAATAAAGGAGAAGAATTACCAACAGGTTAGTCAATCATTGTGCAGTAATTAAGATTTAGAAAGTTAATGGTGTATATTTACATGAATTATGGTGTAAAGATCTATATATTCTCCTTTGAGGCATACTTTATATGTGAAGGGTAGCAATATTACCGAACAACCCAAACCTAAGTAGGTAGAACAAGACTTGAACCTAGAACCAATAGCCACTAACATCTCCTCCCTTCATTCCAGAATTGTACGTGATCAACTGACAACACCAATTTATCTAAAATTTTCTCATTCTTTACAATATAAGTTCCTATCCTGTTTTGTAATAAATATGAAAGTTTTCGGTAAAAAAGTTTCTCCCTAATTCTGAATTTTCATTATTTTATTTAGCTTTGACCACGTTCTATTTTTTTTCTCTTTTAGATCAAACATTTCCTTATCCTGATCCTGTGTGGACAGAAATTGCTCCTTGTCCCTGTGACCTGACCGTAAATACATGTGACCTTGGATGTCCATGTGATAATGTAAGTGTCTATGGACAAGGAAATCCATGCCACTGATTAAGGTATTCATACCATCTTGATTCAGTTAATCGTTTGACCATAATTAGTTCATTCTCTCACACACAACAAAGTAGTGGTTTTTGTCCAAAAGTAGAGTGAAAAGATTGCTAACCCTTAATCTAAAAAATCAAGACTTAAGTGTTGTACGGTTGAGCACATCCAATTATATTACTAAATTGAAGTTCATTCTAAACAACAATCTGAGATCCAAGGTTGATCAGTTCAACTGAGATTTAACTGATTAAACAGAAAAGTAAACTACAAGCTTACTCAAGGAGCTATTAAAAAAGAAAATCATTCATAAATCTACCCAATATTATTTAGGGCCTCCTGGATCGTGTTTACAGCATATGTAAAGCCTACCAAAGATTCATAAATAGGATGTCCTGTTTCAGCCTCTCGTGTCAATTGCCAATTCACCGTGGCACAAGGTTGCACTATGGCTAGTGTAAAAGTTAGAATCAGATTGTCACCGCTTTGCTAACTACGCACTAAAAGACTCCAATTCACTGGCATTATCAACCACATTAAAATTACTGGTTAGTTGGTGGTTTCTTTTGCTGTGACAAATTTGTATACCAAATTACCGCTTCTTGATACCAAAGATAAAATTTTGCGAGCAATCTGGCCTAATACTTCAATCAGTACAAGTACTCAATTTTATGGCTAGTGTGGCAGCAGCCTTTGCGACAGTAGGTCTCAACATACACAAGGGAGAAATCACGATCCTCCGATGCAACACAGCATGTACCAACCAAATCACACTTAACAGAGAAGCTTCTAAGAATGTAGAAACCTTTACATACCTGGGTAGCTTCACTGAGGAACAAGGGAGATCTGATATTGATGTGAAGGCACCGAATGGGAGAGCAAGAGCAGCATTTCTACAATCGAAGAATATATGGAGCTTAAAACAAGTGTCAACAAACACCAAAGTTGGAATTTTCAATACAAATGTGAAGACAGTTCTACTGTATGGAGCGGAAACTTGGAGGACCACGAAAGCCATCATTCACAAGATACAAGTGTTTACTGACAGTTGTCTACGCAAGATACTGAGAATCTGTTGGCCAGAAACCACCATTAACAACTTACTATCAGAGAGAACAAACCAGATTCCAGCTGAGGAAGAAATAAGGAAAAGGCGCTGGAGATGGAACATTCATTGAGGAAAGAACCTTACTACGTCACAAGACAAGTCTTCGCTTAGAATCCTCAAGGCCAAAGTAAGAGAGGAAGACTAAACAACATATTACGCCACGAATTGGGAGTAGACATGAAAAGAAGGAGCAGTAATCGGGTGGAGCTGGAAAGGAAGGTCCAGGATAGGGTAGGTTGGAGAATGCTAGTCACTGGCCTATGTTCCATCGGGGGTAGCAAGCGCAAATAAGTAAGTACTCAGTTTTATACACGAAAGATATGCAGTTTCGATTCGGTGACATTGTATACTGTCAGAATAATGGTTTAGTAATAGAAAGTCCACTAGGTCCTGTCCTGGTAGATATATTCACGGCTAGTCTTGCGAATATCAGGCCTTAAACAACAACTGAGGAAATGGTATATTATGATAAGTATATTAACGACACAGTTTTTGCATGTAATGGTTAGCAAAAAGTGAATCCTTAGAACTTTCCTCATAAAAACATCCACTTTACCATGGGAGACGAAACGGATGATAAGTTGCAGTTTCTCAATATCGCCATACGGTGAAGCGAGGACGGCACAACCCAACGTTCAGTTAATCAAAAAGATACACTGAGTGACGTTTATGTAAAAATTGCAATGGCTTTTGTCTAAGTTAAAAAAGGCAATTATCAAAGCGCTATTTCACACCAAGGAAAGAATATATACTACAGATACATTAGAAGTAAAACCAATGGACCTTAAAATATGCCTAAGGAATAATGGTTATCCAGACAAATTTATTGAGAAATATAGAAAAAGCAAAGACTAAACTTTTCAAGAAATTATAGTAGATGAGAAGCCTATTTTCATTCAGCTTGGATTCAAAGGTAACAATGTTGCAGCGACAATAAATAGAGGATTTAAAACCACACTGACCAGAACTTATCCTTCAGCTTAGTTGATCATCATGCATAAAATAATGTTGTGTATTTCAATCTAAGATCTGTAGATATCCGTTTTCTGTTACCACCATCTGAGAATACAAACTTGCATGTACCTGCCAATGCTTTTATATTAGTAGAACAAGAAGAAGAGTATACGCCCGATTCGAAGCACATAACCCAAAATGCCTCAGGTCAATTGTACCAAAGCCTTTTACCAGTGCTATTGTAAAACGTTTCTGTAACACAGAGCATCTGGTTCATAAATTGAAATCTTTCATGATTAAAGCCATCAAACTCCTCATGCTGGACTTGATTGTCTAAAAGGAAACAGTTGTAAATCCTATATTACCATGGTGAATTTACTGTCAGTCTGTCGCATGATGTTAGCATTTTCTACTCTATTGTACCACTTCTTTCAACTTCACAAGTTTTTTTTCTAGGTGACTGATCTCAGCTGACGTAATGTTTAGTTGCTGTCACTTTGTGTTCAATTACTTCATTATATTATTCACCTATTGTTTTATCTCTATGATCACTTGTTACTATAGCTGATGACCCAGAATCTTCTCTCGCATACTATGTATGTATGTCTTTAATCTAACTTACTCCCGTTTGATGATACACATCTCCTTTTACCATTACATGTATGTAAACTTTACAATCGTTTTGATATTTTTAAAAAAGTATAAGTTAGAAACAGCTGATGAGAACCTTAAGAAATGAAATAAATCCATGTTATTCAACTCATTTGTTTGTTCCTGCTAAGTTTATGATATCAGAAAAGAGTTTTGCGTATAACATGATCAAGATCATTGTTTTTCGATGTTTCACTTTAACAATCACCTATTTCTAATCAAGTACAATTGTAAAACATAAAATGAAATATTTTGTATAATTTTGTTGTAATTAACATCAAATTAATGACAGAAATAATTGCATCATTACAGTGATTTATTGAGCTGAAGTATGATTACTTTAGTTTACTCACGAGTATGAAGTGTTTTTTTTTCATTATTCAGTCATCACAAATTCAAACTAATATGTTGGTTTGTTTTTGAAAAAAAAAACTCAGTAATCTGACGACATCTTGTTTAGAATATGAATTTCGGTTCATTTTATTCTTTCATTGATTATACAAGTACAATGATATAAATAAATTACCATATGATTATCGTGAAAATATTTGATGACATCTAAATGTGAATGTCATATAATTTTCAAAAATTATTTATCAGTAATCAGAATTCTATTGCATTCAGATGTCTAGTTTAATTAAAACAAAGCATTCTATGACCCTAAAGGTAAAAAAAAAACTTTATACTGTCCAGTCTTCAAGGTTATTAATAAATGATGATTTTCCACATTATCAAAGAAATGAGATTCATCCTACTATTTTTTTTTTGAAAATGGACTGTTAATAATGTATTGTATCGTGAACTGTGTGATATGCACCCGCTTTAATTCGGGCGATTTGTATGATCAAGGGTTGAATATCCATAAAAATGATTCACTTGGATAATTTTATTGATTTATGCACTTTCAAACTTTTAAAATTCTGTTTTCTTCAATATTTGCTGTTGTTCTTATCAGGTGTGTCCTGTTAATCAGTCCACAGTCATGTCATCAGGTTTTTTCGGTGGTTATTACAATCTACCAAATTATCATAGCTGTGATAATACAATGTTAAATCCAACCGAAAATCAAGCCAATAAAATTAATTTAATTCATCGAGGTTTCACAAGAGTACCAGATTATCATTCACTTTTGTGTGTTGTTACTGATAATAGTGCAGTGCTTGGAAAATATCATCGTTCCCTTTCACCTGCGCGTAATCTTATTGACTTTAATAGAAATGCTCAAAATGCTAAAATTGAATATCCATTAGATCAAAGTAGTGATCCGAGTGTTCGAGAAGTTGCTATTGATCAAAACAATAATAAACAACGTTTATATATGAATGGTGATCCGTTACTTCTATTGATACAACCGATAGTGTTAACATCTTCAGATGATCCAACTATTCTTGTTAGTCAATTTAATGAGTATTTTGTTTTACCCAATGATATAAACTGTGATTTAGAATCAAATTTTCCAATAGAATATCTTTCTGATCGAAATGCTTATAAATGTCCTATTCGTCTGTCAGTTATGCAATGTCAAAATGCAATGAATGTAAAAAACAATATAGGAATTGGTAAGCTTTATTTTTTTGATTAATACCAACAACTAATCTTGATTTATACAGAAGTAAAGCAAATGTATCTAAATTTTTCATTTTTTTTACTGTTGAAATGAATCATGGAATAGTTATGCTCGTCTCTAGGTATGCTTAAAACTTTTACGGGTTCACCTTAGTCGAATTACGAGAACAAAACAATGAACCAGCGTCCAGGTAGGCTACTGTGATCCGACTGTCCCAACTGTACTAGCAAGAAGTCTTGATATAGTGTAGAAAGTGTATTCTAGAAACACCGAGCCAGTATGCAATGAATCTAAGCACTCAAATTGCGTTT